CTATCTACATGAACAGATGAAACGATGGAGACTGGAAACAGAACGAGATCGAGAAGGGGACCCACTGATGATAACTCCATTCCGAAACTCAATAATAGAAGTAATGCCTCAATCAGTGAGAAGCAGGCTGGAGGATGTGGTGGGACTAACCTCAAAGACACACAAATAATTATGTGACCATGTGATACATGCAGTAGAAAAACACAGAAATGATGAACAGAGACTTAAAGAGCAGGGGAGAGACATTCTGAGGAAGCTGACTCAACTCCAATTGGAAGAATTGACAAACAGAGGGAAGAAGAAAATCCAGGCCCCAGTAACAGCACCTATGACTGAAACAGGAATGGTGGCTGCAGTCACTCCAGGAGGGCCATATCCGCCTCCCGTGCCGCAGGCCCAAGTGCAACCCACATCACCAGTAGTGAATGTGTATGCACAACAACCCCGACAATGGAATAATAATAAAAAACAGCAAAAATCTCAGCAATACAATCAAAAAGGAGGAAATCGGGGCCCACAAGGGCCATCTGGAATTTGCTGGGGATGCCAACAGCCAGGGCATACCAGACGAAACTGCCCCACAAACCCCTGGCAACAGAAAAGTGACTTCTTTGCTGCCCTTCTTGACACCAGGCCATCCTCCAAAAGTCTTCGCCTCACTATGCGTGCAGATGCACTCACACCTGCCTGCTGCCATTCCTGAGCAAGCTCTGCACTGGTGGTGCCCCGATCCCGCAGCTGAATCAACTTTAGGAGACGGTCCTGGTGCTTGCTGGACTTTCTTGGGCGCCCTGACGCCTTCTTCACAACAATTGAACCTCTCTCCTTGAAGTTCTTGATGATCCGATAAATGGTTGATTTAGGTGCAATCTTACTAGCAGCAATATCCTTGCCTGTGAAGCCCTTTCTGTGCAAAGCAATGATGACGGTGTGTTTCCTTGCAGGTAACCATGGTTAACAGAGGAAGAACAATGATTTCAAGCACCACCCTCCTTTTAAAGCTTCCAGTCTGTTATTCTAACTCAATCAGCACGACAGAGTGATCTCCAGCCTTGTCCTCGTCAACACTCTCACCTGTGTTAACGAGAGAATCACTGACATGATGGCAGCTGGTCCTTTTGCGGCAGGGCTGAAATGCAGTGGTCCTTCATGGCAAAGAGGGACTTTGCAATTCATTGCAATTCATCTGATCACTCTTCATGACATTCTGGAGTATATGCAAATTGCCATAATCAAAACTGAGGCAGCAGACTTTGTGAAAATGTGTATTTGTGTCATTCTCAAAACGTTTGACCACGACTGTACATAAGAAGAGGGAACTAATAAAAAATGAGGGAATGGACAAAATATCTGACGGAACAGATAATAAATCAGAGGGGATATATAAAAATAAAAATAACAGAGGGAATGGATAAGAACATTTGAGGGAAGGAATAAAAAATTTGAGGGAACTAATAAAAAATCTGAGGAAATTGATAAAAACCTGAGGGAATGGATAGTTTTTTTTCCCTCCACCATGACCCCTAAGGGGCTCAGTAAAATGACAAACTACTCTGACATGTGCATACTGAGATCAATAAAACGAACAACCTATGTCTTAAATACAACCAATAGCATAGGCCAATGAAAAGATTGGATACACAGATTTTAGGCCTACAATATGAGGAAGAAATTATAGTCCACCAACTTTCCAGTGGCACTCACCTATTCCAAAATTTCCCGCAACTGTATTATGAAATATTGCGAAATACCTTCTAGCTGCTGCCTGCTGTTCATTGACAGCCACAACTCAACATTCAGCTGTTTTATATTTGCCGCACGGGCTGCACACGGGATTCCCGACTGTAGAATATAGGCCTATGCACTCATAATGTGACAAAACACAATCTAAATTATGCTGGTGTAGTATTTTCAATGATTTCATACATTTTTATAGAGATAGAAGTAATTATATAAATTTGGCAAATGTATTTAAATTTATCTGCAGCGCTGTGCTCTCCCCAAGGGTAAATAATAAACACTTCTTGTTTACATCCCTGTTCGTGAGCATTTCTCCTTTGCCAAGATAATCCACCCACCTGACAGGTGTGGTATATCAAGAAGCTGATTAAACAGCATGCTCATTACACAGGTTCATCTTGTGCTGGGGATAATAAAAAGCTACTCTAAAATGTGGAGTTGTGTCACACAACACAATGCCACAGATGTCTCAAGTTTTGAGGGAGCGTGCAGGAATGTCCACCAGAGCTGTTGCCAGATAACTGAATGTTAATTTCTCTACCATAAGCCGCCTCCAATTTAGAGAATTTGGTAGTATGTCCAACCGGCCTCACAACCGCAGACCACGTGTAATCACGCCCAGGACCTCCACATCCGGCTTCTTCACCTGCGGGATCGTCTGGACAGCTGATGACACTGAGGAGTATTTCAGTCTGTAATGAAACCCTTTTGTGGGGAAAAACTAATTATAATTGGCTGGGCCTGGCATCCCAGTGGGTGGGCCTATGCCCTCCTAGGCCCACCCATGGCTGCGCCCCTGCCCCTGTGAAATCCATAGATTAGGGCCTCATTTATTTATTTCAATTGACTGATTTCCTTAAATTAACTGTAACTCAGTAAAATCGTTAATTGTTGCGTTTATATTTTTGTTCAGTATAGAATACTAATTAATCATTAAGTGATCTTGCGAGACATAGCACCATGCGCACTGGCAGCACTACATCCCTGATTATAAAGGTTGGATGACTTCAGGAGTTTCACGTAACCACAGCTCTATGAACTAAGTTGCGCTTTCAGTTGGCTGCATTTGTTTTCACCATTGCAGCAGCGCAAAAGATTCGGAAGCAAGAGCGCTCGTCTGGTTGTCGCATGGAGCAGCTCACAGAAGAATGACATCAGTAGCCGGTAGGTAGGAAAAATGTTTCAATTAATGATATCTACCAGTACATGCTAACTAAGCCAACAATGGGTATTGAAAAAATTTGGTCCTTACTCTTGGTTAGTAGGCTATTTGCGATGTGCAATCCAGTCATCATGCGCTGTTTGCATTAACATTACTAAAGGCTTTCCCACAAAAACTTCACAATTAAATGTTGACTGCAATGTAAGCATACCTGACAGAATGATATAATGCTGATTTGTGTCAATGGGGAGGGCATTTGTTTTGCTCAGTTGAATTAAAGGGCAACTACACCCTCCAAAAATATATATTTACGATTTTTCCCAGAACCCCAAAATGGTCTCCTGATGTGGTTTAAGCATTGTTGTGGACTTAAAACATCACATTTTTATTTTTATTTCTCCAGGCACAACTACACCACTGCATAGGGCCGGTGGAAAGACAGCAGTCCATTCACTCTGACATAATAAGCCAGTAGTTCTCAATCATAAGAATACAAAAACATAACCATTAGCTAAGAATTTCCCAATCGAAATGTACAACTATTACTTCCCATTGCAAAAAAACATTTCACGTTTAGCACACAAAGTAATCTAAAGTTGAAATGCAACAATGATTCACACACATAAGTTATTTTCAAAGAGATGGCTAACAAGAGTATGCGAGCTGCAATAAAAAACACAGCAATAAAAAACAGTTTCATTCACCAGATGATGATCATTTGAAACTTCTTGTTGAAAGTTATTCTTCAAAAGGTAGAAGCTAACAAATTAGCAACAACATCCTCTTCGATAACAACTGCTGCAAACTAGCCTACAACAAAAGCTAGCTAGCTAGACTGTGGGAAAACTACTGGTCACTATTGCACAGTGACCTGTCGGCTTTCGACCTGTTGGCCATTACAAGTCAATGTGATTGGTTGATTCCACTGTCACTCCAACATTTTCCCTAATACAATTGAACGGCAGATGCCTTCTATGAAGCTTCTGATGGCCTAGCCAATGGCTGACTTAGCTAGCTAAATCTATCTCCCCACAGCCCACAAAAGGAAAATCCTGATTGGATAATTTTTTCTCTTCAGCGTTAACCTTTTCCTTTCTAACGAAAACTGAAGAGATTAAATCAGAACATAATTGAAAATAATATTATTGTTATTTGTATTATTTTATAAATCCTTACCTTTCTCTGAAAGCGTAGAAGACCCTCATTGTTCCCAATCATGTTTGGGTTAGTAAGAATGTGTAGTGGCATTTTTCACCATTCTGAAAGTCTAAAGAATCAATATGTCCTTCTGAAATTTTGAACTCTTATTATGGTGACGATTTGAAAAAATTGCAGTCATGGTCTTGAATTGTAATCTCATTTTTCTGGTCTCAGTCTCGACTCGGTCTCGTCCCCCCTCCGGTCTTGGTCTTGAATCGGTCTCGCTTTAGGTGGTCTTGAACACAACATTGGAAGAGGGTGTCCTATACTAATCTAAAAGTCTGTCCGGGAGAAAATCTGCCCCATGTTTTGCCAGTAACAATGACTATTTATAGTGGTGTTTGCTTTACTTGGGCTAAATGCTGTACTGTGTCCTTTTCGGCTGCACAGTTAGTTCTGTAAGCTCCATCCCACAACTAGTTAGAGTAGCTCCTCATCTGTGTGAGCGTTAGTCAGACAATGGATAACGATAGTTCTCATTGGGTCTCTTTTCTATCGCTTGGCACTCTGTCGGTAGAGGATGTGTGCACAGGTTTACTGGTAAGAAAGTTAGACTCTTTTCGAGCATGTGGACTTTCTTGTGTGATTGTGTGTAAATGTTGTGTATGTGCATGCTAAGGTTTGTGAGTGCATAGAAGTTGTCTGTATGTCTGTTATTCATGCTGTGTGTGTGTGGATACCCTGCTGACTGGCGTGTGTCTCTCTCCCAGTGCTGAGGTACAACTCCGTATGGCAGGGATCATCAATATGGGGGCCAAATAAAACCATTCGCGGGACAAATTCGGCCCACGGGCCGCCAGTTGGGGAACCCTGCCGTATGGTGACGAGGACCGAGGGGTGCTGTGCTGTAACCAGACCTTGCACCGTGTGGTGGAGGATGGGCACCAGTGCTCCCCAGGTGGTCACTTGTATCTGCCATCCCGTGAAATGGTGTGTGGGTCACACGTTCATCTCAACGATCCAGGCAAACACTGCTGTGGAGAGGAGACATACGACCCTCAGGATGAAATCTGCTGCAATGGACACAAGTGAGTTGCTCTGTAGGGTGGAAACTGTAGGTAGTTGAACCTAGCCAGGTGGTTTATCCCAAAGATGTGGGGTTATCACTGTCTGCAAGCACAGTTTAGAGTGCCTAAGGGCCAATGCATAGATCACTTAATCTTCAGCGGACTGTATCCAGCCTCCTTGTCTGTTGAAGAGTTGATGCAATGTCTTGAAATGTGTGTGGTTGTGTGTGTGGTTGTACTATAACTAACTGTAGAAATATTTTCCCACCCACTGTCTGTGACTGGGTGTGCATCTTTGATAATTAAATCTATGAATATCTGCAAGACATAAACTATTATAAAACCATTCCCACATTCCCAGTCCAACTGTCTCAGGATGTGGAATAATTATGTGGGCGGACATTGCTTAATGCAGTGCTCCTTTGGCTACTGCTGCAGCCAAAGGTCTAGGAGTCTCCAACTGTTCCGTATTTCACTTCCCTTTTTCCAGTCAGAGGCATTCAGACAGTTAGTCAGCCAGACATCTCCTACGAGAGGTGGTATGTGTGCTTTGGGGTCTCTAGGATAGGCGTCAGACAGTGTGTACAGTACTTCTGTGTATTTCGCCCGGTTGTGTGACTTGTGCTTGACCTCGGTGTCTGACTCTAGGAGGAAGCTGGTTGATTCTTGTTTGGGATTTGAGGAATGTTACTAATGTATGTTCCAAGTAAATGTTGTTCATTATTGACTGAAATCTGTTTCTTGGGAATACAGAAAAATGTACCATGTCTGAGGGCATATCTAGACACAGATGGGAAGGACTTTTAAAAAAAGCACTTGAATCTACTTGTGTTTTGACTCTGTACAGTGGCTTCACACGCTGATCTAAAGTCTCTATGTGGAAACGTGGTCGAACACATCATTAACAAACACTGCTCCAATGTTAAAGGCTCTAACCCTGTCATTCAAACTGTGGGTTGCGACCCCTAGTTAGGTTCCCAGGAAGTTGCATGGCATTCTGAATTTAAACCTATGCCATTACTCAATACTTTGACCATGTTGAGGCTGACGCACTTGAATCTAATTTAGTTTTGACACTGTGCCTGAATCCCAAATCACTCCCTTATCCTCGCACCTCCATTTGTGCGTTCACACATGCCTCCTCCATATGCGGAGGGAGTGAACATTATCGAGGGTGTAGGGGTTAATTAGAACCTTGTAAGGCTGCCGGCTCCAGAGCCAAGTGGCATCCCAACACCCACTGCGTTATGTTTGGAGTTTGCGCATTTTCGTACAAAAGAATGAAATGGCGTGTCTAATTATGAGCCATGTTTATTATTTTTGTGTCTGATTGAGGCATGACACATGTAACAAAAGAAATACATCCCAAATGAAATGTTTAACTGTTACTGAAGTGTATATATTGTAAAACAACAGGGGGAATTTGTTCATTTGAATTTCATGCTTGTTTTATTATTTAAATGTGAAACATGAATTGCATCATTCAAGTCACGAGTGTGTCCTGAAGTTGAGGGGTTTATTGATCCTCTCGCCACTCTTGAAGTCACCCTCTGAGTTTCGTCAGCAACACGTGACAACGGAGGGCCCTCTGAGCGAGTTGGTAGGAGCGAGGGGCTGGTTTGGGATCAGTAGTTGAAAAGTATTCAATTGTCATACTAAGTAAAGATACCATAATATAAAATGACTCAAGTAAAAGTAACCCAGTAAAATCCTACTTGAATAACAGTCTAAAAGTATTTGGTTTTAAATATACTTAAGTATCAAAAGTAAAAATATAAATCATTTCAATGTCCTTATGTTAAGCAAACCAGATGGCACCATTTTCTTGTTTGTTTTTTATTTACGGACAGCCAGGGGCATACTCCAACACTCAGACACAATTTACAAACGAAGCATGTGTGTTTAGTGAGTCCGTCCGATCAGAGGCAGTAGAGATGACCAGGGATGTACTCTTGATAAGTGTGTGAATTTGACCATTTCCCTGTGCTGCTAAGCATTAAAATGTAACGAGTACTTTTGGGTGTCAGGGAAAATGTACTGAGTAAAAAGTACATTATTTTCTTTTGGAATGTAGTGAAGTAAAAGTTGTCCAAAATATCAATAGTAAAGTAAAATACAGATACTCAACAAAACGACTTAAGTAGTACTTTCAAGTATTCTTACATACAGTTGAAGTTGGAAGTTTACATACACCTTTGCCAAATACATTTAAACTCAGTTTCACAATTCCTGACATTTAATCCTAGTAAAAATTCCCTGTCTTAGGTCAGTTAGGATCTCCACTTTAAGAATGTGAAATATCAGAATAATAGTAGAGATAATTATTTCTTTCAGCTTTTATTTCTTTCATCACATTCGCAGTGGGTCAGAAGTTTACATACACTCAATTAGTATTTGGTAGCATTGCCTTTAAATTGTTTAACTTGGGTCAAACGTTTCGGGTAGCCTTCCACAAGCTTCCCACAATAAGTTGGGTGAATTTTGGCCCATTCCTCCTGACAGAGCTGGTGTAACTGAGTCAGGTTTGTAGGCCTCCTTACTCGCACACGTGTGGGCAGAACTGAAAAAGCATTTTCTATAAGATTGAGGTCAGGGCTTTGTGATGGCCACTGCAATACCATGACTTTGTTGTCCTTAAGCCATTTTGCTACAACTTTGGAAGTTTGCTTGGGGTCATTGTCCATTTGGAAGACCCATTTGCGACCAAGCTTCAACTTCCAGACTGATGTCTTGAGATGTTGCTTCAATATATCCACATAATTTTCCTTCCTCATGATGCCATCTATTTTGTGAAGTGCACCAGTCCCTCCTGCAGCAAAGCACCCCCACAGCATGATACTGCCACCCCCGTGCTTCACGGTTGGGATGGTGTTCTTCGGCTTGCAAGCAACCCCCTTTTTCCTCCAAACATAACGATGGTCATTATGGCCAAACAGTTATATTTTTGTTTCATAAGACCAGAGGACATTTCTCCAAAAAGTACGATCTTTGTCTCCATGTGCAGTTGCAAACCGTAGTCTGGCTTTTTTATGGCGGTTTTGGAGCAATGGCTTCTTCCTTGCTGAGCGGCCTTTCAGGTTATGTCGATATAGGACTCGTTTTACTGTGGATATAGATACTGTTAGAAATTGCGTAATTCAAATCTGGTATTGGAATAAGAGAAAACATAATCAAGAGATATTCAATCCAAGCTAAATTTATTATTTGCAAAATGTATGTTGGTTCGTATACGGGCTCACTGAAATACCACGCAGGGCAGACAGAGAACTAATCCATTGTTACAGATTCTTCTTCAAATACTCTGACAGAGATAGTTCCCACCTCTCTGCTGGCCAATCAGAGTAGAGACTGAGCGTGGTTTAAACTTACTCAGCCAATCCGTTGGCGCACGGGCTGGTCCCAACCCCTTGGCGCTCCACCGTTCCCAGGCATAAGTTGCTATCATAATAACTTGTGGAGTTAGCACCCAAAAGACACCATTCCACTGTACTACGTTCAAGGACGGTTCACAGACAACAAAGAGGCAGTGTTCGTATCTGTGTGAAATACAAGTCTTATCTATAAGAAATACAAGTTTTATCTCATCCTAGCCCCTAACGTTCCTCACATGAATCACAGCCTGTTATGTGAAACAATTTATATCAGTATAGTACAAACCTATGCTTATCATTCATGCATTCCTTCTAAGCTATTCATCACATACAGATCAAATTATTAGAAAACAAATCCCAACAATACTTTTGTACCTGTTTCCTCCAGCATCTTCACAAGGTCCTTTGCTGCTGTTCTGGGATTGATTTGCACTTTTCGCACCAAAGTACATTCATCTCTAGGAGACAGAACGCGTCTCCTTCCTGAGCGGTATGAGGGCTGCGTGGTCCCATGGTGTTTATACTTGCATACTATTGTTTGTACAGATGAACGTGGTACCTTCAGGCATTTGGAAATTGCTCCCAAGGATGAACCAGACTTGTGGAGGTCTACAAATATTTTTCTGAGGTTTTGGCTGATTTATTTTAATTTTCCCAAACTCAGTGCAAAGAGGCACTGAGTTTGAAAGTAGGCCTTGAAATACATCCACCGGTACACCTCCAATTGACTCAAATGATGTAAATTAGCCTATCAGAAGCTTCTAAAGCCATGACATCCTTTTCTGGAATTTTCCGAGCTGTTTAAAGGCACAGTCAACTTAGTGTATGTAAACTTCTGACCCACTGGAATTGTGATACAGTGAAATAATCTGTCTGTAACAATTGTTGGAAAAATGACTTGTGTCATGCACAAAGCAGATGTCCTAACTGACTTGCCAAAACTATAGTTTGTTAACAATACATTTGTGGAGTGGTTGAAAAATGAGTTTTAATGACTCCAACCTAAGTGTATGTAAACTTCCAACTTCAACTTTAAGTACTTTTCACCACTGTTTGGGATTCACTGAATGATGTACAGCGGCTTCAAGACGCTGACCTAAAGTAAACATTTGAATACTCTTCCCTAACCAATGAAAAAGGATATAAAAAATTGATTTTGCTGATGGGTTTCTCTTAATTGAGTAACTAAATGGATGGCCTCCCCTCTTGAGTACTGCAATGGCTGCTGGTTTTGGTCATCTCTCTTTAGCGCTCAATCTGTTGATTCAAGCAGTCAATGGGCTAAAAGAGGTTGGGAAACGTGTCCTGCTGCAGAGGGAAGGGCTACAACCCCAGCAGTGTCCAGATGAAGTGCTTTGCAGGGACTCTGTACAACCTGCGGGTTCAGGGCAGGCTCACAGAGCAGTGGGAGTGTCCTGATGGAGGCCAGTTCCACCCAGACCTGCTGCTTCGACCCCAGGGCTAGACCTGCTCTACCCTACCCTCTAACCTGCTGTGGGCACCGCTACCCCAACGCTTCCCTGTGGTCTTGCTGTGCGGGGGTCCTGCACCACACACCACCGGCAAAAACATTATTCCAGGTCAGTGGGAACAGGATACAATCCGAACTTGATTCCCATTTTTCATCGATCCATGATTTATGTCACAGTTTGAGTTGCGTCTGTTTATCTCTGAATGGTCTCCGAAAGACCAACCTACAAGTCAGACAAGTGATATGTATATTGAATTATATATCTAGTTCATATAATGGGTCCCTGCCTGGAGTCTGTCTCGATCTTAGCCCATTTGATTAGACTGCTGTTCGTTATCCTCAGGACCCAGGCTTCTACCACTGGGGGGTTTGAAGACGGAAGGTAAGGCCTCCAGTTTAAAGCATAGAATGAAGGGAAACATTACTCAATACTTTGACCTTAAGCCAGAACAGTGGGAAGCACTTGAATCTACAATGAACAAAAATAGAAGTGTAAAAAATGGAAAGTGTTGGTCCCATGTTCCATGAGCTGAAATAAAACATCCCAGACATTTTCCATACACACACAAAAGCTTATTTCTCTCCAAGTTTGTGCACAAATTAGTTTACATCCCTATTAGTGAGCATTTCTACTTTGCCAAGATAATCTATCCACCTGACAAATGTGTCATATTAATAAGCTGATTAAACACAGTGGTGTAAAGTACTTAAGTAGTACTTTAAAGTGTTTTTACTTAAGTTGTTTTTGGGGGTATCTGTACTTTACTATTTATTTTTTTGACAACTTTTACTTCTCTACATTCCTCCCAGGCCCACCCATGGCTGCACCCCTGCCCAGTCTTGTGAAAACCATAGATTATGGCCTAATGAATTTATTTCAATTGACTTATTTATATTTCCTTGTATGAACTGTAACTCAGTAAAATCTTAAATTGTTGCATGTAGCATTTATATTTTTGTTCAGTATACTTTCGTTTTGACACTGATGCACAGTGGCTTCCAGCACTGATCGGAAGCGTGAGTGTCCAGTTCTGCTAGGGACAGTGGAGTGTGTCTATGTTAACTGACAATAACCTTAAAACTAGCATCTTTATGATATCTTCTTTAAAAGTACCCACAAAACACCAGTCTCAATGTCAACAGTGAAGAGGTGACTCCGGGATGCAGACCTTCTAGGCAGAGTTGCAAAGAAAAAGCCATATCTCAGACTGGCCAATAAAAAGAAAAGATTAAGATGGGCAGTCTGAGATATGGCTTTTTCTTTGCAACTCTGCCTAGAAGGTCAGCATCCCGGAGTCACCTCGACACTGTTGACGTTGAGACTGGTGTTTTGCTGGGTACTATTTAATTAAGTTGCCAGTTGAGGACCTGTGAGGCGTCTCTTTCTCAAACTAGACACTCTAATGTATTTGTCCTCTTGCTCAGTTGTGCACTGGGGCCTCCCACTCCTCTTTCTATTCTGGTTAGAGCCAGTTTGCGCTGTTCTGTGAAGGGAGTAGTACACAGCGTTGTACGAGATCTTCAGTTTCTTGGCAATTTCTTTCATGGAATAGCCTTCATTTCTCAGAACAAGAATAGACTGACGCGTTTCAGAAGAAAGTTATTTGATCCTGTAATCGAACCCACAATTGCTGATGCTCCAGAGACCAGTCTCAAGAAGGCCAGTTTTATTGCTTCTTTAATTGCAAAAGGGTTTTCTAATGATTATTTAGCCTTTTTAAAATGATAAACTTGGATTAGCAAACACAACGTGCCATTGGAACACAGGACTGATGGTTGCTGATAATGGGCCTCTGTACGCCTATGTAGATATTCATTTACATTTTAGTCATTTAGCAGACACTCTTATCCAGAGCGACTTACATATTCCATAAAAAATCAGCCGTTTCCAGCTACAATAGCCATTTACAACATTAACAATGTCTACACTGTATTTCTGATCAATTTGATGTTGTTTTAATGGACAAAAAAATTGCTTTTCTTTCGAAAACAAGGACATTTCTAAGTGACCCCAAACTTTTGAACGGTAGTGTGTGTGTGTGTGTATATATATATATATATATATATATATATATATATAAACCATTGATTTGTAAAGAAAATAATTAGTCCCATGGGTTTAGTTTAACTGCCATAAACCATCAGAACCCAAAATAAGCTTGTTTTACTCTGTAAACAATGTAATTGTAAACAAATGCTGCAAAGGCTCAAAACATGGTTCAAACCATAATTTTAAGCTCATGGAGTCTGCAGCCATAGCTCTGTCTATGAATTTGAGTGGTTACATTTCAGTTTGGCTGGGGGGGCTTTACTTGGCTTATTGCGCTCTAGCGACTCCTTGTGGCGGGCCGGGCACCTGCAGGCTCACTTAAGTCATCAGTTGAACAGTGTTTCCTCCAACACATTGGTGCGGCTGGCTTCCGGGTTAAGCGGGCGGGTGTTAAGAAGCGCGATTTGGCGGGTCATGTTTCGGAGGAGGCATGACCTGACCTTCGCCTCTCCCGAGCCCGTTGGGGAGTTGCAGCGATGAGACAAGATCGAAAAAGGGGGTAAAATACAAAAAAAATAAGGGCTGTGTTTTGTGTAGGCTTACCCTGGCATTATGTTTTGATAACCGTGTAAATCTCTCTCGGACAAGGTGACTTCTATCAATATATTTGCCTGTATTTACCCCCAAAAATGAAATGTAATTAGCTGCTAATGTGGCTATTTTACAGAACTACTAATGCCATGATGCTCTGGATGGGACTGCCGAATTGAGGCAAATGTAAGAATTTCTGGATTAACCATCTAATGTTAACTACATTTAGTAAGGAATAAATTGGCAACATTTCCTTAAATTGACAATTTGTGAACTTTCTTGGACAATTCTTTTTTGACACAATACCTGTTAGCAAAGGTGTCAGCTAAAGATGACTTGCAGGGATTTGTAGTCTTGCATGATGTCTACTTTGATGCTAATTAGCATGTTTGAATCTGAGAATAGAGCAGAATATTGATAAAAGTCACCTTGTCCGAGAGAGATTTACACATACCAAAACACAGCCCTTATTAAAAAAATATCTAAAATCCCCTATGAGAACAATAAATAAAGGAAAAAGAATTTGAACCATTTCCCTATTTGACCACTAGGTTTTATGGGTATTATGACACCTCCACTGTAGGGCTCTATGGCTATTCCGTCCAAATCCATACTGAAGCCATTTCTTCAATGTGACATTAACGTCGTAAGCGTAAACCTGTCTGTGAAGTGATTGCACCACATTGTGAAATGGCAGGAAATAAAGCTTATTTTTAACCAAGTATTTGTGTAGGTGTGTGCCTTTACCATTTGGGGTTGCATTTATGCCAGCATTTCCCAAACTCGGTCCTGGGGTCCCCAAGGGATGCATGTTTTGGTTTTTGCCCCAACACTACACAGCTGATTCAAATAATCAAAGCTTGACGATTAGTTGATTATTTGAATCAGCTGTGAAGCGCTAGAGCAAATACCAAAACGTGCACCCCTTGGGGACCCCAGGACAGTTTTGGAAACACTGCTTTATGGTATCCCATATACAGTGTACAAAACATTATGAACACCTGCTCTTTCCATGACAGACTGACTAGGTGAATCCAGGTGATGTCACTCGTTAAATCCTCTTCAATCAGTGTAGATGAAGGGGAGGATAAATGTTAAAGGATTTTTAAGCCTTGACATTGATTGCGTACGTGTGCCATTCAGAGGGTGAATGGGCAAGACAAAAGATAAGTGCCTTTGAACAGGTTCTGGTAGGTGCCAGCCGCACCAGTTTGTGTCAAGAACTGCAACGCTGATGGGTTTTTCACGCTCAACAGTTACCCGTGTGTATCAAGAATGGTCTACCACCCAAAGGACATCCAGCCAACTTGACAACTGTGGGAAGCATTGGCGTCAACATCATAGGGCTTCCGAGTGGCGCAGCGGTCTAAGGCACTGCATCTCAGTGTTTGAGGCGTCACTACAGACTCCCTGGTTCGATTCCAGGCTGTATCACAACCGGCCGTGATTGGGAGTCCCATAGGGCGGCACACAATTGGCCCAGCGTCGTCCGGGTTTGGCCGGTGTAGGCCGTCATTGTAAATAAGAATTTGTTCTTAACTGACTTGCCTAGTTAAATAAAGGAACAAATAAAAATAAACATCCCTGTAGAATTCTTTCATTTGACACCTCGTAGCATCCATGCCCCGACGAATTGAGGCTATTCTGAGGGTGTTAATGTCTTAGGTGTTCTTAATGTTTTGTAGACTCAAGTGTATGTCAAGGTGGTCCTGCTTGGAGTGTGAATGTAGTAGAACAATTCAAAAATCAGAAGTCCAGGCAAAAACATTGTAAATCAGCTATTGCTAGACATTTTGAAATCAGTATTATTAACATTACAAGCTGAGATTCTGTAGTTTCAGAACATACAAAAGAAATTCAAGTGACTGAAAAACAGAAATCAAGTCATTAATAATATTAATATATTTATATTAATACCTACAAGGCTTTTTTTTTTTTGTTCGCATTTGGAACATCAACCATTTGTTTAAAATGGATGGTAGTCTGTCTTTCGTGGGTAGTGTTGGACAGGTCGTGCATCTTGGTTCCCTTCACGTCACACTTGGCTCTGGACCCTTTCAGTTTCCTCCAGTACTACTCACCAATTTCCAGTTACCCCACCCTGACACATTGTGTTCACACATGGAATGAAACATTTGCTAAAAATCACAAGAAATCCACAGACAGCGCAAAGATATGAAAATACAGAGATACGTACTGCGACCATCCACCCTCAACTGGGCCTCCCACATTCACAACCTGGTCTCCAAATCATTACTGTTACCCAATGAAAAAGATAAAGAATACAGTACATCACATTTGTTTTACTCCACTTGAACTGCAAAAAAAATAAAAATAGGAAGTCTACATTAATTACGATTCGCTGCAGATCCCCCACACAAAGAAGAGGGAGAGTTAAACTGAAATTTGTAGCAGTGTCCATGAGAGAATACAATGACTCCTTTTCCCTGGCAAATTACATTTCACTCTGCCTGGTTTCCATAGGTCTGCTTCTCCCCAGGAGCGAGGGCGAGAAAGGAGGATAAGTTGGTCGTGGTTAATCGTTCTTCTTCTCTTCCTTTGCTTTTTCTGTTATGGCGGCGACCTCCCCTGTAGCGGCGACCTCCCCTGTAGCGGCGACCTCCCCTGTGGCTGCGACTTCCCCCTGTGCTGTGCTGTCCTTGTTAGGGTCCACTCCAGTGGGTTCCGCTCCGCTGGTGCCAAATTCGTTCATCCGGTTGGGATCCACCCTGTAGATCCAGCGCTGGTACAGGTAGACAAAGAATACTACGTCTGTGGGAGGGAAACATAAGAGTTATTACAGGGAACTAGGGGTGTAACGTTCAACAAAACCCACGGTTCGGTACGGATTGCGGTTTCGGGGTCACGGTTCGGTTTCGTTACAGCGGGAAAATGAAATGCTAACAGTTACTGTAGTAACAATTTTGGAAATTTAAGAAAATACAAAGTGTTGGTATTCCTGATTCCATGTATGATCATGAGTCATATAATGCCTGATGAGAGCATCATCAGGAGCAGCAACACCTTGCATTTTCTTTAATTAAAACAATGACTCAACAACACTAAAATATGCACGTGAAATCAATATGTAAACATGGCTCAGACATTGTACAGAGTGTACAAAACATTAAGGACACCTTCCTAATATTGAGTCCCACCTTTTGCCCTCCGAACAGCCTCAATTCGTCGGGGCATGGACTCTACAAGGTGTCAAAAGCGTTCCACAGGGATGCTGGCCCATGTTGACACCAATGCTTCCCACAGTTGTGTCAAGTTGGCTGGAAGTCCTTTGGGTGGTGGACAATTCTTGATACACACGGGAAACTGTTGAGCGTGAAAAACCCAGCAGCGTTGCAGTTCTTGACACAAACCAGTGTGCCTGGCACCTACTACCATAACACGTTCAAAGGCACTTCAATCTTTATTTTGCCCATTCACCCTCTGAATGGCACACCTACACAATCCATGTCTCAAGGCTTGAAAATCCCTCTGCGGACCAATTTGTAGGCCCGCGGACCAACTCAGTTGGGGTCTAAACTTACTGTTGAGAGTTAGAATAATAGAATACACAAGGTGCAATTTCAAAATGTGGTTGTGCATCAGAAGTCACTCAATTAGCCCATGTCGGCATTTTTTTTTTTGATTGGTAAGTTAGTCTAGCGGCCAACTATCTAAACTTGTAGTAAGCATGGTCGATTTACCGACCGTGTGGGGCCCATTGATCATCAGTTAGCATATTAAAAACTGCAAACATTTGCCTCCACCCTATGGCAAAATGTGCAGAATTGCCGGAAATTAACTTTAAAACGTAATTTCTCTCTTCGCTGTCACGAGGGGGGCCGCTAAAATGTTATTTGGTAAACGCATCATACCGGCTGTATTTCTTTCTTAAACTTGATTGCTGAAATGCAAAAAAAATTGGGACTACATCAACAATGGACTAGGCTTGGAGGTCCATCTGTAGCAGGGATGGGCAACTCCAGTCCTCTGGGGCCTGATTGGTGTCACACTTTTGCCCCAGGTAACACACCTGACTCCAATAATCAACTAATCATGATCTTCAGTTTAGAATGCAATACTCGAGTGGTTTAAGGGGAAACATTTAAATGTCTTGGAATGGCCTAGTCAAAGCCCAGACCTCAATCGAATTGGGAATCTGTGGTATGACTTAAAGATTGCTGTACACCAGCGGAACCCATCCAACTTGAAGGAGCTGGAGCAGTGGCTAGGAGACATACCCCAAGAGACTTGCAGCTGTAATTGCTGCAAAAGGTGGCTCTACAAAGTATTGACTTTGGGGGGGTGAATAGTAATAATAATAATAATAATAATAATAATAATAATAATAATAATATGCCATTTAGCAGACGCTTTTATCCAAAGCGACTTACAGTCGTGCGTGCATACATTTTTGTATATGGGTGTCCCGGGGATCGAACCCACTACCTTGGCGTTACAAGCGCCGTGCTCTACCAGCTGAGCTACAGAGGTCCTAGTAATGCACGCTCAAGTTTTGTTTGTTTCACAAGAAAAAATATTTTGCATCTTCAAAGTGGTAGGCATGTTGTGTAAATCAAATGGTACAAACCCCCCCCAAAAATAAATTAAGTCCAAGTTGTAAGGCAACAAAATAGGAAAAACGCCAAGGGGGTTGAATACTTTCGCAAGGCACTGTAGGTCTATTATCAATAGCCTAACTGTTAAACGTGCATGTCTTTATAAATCATCCATATGCACTATATAATACAAAAGTGTGTGGACACCCCTTCAAATTAGTGGATTAGTTTTTTTTCAGCCACACCCGTTGCTGACAGGTGTAGAAAATCGAACACACAGCCATGCAATTTCCATAGACAAACATTGGCAGTAAATTGGCCTTATTGAAGAGCTCAGTGACTTTCAATGTGGCACCATCATAGGATGCCACCTTTCCAACAAGTCAGTTCGTCAAATTTCTGCCGTGCTAGAGCTGCTCCGGTCAACTGTTAGTGCTGTTATTGTGAAGTGGAAACGTCTAGGAGCAACAACGGCTCAGCGGCAAAGTGGTAGGCCACACAAGCTCACAGAATGGGACCGCTGAATCACGTAAAAATTGTCTGTCCTTGGTTGCAACACTCACTACCGAGTTCCAAATTGCCTCTAGAAGCAACGTCAGCACGAACTGTTTGTCGGGAGTTTCATGAAATGGGTTTCCATGACCGAACACAAGCCTAAGATTACCATGCGCAATGCCAAGTGTCGGCTGGAGTGGTGTAAAGCTCACCGTCATTGGACTCTGGAGCAGTAGAAACGCGTTCTCTGGAGCGATGAATCACGCTTCACCATCTGGCAGTCCGACAGATGATTCTGGGTTTGGCGGATGCCAGGAGAAAGCTACCTGACCCAGTTTGGTGGAGGAGGAATAATGGTCTGGGGCTGTTTTTCATGGTTTGGGCTAGGCCCCTTAGTTCCAGTGAAGGGAAATCTTAACGCTACAGCTTACAATGACATTATAGACGATTCTGTGCTTCCAACTTTGTGGCAACAGTTTGGGGAAGGCCCTTTCCTGTTTCAGCATAACAATGCCCCGTGCACAAAGTGAGGTCCATATAGAAATGGTTTGTCGAGATCGGTGTGGAAGAACTTGACTGGCCTGCACAGAACCCCATCGAACACATTTGGGATGAATTGGAAAGCAGACTGCAAGCTAGGCCTAATCGCCCAACATCAGTGCCCGACCTCACTAACGCTTGTGGTTGAATGGAAGCAAGGCCACACAGCAATGTTCGAACATCTAGTGGAAAGCCTTCCCAGAAGAATGGAGGCTGTTATAGCAGCAAAGGGGGGACCAACACCATATTAATGCCCATGATTTTGGAATGAGATGTTTGACGAGCAGGTGTCCACATACTTTTGGTTATGTAGTGTATATCTACAGGAATCAGACAGATCCTGCTTCTGTTGCCTGTTTGAGTGTTTGTTTAATAGCCTACTGATTCCCTGAGCACCAAGTCTCACAACTGCAAAATGTTGGATAAAGCAATTTCACAAATCAGTCTGTTTTTAATCTTTGCTAAGCTGTAATAAAGGGTTTACAATTATTAATTTGTATTATTAGAACAGACTCTGGTATTACGTATCATTTATTTACTGTTGTTCACACTGTTCCAAACAGGCAGAAAAATTATATTGTAACCCAACACCACTTTTGTCACACATAATATGCAAGCAGCTCTCGCTCCGATACCCTCCTTTTTCTTCATCTCCTTATTGTTATTATTACAATTATTATGATCATTATAATAAGTAATGTCATTATCATTATTAGGCTTTTATAGTAGTAGCCTTGTATAACCACCATTGAGCTGTAGGCCTAAGAGTGTGTCCTGTTTAGTCTTAATACAGTAACTTGCTATGCATGAAGCCTCTCCAGTTCCACCTAGTCGTCAACAGACACCTCATAAGCTGTCCTAACATATACAACCATTACTATATAATTCATGTTTAATATCAATTACACCTACTGTAGTTGAAAAAAGCTTGCCCAGTTTTCCAATTGTTTTTTTACTGGTTCCACTTCTGTATTTCATCACTAGGTGGAGACATTGACCATTGTACCCCACTCCCTGAGTACCAACCTGTATGGTCTACTGCACCATCTCTCATTAGCACCACCAGCTGAAGAGTGTTCTCCCTAATTGTCTTCCCCATACTCTGTATCCCCCAATCTCAACTCTGGACCTCCAAGCCAGTTCCACTGCATGTTTTCATTGCTCCCCTCTAATCAGGGACTGATTTTAGACCTGGGACACCAGGTGTGTGCAATTAATTATCAGGTAGAACAGAAAAACAGCAGTCTCCGGACCTCATAGTGTAAGAGTTGAGTACCCCTGCCCTATATGAACTTGTCCATTCACTTTGTGATTATCCATTGAAGGTCGAAACGTCAATCTTTTAAACTTGCTTAATAAAACTAAGAATTGTTCATGGTTAGCGAGCATTGCGCCTTTTCCTTTCCAATGATGTTTACACATTTTTAGGTTACACCTCGACTCCCTCTACTTCTTTCCATAAACGATCTAGACCTACATGCAACAGTATCTCTTGACAATGATTTTACATGAGGCCTAAGTCACATGATATGCTTAAATTACCACTAGGCTAATAATCACATTTTCCTTTTGATTATTTAATCATCCTATATTATGTTATTTCAAGTTATCCATTTGGAGCGCATGCAAAAGCAATTTAGAGTTGTTGAACGGGAGTTAGGACTGTGTTGATATAACGGTAATATTATCAAAAATCCTCTTTCAACCAGCATAATAATATACGATTCAGTGCAATGCCTATAACATCATTAAAAATATCAGAATTGGTTAAATAAGGTTATGCATGCCAACATATAAGGCATGAATTAAGAGTAGGCTAAGTTATCGTGTCAGGCGAAAATTATAGTTATCAAACGTTTCACCATTGCAACATTTGATGTACAGTCACATTCACCTCGGTTGTCTGAAGCATGCTGTAGAGTTCATAGCTGTCAATGCCTCATCTGCGGGCCAGGTGTAAATCGTTCGGCAGTCGAACCTATTATTGGGATACAAAAGAAGCCATCCACCCTTGATGGGCTATCAGCAGGACAATAGACTTGCTGAGTTGATTTCTATTTTTAGGGACTTTAAATGCATGTTTTAGGTCTAGCCAGGCCTGGAACTTCGTGATTTTAGGGGCAAGGCCATTCGGCCTTCAGGAGGTGCCCAATCTGCCAGGGCACCAAGGCCATCTGCTAGGACACCAATACCATTAACCAAAATAGCCAATTACTACAACCTTTCCAGACCGATGCTGACGTAAGGCACCTGAAAATGTAGCCAAACTTTAAACTTTAATGAGACTTTGAATTACTAACGCCAGTCATGTTTGACAAATATATAATGTAGGATCATTATTAATATCTAAAGGCTTGATTCTGTCGACATACTTGAGTCACTGTTGGTTCTGATAGAGAAAGGCCAGTGCCTGTTGCACACTGCAACAACACCCACCTTGACATCGGAATGGAGGCAGTCAACATTTAGACTGTTTAAAACCCAGACGTTTGTCATTTTATGAGGCATGTCTTGCCATGTTCCGACCATAGGAATGTTAAGGGGATTATTTTATAAACACTTCCTCATATGCAATTGAAACCAGTATTTATTTCTCTCATGTTCAACTTTCTTTTGTTGTCCAGCAGGCAAATATTTGTTTTGTCATATTAACAACCCATGCTTGTTGATGAGTCTTTGGAGCTTCACTATTTCTACATTTGAAGGATATTTTCATCCCTGTCATATGAATCCGCTCACATTTGCAGTGCACTTTTGATAAGGGTGTTTTCCCGCTAATTGCATTTTAGCCTACTGCAGTGTGCGCATTGCTGCGCTTATAATGTGAAGAAATAGCCTAATAGTTTATCAACATTTTAAGCTAAACGTTCTGATCTGTTGCATCAGCCTCATTGCTTGTAAAAGTGTTTTTTAAATGTACAGTGGTTGTATTAATTTGGGATGTATAGCTTCCCACAACTGTCCCAGAGTATGTTTGGAATATTTATTTCTCGCACAGAAGGACAAGCTGATCAACAGAATAGGTCAACTTTTCTACTATAGATTGACATATGCTAGTACTTTTGCTGTTTGTTAGGCCTACTCACGAAAAGTAAATGTGGACAGTTCTTCTAACATCTTTAATATCTGCCTCAGAATTCAATAAGAAGGACGCGCTCCGTTGCAGCCGTCTGTCTTCACTTGTAGCCTACTTCAAAGCTACGATACCTGTGAGAAGGACCCCGATCACGTGATATCTGGCAATTGGCAGCAGGAAATTCATCATGTAAAAAAATAATCTGACCATTTGGAACACAACAAATACAATAATAGTACAGCCAAGATTAAAAACTGTCGCATTCCTTTGTGATTGCAATTGCTTTAGCCAACATGTTGCAGTTAATTTATCGTTTAATTATTCAAGGCTCCCTTTAACTTATTTTAAAACTAAAATGTTTGAACGAAATGATCAGACCAAAAGACGAGGACAACAGTTCACCTGACACAAGACTAAAGTTTGAAATGTCTTTAACTCAATACCAGACCTGATTTGCCCTGATGAAAATGCATCACCCCCCTACAAATGTAAATGTATTATAATCCACATAATAATCAAAACAACCTTATAATAGGTAATGATGTACAGTATATACTCCATATCCAATAGAAAGTATACAGTATTTGTTCATCAACATCTTTGCGTTTTCGTTAATAAAAGAATGATAAAAAGACAGTAGATCTGCTCCAAGATGCCCTCTGGTGGTTCAAATGAGCATTAACGGCAAGCACTGCGACTCCCCGACGCATATCACAGCATACCGTTCACTATACTGCAGTATGATGCAACTTTTAAATGATGAACCACTGTAGTTTTAACGGAACAGCCTGAAATGGGGTTTTTTCAGCTCCGATGTACTCAAGAGGCATACAACGCTGTGTATGCATAACCTATAGCCGATGACGTGGATGTGGCTTAAATGTGGAAGACACATTTCAGTTGAATGCATTCAGTTGTACAACTGACCAGGTATCCCCCTTTCCCTATATGCCTAGTGTTCTTATTTTGTTAATATTTTTTTATGCATTAATTCGGGTCCACAGCGCAGCCCAAACAGCAGTCCCCATAACGAACGGTTCGGTAGTAATACGTGTACCGTTAAACCCCTAAGGGAACTAGGGTTTTTTCATATCAACGGTATAGTCATTGTTAAGAACCGGAATGGGCTGTACTAAGTCTATGAAATGTGTGTGTTGGAGGGCAATGAGTGATAACACGCACCGTCTCTGAGACATCCTATCCTGTACATCATGGGCATCTTGATGACAAAGGCGAACAGGTCGTCGATGAAAGTGTTCAGTGCCTTGTAGGTGAGCATCCTCCATGGGAGGTGGGCCACAGACTTCATCTTATAGTTGATGAACAGCTGTGGCGTCATCGTGATGAAACCTGAGCCAATCACAAAGCAGACACGACGACGCATCAGATCAGAGAAACAATGAGCAGCGTCACCTAGTCCGTCTCTGACAGTGTCATTTAGGGGAGAATATCGCTTAGGATGTCAATTAATAAAGAGAGTCATTTAGGAAAGAATGTGTTAACAAGGACAAACTATCAATAATGATAGACTTATGGGTCAATAAGGCTAGATTGTCTGCTAGGACAGACTGTCAATAGGGATCAGACTATGTCATGAGGATTAAGACGGCATAGACTGCCACTTCTCCTGGACTGTGCAACTGATATTTTAGCGACGTGATCATCACAGCATTGAAAACAAGGGAGGAAAGGATGATCTTCCATGACCAGAGAACTAGGAATTCCTGATAAATCAGACAAAAAAAAATGGAAATAAATCACACTTCTGAACAATGACCACCAGTGACTCACCAAAGGTTAACAAGAAGCCATAGAGCATGCCCAGTACAAATGAGTACCAGCCTTTGTGCTCCTGGTACAACACACTGTAGACGGCATAGCACCCGAACAGAGGGTACAGCAGCCATGACAGGTACCTGAAGGCCATCTACGCAGAGGAAAGAGGAGAGGGAAAAAAAACATCCGCACAACATTTTCCATGCGAGCGGTAAATAAAAAGTATTATATTGTGTCGTGTTGACAGGTTTCCTTACGTCGTCGAAGACTTTGGTGGAGGACTTCACGTACGTTGACTTGTCTTTTATTGATAAGCGTGGGAGGATCCCGAACAATTTGTTTTCTCTGTCCAACTGGGGAGAGACATCTGGATTAGCTAACAAACAGGGATTCATTTATGCAACCAAACACATTGAAATACCTGTTCTCCATCTCACCTTGACGTCCATGACCTTGGTGATCTTCCAGAAGTCGATGAGCAGGCCGATGAACACGCTGACCTGGAGGTTATGGGACACAAGATGGGGATTAGTAAAGGGACCACTCTGCTCTAATACAATGGTCATGAATGACATGCGTACAGAGCCTGCCGTAATGAATGATATTACAAGGGGTCTGGTGACAAGTCTTTATTTTAATCATTTTTGAAATAAATGAAACCCCACTGACCTGCACCACGAAGTTGGTCTCATTGTCCAGGATGTAGAGCAGTACCACCAGGGACTGGAACACCCCGAAGATGATGGAGCGCACAGAGAGACCCTCCATAGACTGCCTGCTGTTCCAGAACTGGATGTCTGACACACACACAGAGAGAGAAGAGTATAGAATCCAAAAGAGGTCTTATAATAGGCAATTCAGCTGTGGAAACAGAAGCACAGTGAGTTCACCATTCTTAAATGCCAGGAACTCGAAGATGCTGTGTACGATGGAGACCACGATGGTCACGCCCAGGAGGTACGGGTTGGTTTCCAGCAGGGCCACCTACAGAGACAACACAGTTCCTTAGCAATTGTTACCAGGGAAACAACAGGGAGTCTAGACTCCGGGACCAGTCTGATTCTAAGATGTGCTATATTGGAGGAGCAAATATAAAACAGAAATCTATATATCTCCTTCTCTATTTACATCCTGCCCCGGCCTATGACCTCTAAACCCCTGACCTTGACAGAGTCCTGGTCCTCGTCAGACTGCTCGTAGGTGTCCTCTGGCAGGAAGTTCCACGGTGAGCGGGCGTTCTGGGCTGCGTAGAGCTGCCAGCGCCACAGGGACAGCGGGCAGTAGGAGAGGCGCAGAGGCAGCGACGGCAGGGTCTCATTGATGGGGTAGTAATCTTTCTGCAGGTTCCAGTAGTCGTTGAAGTAGACGATAGGATAGTAGTCGCCGCTCACCGCGTCAAACTTCACATCTGTAGGGTTGGTGAAGGTAAAAAGGAACGGGTTGAGAAAATTTGACAGCCAGAATAGAGCGGTAACTAAAAGGTATTTCACCTTTAGTTAGACTTCTGTAAAGAAGCAGTACATCTCAACCCTCCTAGTATATGCTCTGGTATGACCCACTGAGAAGCGTGAGAACAGGTGGGTAGAGCTTACGTTGGTCCAGTGGAGGGGGGACCGAGCCCTTGACCCAGGCTGTATGGTCGTCCACCATGTTGATGGTGAGGTTGGGGTGCCAGTGGGAGATGATCTCCACCGGGCCATGGCTCTCCGCTCGCTGGGGAAGAGAAAAGGTAGTTAATCAATACTGTGTGGACTGGGTCTACTGACTGAAAAGGAATGGGGTCTATGTATCATGGTAAACACAGCTGACCTTGATCATCTCCGGGTCGGTCTCGGTCTCCCCTGTCAGCAGGTTCTTAGTCTTCACGAACTTCCTGCGTTTGAACTTGTTCAGCACTGAAAAAGTCAGAGGAAAACATGAGTCAAACCACTGACATACTAGTTTGAAAAGGTCTTGCATGCACCAGAGCAGGGGTGTGTGCGCATGTCAGTTACTTACTCCGCGTGGCATGGACTGTTGCTAGCCGACGATACTGGCCCTTGCGTTTGGGGTCTGGGTGGAATCCAGTCTTCGTGAAATACACGTGGATGTAGAGGGAACCATTCATTTGCACCTTCTGTAGCACATAGGATCAGAGAGAGAGATTAGAAAATGGAAATCCTACTCTTAATTCTCCCTCCCCAGTCTCCCTCCTCACCTCTGGGATGTCCAGATCCAGTGAGTGCTCATAGCAGCCGTCCCCCTCTTCTCCAGTGTTCCAGTCTCCGTAGACCAGGTCTCTATGAAACCAGAACAGGGACTGTGTGTCGTTGAAGTCAGAGAACACCTCGTCCTGGGAGATGTACACATACAGGTCCTGAGGGCAGAAGGAAAACAGGTTAACATTTATTTCAGTTATCCATTTCCATGTTCTCCTATTGATTTGTCCATATGGTACTGCTTTGGGTGGTTGTTTGCTGTGGCACAGCTTCTTAGTCCAGCAGTGTGCACTAATTATTGAGTGAAGTCAACAAGCGAGCCAGGACCTAACTCATCGACGGAGACCAGCTGTTCACACAGCTCACCCAGAGAACCTACACTGAGCAGCAGGCACAGACCAAAGGTCAACCAGGAAGTCAATACAGTCACGTGACCTGAGGTTTATTGCTTATGCAGAACGGTGTGAAAAGGCTGGCATACCATGAGGCTTTCCTTGGGGAAAAGGTTTCGGCTGGGTAATTGTGGCGCCCCTGCTGGGGTACTGGGGTCTGGAGTAGAGGACCCCCTGCGGAACCAGCTACTGATGGCCCAGATGACAAAGATCCTGCAGAGGATGAGGACAAGGGAAGAAAAAAGTCAGATTAGTCCAATTGAAACCAATTCAACTTTTAGTCAAATGTGTAACGTAATGGGATTTTTTAAAAGTGTGATGCTTGGGACCATAGAAATATAAATTATATTTCTATGATTGGGACCACCCAACTGACATCACCCCATTGATGTTGAAATCTAAAACAGTTCATGTTAGGTAAAAGGTATCCCACTTTGCATCTACCGTAAGGTAAGTATGTGTGTCTGAAACAAAGGCTGAGATACAGACAAGTGTTTGTTTTTGATATCTTTAGCATCAGATGTTGGAGAGGATTGAACCCTATTGCCAAATCTGATGGTCTTGTATCCCATCAAGCTACCATTGTCAGGCTCACATCAACAGGGCCTTCTTCCAAGTTTGCCATCTTGTTTTGAGCTTCAAGTATCAGTTGACTGAAATACTCCCGGGGAATGTGTTGCAACAGTATGAAACTCTCACACCGTACTGCTTCTATGATAGGACCCAGCTCTCCTGATACTCATTAATGCACCCTAAACAATGTCATTCTAATCCCTCCCTGGCCCCAGCATTCTGTTTCTGTCTCCACTAATAAGACCAGCAGAGTGTGGAGAGATTCCAATAGGTTGAGATTTTTTAAAATGATCTAGCAAACACTGAAAATTCAACAAAATCACACGTTCAAGACAAGACACCTTCGACAGACCAAGATCAATTGAATTAAATGCTGCTGGTGTGCTTGACTTGATTGAAGGTCTTTAGTCATATATATTCCAGTCAAACTAGGGCATGGCCCAGACCCCATTAGAGGATAGCCTTACCATCAACCATACTTCTTAAAACACCCCCCACACATTCAAGTAAACAGGGGCTGTCTATTGTTTTCATATCAGTGTGTGTGTGTGTGTGTACATCTCTGACCCACCTGAAGAGGACTCCTTTTATGACCGACCATGCGTTGGGTGGTGGAGCCGGCTGTTGCTGCGCAGGGTCCCCAGCAGCAGTCTGTACAACCTGGCCATCCACGGCTGCAGCAGCTCCATTGCTGCCCACCTACACACAGGCAATAGATCAATCAGGGAATCATAAAATAGGTTTCTATCCAATAGCGAATTATCCCCCAAAAAGATATGCACATTTTTACAGGTTTTTCCAACAAACTGGCTTGTTACGGATGAAAAGCTGTGGGTGATGACATAGCCTAGTGCACATAAAAAGCACCTTTTCCGCATAGGTTTCCATTAACTGAATAAAAACAGAAGTTCAATGTGATTCCATCGCATTTCCATTGGTTTTGTCACAAAAAACGGTTGCTATCAATAGCAAACTTGCCCAATCTTATCTTGGTGGATGCTCTCTAGACAACAGTTCACTGATAAAGGAGAGTGTAGGTTCCAAAAAAAATCTATTTCACTAGTTAGGTGACAGATTTTCATGCGAATATTCTAAACTCTGCCTAAACAAAATATGCGCATTTTCCCACCAGAGATGTGTTTCCATCAAATTGACTAGTTTTGGATAAAAGTCTGTGCGTGATGACGTTTTGCACATTATTTCTGCGTTCAATTCCCATGTACCGTATACAAAAATACAAGTTAAATGTGTTTCCATCACATTTTCAACTCAAAATGTTGCATTATATAGTGAATGTGCCCACTCTGGTATTGGCACAAGCGCTCTAGCCAACAGCTGGCAGATACAGTGCGGGTATAGCCTACACAATGAGATTACTATGGACAAAAGAGCTAGATTTTAAATGTCAAAAGGGCAGCCAAGCATCAATCATCATGTCACCAGAAAAAGACCCTCGATATTTATTGGAAAGGAGCATCAAGCTTATCACCTTACCCTTTCACCACCCTGTGAAGTTGATCAATTTATTTCATCTGTAGCTGAATAAACTGCATGGTTTCCGAGTCGTAGTGGGACGACCACATAACATTGCGTGACTCCAAGTTTACCGACACAAAAAGATCCCACCATGTCGAACGAACAAATTGTCTGAACAAATTGTCTGTCGTAGGGATGCAAATATCGGTCAATTTTGCTGCCAACTAACTGACCCTCATTAACCCGTCAACAAACGACAAAATAAAAAATCTAACAGTAAAATGACGTGACCAACAGACAATAACAACAGAGATCTGTATATAATGACAAGATGCTTAGTCTCCACCCTAACAATGGGAGTCGTCCCAAGGCGGGAAGGCAGGCGACAAGCTTAGGTCCAAAATAAACCCATAGAAACGCATTGGGCTTATTTTTGACCGATTTTGGCGAGAGTGAAACCTCTCGAGTCGCCTCTTCCTCTCAGATACCATGAATGCATACAAGGACTGGACATTTTTCATTAAGAGCTTAATGGAAACATGCAACAATAGCAACACTATCGTCTTACAGTCAAAAGGCTATAGCCTATTATTGAACATGTAACTTCTGTAATGAAGCAGCTAATAAAGACGTAATTTTTAAACATTTGCCAAAACACAATTCACTCGAATTGGGAAAACACTGTTCTAAACAGTGCACCTATTGCGAGCAGTTGCATATTTGACAGATGAAAATCTCCATTAGAAACTTAAGAGGGGAATCTAATAGCAACAACTAGGATGAGTTTCTAATATGACTAGGATTGTGCCTTTGGCTTCTGGACAACGAAAGAAAGTTGATCCTGGACTTCCTGACGGGCCGCCCCCAGGTGGTAAGGGTAGGTAACAACACATCTGCCACGCTGATCCTCAACACGGGGGCCCCTCAGGGGTGCGTGCTCAGTCCCCTCCTGTACTCCCTATTCACCTATGACTGCATGGCCAGGCACGACTCCAACACCATCATTAAGTTTGCCAACGACACAACAGTGGTAGGCCTGATCACCGACAACTATGAGACAGCCTATAGGGAAGAGGTCAGAGACCTGGTCGTGTGGTGCCAGGTACAACAACCTCTCCCTCAACGTGATCAAGACAAAGGAGATGATTGTGGACTACAGGAAAAAACTGATGACTGAGCACCATTCTAATCAACGGGGCTGTAGTGGAACAGGTTGAGAACTTCAAGTTCCTTGGTGTCCACATCACCAACAAACTATCATGGTTCAAACACACCAAGACAGTCGTGAAGAGGGCATGACAAAGCCTATTCCCCCTCAGGAGACTGAAAAGATTAGGCATGTGTCCTCAGATCCTCAAAAAGTTATATAGCTGTCACCATCGAGAGCATCCTGACTGGTTGCATCACTGCCTGGTATGGCAACTGCTCGGCCTCTGACCGCAAGGCACTACAGAGGGTAATGCGTACGGCCCAGTACATCACTGGGGCCAAGCTTCCTGCCATCCAGGACCTCTATACCAGGCGGTGTCAGAGGAAGGCCCTACAAATTGTCAAAGACTCCAGCCACCCAAGTCATAGACTGTTCTCTCTGCTACCGCACGGCAAGCGGTACCGGAGCGCCAAGTCTAGGTCCAAAAGGCTTCTTAACAGCTTCTACCCCCAAGCCATAAGACTCCTGAACAGCTAATCATGGCTACCCAGACTATTTGCATTACCCCCCCCCCCCCAACCCAACCCCCTCTTTTAAGCTGCTGCTACTCTGTTTATTATTTATGCATAGTCACTTTAATAACTCTACCCACATGTACATATTACCTCAATTACCTCGACTAACCGGTGCCCCCGCACATTGACTCTATACCGGAACCCCCCTGTATATAACCTCCCTACTGTCATTTTATTTTACTGCTGCTCTTTAAATTTTTGCTTGTAAGTAAGCATTTCACTGTAATGTCTACATCTGTTGTATTCGGCGCATGTGACAAATAAATTTGATTTGAGAGAGCACATTCTGGAGAGAGAGACGTGCATTGTGCATCTTAGCCACACTCCCCTTCTTCTTGAACTGTGCCATCCACGCGGCCTCCGCAATGGATTAGTCTCAGCCTCTGCAATGGATTAGTTCCAGAGATTTTTTTTACACGCATGGTCTCACAGTGGAAAGCAAATATCACGTGAACTAAAAAATAGTAATTGATGGGATCTGTTCTGAAGGGGATGACAGGCCAGTGGCATGTACAGTTGAAGTCAGAAGTTTACATACACCTTAGCCAAATACATTTAAACTCAGTTTTTCACAATTCCTGACATTTAATCCTAGTAGAAATTCCCTGTCTTAGGTCAGTTATTTTAAGAATGTGAAATGTCAGAATAATAAATAAATAAAATAAATATGCCATTTAGCAGACGCTTTTATCCAAAGCGACTTACAGTCATGCGTGCATACATTTTTGTGTATGGGTGGTCCCGGGGATCGAACCCACTACCTTGGCGTTACAAGCGCCGTGCTCTACCAGCTGAGCAGAGAATGATTTATTTCAGCTTTTATTTCTTTCATCACATTCCCAGTGGGTCAGAAGTTTACATACACTCAATTAGTATTTGGTAGCATTGCCTTTAAATGGTTTAACTTGGGTCAAACGTTTTGGGTAGCCTTCCACAAGCTTTCCACAATAAGTTGGGTGAATTTTGGCCCATTCCTCCTGACAGAGCTGGTGTAACTGAGTCAGGTTTGTAGGCCTCCTTGCTCGCACATGCTTTTCAGTTCTGCCCACACATTTTCTATAGTATTGAGGTCAGGGCTTTGTGATGGCCACTCCAATACCTTGACTTTGTTGTCCTTAAGTCATTTTTCCACAACTTTGGAAGTATGCTTGGGGTCATTGTCCATTTGGAAGACCCATTTGCGACCAAGCTTTAACTTCCTGACTGATGTCTTGAGATGTTGCTTCAATATATCCACAACATTTTCCTTCCTCATGTGCACCAGTCCCTCCTGCAGCAAATCACCCCCACAGCATGATGCTGCCACCGCCGTGCTTCACAGTTGGGATGGTGTTCTTCGGCTTGCAAGCCAACCCCTTTTTCCTCCAAACATAACGATGGTCATTATGGCCAAACAGTTATATTTTTGTTTCATCAGACCAGAGGACAATTCGCCAAAAAGTACGATCTTTGTCCCCATGTGCAGTTGCAAACCGTAGTCTTTTTTTATGGCGGTTTTGGAGCAGTGACTTCTTCCTTGCTGCGCGGCCTTTCAGGTTATGTCGATATAGGACTTTTTTACTGTGGATATAGACACTTTTGTACCTGTTTCCTCCAGCATCTTCACAAGGTCCTTTGCTGTTGTTCTGGGATAGATTTGTACTTTTCACACCAAAGTACGTTCATCTCTAGGAGACAGAATGTGTCTCCTTCCTGAGCGGTATGACGTTGCGTGGTCCCATGGTGTTTATACTTGCGTACTATTGTTTGTACAGATGAACGTGGTACCTTCAGGCGTTTGGAAATTGCTCCCAAGGATGAACCAGACTTGTGGAGGTCTGACAATTTTTTCCTGAGGTCTTGGCTGATTTCTTTTCATTTTCCCATGATGTCAAGCAAAGAGGTACTGAGTTTGAAGGTAGGCCTTGAAATGCATCCACAGGTACACCTCCAATTGACTCACATGATGTCAATTAGCCTATCAGAAGCTTCTAAAGCCATGACATAATTTTCTGGAATTTTCAAAGCTGTTTAAAGGCACAGTCAACTTAGTGTATGTAAACTTCTGACCCACTGGAATTGTGATAGTGAATTATAAGTGAAATTATCTGTCTGTAAACATTTTTTTTTTTTTATGACTTGTGTCATGCACAAAGTAGATGTCCTAACCGACATGCCAAACAAGTCGGTTTGTTAACAAGACATTTGTGGAGTGGTTGAAAAACGAGTTTTAATGACTCCAACCTAAGTGTATGTAAACTTCCGACTTCAACTGTATGTGCACTGTTTGCTCTGCAACATGACAGAAAAAAACGTTTTTCTACCTAAGCGCAACTATGTCAGGTGTAAATGAGTACTCATATTTCCTAAATTGTCACACAGGTAAATGTTCCTCAAATTTGCAAAAGGAACTCATGGAGTTTGACCGAAGTGACTAGCTTGCTCGCTAATAACTAACCAGCAGATCCGACCCGCTTGCTTACAGCTGCACTAGGGTCAGACAGGCTTCCTGTGTAGCTTAGCCGGCTTCTCACTTTGAAAACATACCTCAATCCAGGGATGAGAAATGCTTTGTACTCCGAATTGTCCCATCATCCCAACTGTTACAAGAGAAGATTGAACAACATAGTTAGCAGTAGCCACAGCAGCCATTATGGAATGGCATGTTGCGTTGAACAACAAGAGCTGATTGTCTGAAACTGCAATTCCAAAATGGCTAATGTGGCTTCTGCTACCTACCATGTGGATGAAAGGGTCAGTTTTCCGGAAAAACAGCCTGGTCTCATAGACTAGACATAACACAGTAAATATAAATCCGGGGACACTCAAATTAGTATGATATGTTACGTTTGGTATGGTTACATAAGACAGATGGTTACTTAAGGCAAAAATGAAAGGGTGGTTGGTCGGGATGGATGGATGGGCGTATAATGCGAATGTCTCATCACGGACAACGTTAGCATTTTAGCAACTTAGCAACTTTTTAACTACTTAACATGTTACCTAACCCTTCTAGCTAATCCAGTTTGCTAATCCTTTTAGCTAAACTTAACCCTAACCCCTAGCTTAGCTAACGTTGGCCACCTATAGCTAACGTTGGCCACCTATAGCTAACGTTGGCCACCTAGCTAGAATTCTTAACATATTGTAAGTTTTGGCAAATTCGTAAAAAATTGTATGTTTAGCAAATTCGTAACATATACGTAATTTAATTCGTAACATATCATACGAAATGGGTGATGACATCCACAAATGAACCATTACCATTTACGTCATTTAGCAGACGCTCTTATCCAGAGCGACTTACAAATTGGTGCATTCACCCTATAACCAGTGGGATAACCACTTTACAAGCGACACAGCCAGTACCATACCATACATAGTAATATATCATACTAAATGGAGTGTCTCGGATTTACATACAGAATAATACAAAATACTTTGAGGCCAGTTTGGGAAAAACTATTAGTCATTCAATCTTCTCGGTGTAGTAGCAGTTGGGATAATGGGACAATTCGGAGTACAACACGTTTCTCATCCCTGGATTGAGGTACAGTATGTTTCCGAGTCATATCTTGCTCCAGCTCCGCAGTGTCTTTATCTACACAGGAAGCCTGTCTGACACTAGTGCAGTTGTATGCAAGCAGGTCGGATCTGCTTGTTTGCTAATAACAAGATGCAACATCCATAACTAATTTAGCTAACTAACCTAAATCTAGAAAGTACATCCCTACTTGCAATCTTTAAATCACATCGATGTTCGATATATTCTCAGTATTGGGCTGTGATTCGTTTCGTACTCAGTCAATAAATAACGTTAGTCCATTGAATAAGGCCGTTAGATTAAGGTCATGTTTGACAAATTAATCTACTAACGATACGTAGCTACATAGGCCGACCAAATAGCATTGTCAGTCTAGCTAGCCACTCCTGTAGCTAACTACTAATTTAACTATGTTAGCCAGCTAATAATAGTTAGCTAACTAGTTTAAAGCTGGCTAACGTGTATCTGTTTCCCCAAGTGCCGACCTCATTATTATGTTCAGAAATATGTTTGTCGACAGTTCTACCTTGCAAGATGCTGTAACAAACGCATCGTGAAAGGCAGGGGGTCGTTTTTAAACCGACCGGCATTGACAACGTCAGAGGCTCGTGTGAAATGATCACACTTCAATAACAATATCTGCTGTGCCACTCACTGCTCTCGAGTTAACCATATGCCGCTGTTAGTACAGTCACAAATTGAAGACAGTCATACAATTTCATTCATTTTTACCTCGCCGTTGGTTTGCGGAGAAGCTTCGGTCTCCTGCGACGCCATCTTCGCTGTCTCTGTCGCACACACTGGTAATGAAATCGCAGTCCTCGCGTGAGCTCAGATAGGTACATCATCAACGTTGCGTTTTTTGCATAGAAGCAAGTCATCCCATGTTGCTATGAAGACATCTGAGGGCCTTATTTCTCTATTTTCAACAGTCCCTCTTTTAAACAATAGACAGCGGTTTGTTATATCTGCCACATTCTCTTTACTGTATGTTGTGCTGACTGTATTTGTGCCTGTTGTAACCCAGTGGTGTAAAGTACTACTTTTTATATTTATATTTTTGCCAACGTTTACTTTTACTAAACGACAATCCCCCCAAAAATGATGTACTTTTTACACCATACATTTCCCTGACACCCAAAAGTACTCGTTACATTTTGACAGGAAAATGGTCCAATTCATGCACTTATCAAAATAATATCCCTGTTCATCCCTACTGCCTTTGATCTGGCGGACTCACTGAACACAAATGCTTCCTTTGTAAATTATGTCTGAGTGTTGGAGTGTGTCCCTGGCTTCCATAAATAAATAAAAAACAAGAACAGTCTGGTTTGCTTAATATAAGGAATTTGAAATGATTCATACTTTTACTTCTGATACTTAAGTATATTTGAGCAATTCCATTTACTCATGATACTTAAGTATATTTAAAACCAAATACTTTTAGACTTTTACTCAAGTAGTATTTTACGGGGTGACTTTCACTTTTATTTCAGTCATTTTCTATTGAGGTATCTTTACTTTCACTAAAGTATGACAATTTAGTACTTTTTCCACCACTGACCATATTCCTTCCCTGTCAGGGGTTCGCTGTCCAGTTTCCCGTGCAGTGTCCCAGTTCAACCTGACAGTTTCGGGATAAGTGTGTGAGGACCATAGTCTTTAACCCCTGCCAAGACTAGAGATATCTTCGACCTCTCTTTTCACCATGCATCAGATTCTTTATTTCTGTCCTGCTAATGGTGAATCAGAGTAAGAATCGGCCAAATACACCTTGATCATCACATCTGCTGGTAATAGTAATTTTTATTGTGCATAAGATACCATTACACTTTGGCACATCAACAATAACACCAACACCTTTGCGATTTCATAAGAACCGATTGCAAATCATGGACAAATCAGGGCCTGTTAGTTGCTGACAATGTCCAGGAAAAAATACAAATCAATAAAAAAGGAACGCATTAATAATTTGCTATTGTATTCACATTTTCTCTTCCAAAACTCACTCAACCAAGAGTGACAAATCAAATAACAGATCACATGCTTTCATGAGTCAAACTCTTAGAAGTGGTGATGAGGATTAGTACAATGAAGCTCAGTAGAAGCACGGATAAGACATGTCATCCATATGTAAAGTGCATTGTCGCCACCTGGGCACTCGGTCTGAACTGCATACTGTCAATGTGCACAACTGGTGTTCCGACATTTTGAAGTGTTGGAGTGTTAGAAGCAGTTTAACAGTTTCCAGAATCTAGAACAGGGACATGACACACGAAAACAAAGGGCTTATATGGTACCAATAACCATTGAACTAACAGATGTTCAAATAAACTAAACATTTTGCCACTAGTAAGTAGTAGTACAACTAGATATTTTGTTGTGGCTTGAATTCTTGCATTCCAAAGCATGATATTTATTTTATAAAGTTTGATAGAACCCTGGCTTGGGTTGATAATTGACATTTGATGAACATTGTGGTGCTTTTCATGACTGCCTATTATTCATATAGAATATAGGATGCGACGGGCAATTCAGGTTCAACTCAAAAGTCTGAGGACATCAATTTAGGAACGCTTGCTTTCTACATCCTCTGGATCAAATGAACTAGTGGGACCACATGCTCGATGATGAGTTGTTCCTCATTCAATATACAGTAAATTCAACTTTTTATTTTTAAGATGCAGTCCTGTATCTTAAACACAACAAATTCGTAAAATATTGCATGAATTTGACTCGTAACACGACATGAAATTGCTAAATACATATATATCATACAAATGGCCAAATTCGTATCATATCACACAAAATGAATGACGTGGTACACAATGGGATGATATAGTACACAAAACGGACCAGTTTTGGCTCATGCGCACCACTTACCAAACTACTGTCTGAAATTATACAAACGTTGGAGTGCATCTTTAACTACATATCAAACAGTTATAAACAATCGTACATGTACAGAATGAATAAAAAATTGATCACTTGAATTTGATTTAGAACCAAACTATGCTCTGATACAGAATGCTAGTGAAGAATATTAGTAGTCGTCTTCCATCTTGGAACAACATAATTGAGCAGTGTAATTGAGTTGGGGCAGTGGGTACTTCTGAAGAGAAAGTGATGCTTAAGAGGACCACTTCATACCCTCTGACAGAGTTCACATGAAACATTGACTAGGTTAGATCCTCCCATGACGGTTTACTCACTTTCAGCACTGAATTTATATTCCAACCCATACCTCCCTGACCAGCGCAAAACAAAATAAAGTTATTAATCCCAATGACACTGTCCCTCGCCCCGGGTTCGTAATCGGACTGGAGGTCAAAGTTGAACCCATCTGCCCACGCCCTTTGACTGGGTGATAGCATCACAATCCTACATCTCGTCCAGACCGTAGTCTGGGAAGTCCCCCACGGTCACTCTGAGGGGCCTGACAAATGCACCGTACTTGTTCTCACGTTCAAAGTATCGCTTCTCCTTCACACTGTAAGGAAAGAGAGAGGAGACATCAAGTAAATTTATGACAGAGAAACTCATCAGGTCTGCACCTCTCCATAGGTCTAATACCAGAAAGACAAGTCAAGATGCAAGGTAGCTCTTAACAGTGAACATTCTCAGACACCATGTGATGAGGTCACAAAATTATGCCAGTTGCCCTCACCTGCCATCATGTTTCCCAAGAGGCATACTTAACGCCCACCCAATGACCTGGCTTGAAATCTACTGTACCTGCAAGACAGAAAATAACAGTTTTTTCTGTTGGAAGAAGGAGTGCCTTAAGAATACATACCCTTTGACTTATTCCACTTTGTTGTATTACAGCCCAAATACAAAATTGATTTTTTTTTTTTTTTTTTTACAATTTCAACCATCTACACTCAATACCCCATAATGGAAAAAGTGAAAACATGTTTTGAATTTTTTTCTAATGATTGAAAATGAAATACAGAAATATCTCAATTACATAAGTATTCACAACCCTGAGTCAATACTTAGTAGAAGCACCTTTGGCAGCGATTACAGCTGTGAGCTTTCCACACCTGGATTGTGCAACATTTGCCCATTATTCTTTTCTAAATTCTTCAAACTCTGTCAAATTGGTTGTTGATCATTGCTAGACAACCATTTTCATGTCTTGCCATATATTTTCAAGTAGATTTAACTCAAAACTGTAACTCAGCCACTCAGGAACATTGACTGTCTTCTTGGTAAGCAACTCCAGTGTAGATTTGGGTGATTTAGGTCATTGTCCTGCTGAAAGGTGAATGAATCTCTCAGTGTCTGGTGGAAAGCAGACAACCAGGTTTCTCTAGGATTTTTCCTGTGTTTAGCTCCATTCCGTAAATTTTTTATCCTTAAAAACTCCCCAGTCCTTAACAATTAGAAGCATACCCATTACATGATGCAGTCACCACTATCCTTGAAAATATGGAGTGGTACTCAGTAATATGTTGTATTGGATTTTCCCCACACAACACTTTGTATTCAGGAGAAATTATTATGCGACTTGTTAAACACATTTTTACTCCTGAACATATTTAGGCTTCCCTAACAAAGGAGATGAACACTTATTGACTAAAGACATTTCAGCTTTTCATTTTTTATTAATTAGTACAAATGTATTTAAAAAAACAATTCCACTTTGACATTATAGGGTATTGTGTGTAGGCCAGTGGCAAAAAAACTCTAAATTTAATCCATTTTAAATTCAGGCTGTAACAACATTTTGAAAAAGTAAAGGGGTGTGAATACTTTCTGAAGTGCATTCGGAAAGTATTCAGACCCATTCCCTTTTTCCACATTTTGTTACTTTACAGCCTTATTCTAACATTGATTAAATTCATCAATCTACACACAATACCCTATAATGACAAAGCGAAAACAGGCGTAGAAATGTTTGCAAATGTATTTAAAAAAATAAAAAACAGAAATACCTTATTTATTAAGTATTCATACCCTTTGCTATGAGACTGAAACTTGAGCTCAGATGCATCCTGTTTCCATTGATCATCCTTGAGATGTTTTTCCAACTTGATTGGAGTCCACCTGTGGTAAATTCTATTGATTGCAGGGACGGCTTGTTCAATAGGGCGATATGGGCGACGCACTGCCAAACGGGAAAAGGAAGGGATTTTTTTTCTAATCAATTATAAAAAATAAAAAAATAAAAAATTATAATTTTTTTTAATAAATTTATAAAAAATTATATCACGGCAACAGCAGTTATCAGTGTTCACGTCTGATCTGCCAGCCACTAAATGTCAAATCAGGCTAAAGTCGTGCTTCAAATGGCCCCGCCCGTTTTTTGGGCGATTTCAGTCAGGTTGAACATCGCCCAGAAGTCTGTCATAGACTCCCATGTAAAATCTATTTTTTTCACATTTCAAAGCTTTCAATACATTCTCTATGGGTGTCTGTGGGCATGCACTTACGCGCTTTCGTCATACATAACGTAACCACGAATGAACGTAACTAAGAAAAGACCAGGTAGCAGCCTCAATCAATTCACTACTACTATCAAAATGGCTAGGCTTCAGTCCAACTCGATTGTGTCTTTGAAATAAGTTCCTTTTTGTCGGCGAACAAATGAAGATAAATTGGCAACGAAACAATTAGGACCTCCCAGACCAAATTTAATAATTCAACAGGTGTCTACTAAAGGGGGAAAGTCCTACACCCGAGGATTTTCCAAAAATTGGTATGAACGGAAAACCTGGCTAGCAGGCTGCGATGTAGCTAATGCAGTTTTTTGCTACCCCTGCTTACTCTTCCACCCTGAAGGCGGCACAGCAGACAGCACCGCTTGGACAGCGACTGGTGTAACCGACATGCACCATCTTTCAGAAAAGATAAAGAAACATGAGCTGTCAAAGACCCACATGGATAGCTGTTTGAGATTGTCATCTTTGGGAAGAGTGAATATTGCCACTCAACTGGATGAGGGATACAGGCTAGCTGTCCGCCGCCACAACGATGAGGTTAGCAAGAACCGCCATATCCTCAGCCGGCTAATCCAGTGTGTTAAGTTTTGCGGAGTGTTTGAGTTAGCTTTGCGAGGCAAAGATGAAACTGAGGGCTCCACCAACCCTGGTATTTTTCTTGGACTTGTCAACTTTGTGGCACAATTAGATGAGGTGTTTGATGACCATCTTAAAAATGCTAAAGTTTTCAAGGGCACATCAAAGACCATTCAAAACGAGCTACTGGAGTGTATGCTAGCGGTCACGAGGGAACATATTGTGGAGGAGGTGAAGTCTGCGAACTTCGTAGCTATCCAAGCTGACGAGACCACGGATGTTTCTACGCAGACACAGTTGGTGCTTGTGCTGAGGTACATAGATAGCAAGCACAAAGTGCAGGAGCGCTTTTTTGAGTTCCATCTCGGAATCAACCTCAGCCTCAATCGCCAGTGTACTTTTGGAGAGACTGAACGGTCTTTTTGCCGATGACGAGAAAGTCAAACTCATTGCGCAAGCTTACGATGGAGCCAGTGTGATGAGGGGAGAGAAGGCAGGTGTGCAGCAGAAGGTGCGTGAGCATTTCAAGAATGCCCATTACGTGCATTGCTATGCGCATCAGCTGAATTTGATCATGCATCAAGCTACTTCTCGCATCAAAAAAGTGAACATTTTCTTTTCCGATCTGAGCGGGATTACAACGTTTTTTTCCCGGTCACCCAAACGCACCAGCATTCTTGACCAGACTGTTGCACGAAGACTGCCCAGACCTTCATCCACACGGTGGAACTTCAACAGCAGAGTCGTGAACACTGTCTACGAGAATCGAGACGACCTCATAGAATGTTTTGAAGCCATCCGGACGGGTTCATTGGGTTCATTTGACCAGCTTACTGTGAGAGAGGCATCTGGTTACGTGAGGATGCTACATGATGAAGATTTTATTTTTTTCCTGCGGCTTTTTCACAAAATCATGCCCCACGTCGACATTCTGTACCAGAAGCTACAGAAGAAGGACATCGATGCTGTCTTTATCAAACGTGCCCTCGACAGCTTCACAAGCAGTGTGCAGGCCATAAGGTAAGATTAAACAATATCATTCGATCTTTCTCAAAGCAGAGCTTTATTTGAAAATGTATGCATGAAAGGAGACTGCATTTGTGTTTGAAATCACATTATTCTCATTATATATGGCCAGTGGTGTAATCTATCTTATTTTATATACTATGTGTACTGTGCAGTGGTGCTCATAAGCTTATGATCCCATGCTAAAGTTGACTAAAAAGAGGAATAAAAAAATAAAAAAATCATCTTTTGGAAATTGATCTTAATGACTTAATTAAAAAAGTTGGAAAATCCAACCTTTAAGGACACCAATTTTATTTTCTTTTTTATTCCTCTTTTTAGTCAACTTTAGCATGGGATCATAAGCTTATGAGCACCACTGTATACTGTGCTGAACATCCAGGCTATGTGAGACACAAAGGCTAACTTAAACACTAAAGACTTTATGCATCCCTGCCCATTTTAAGTGGAACTTAAGTATTTGTACTATACATGGATACATTGCATATACCTGTGCATCACATAGACAACAATACTGTACAAAGCCAACAAACACATTGGTCTGTTTGCCTTCAGGGACTCCTCTCAACAGCAGCTGCAAGAAGCAACAGGAGCCAAAAGACCCAGAACAGCTTTGAGAGAAGAGGAGAAGCAGAGGCTGTCTGAAGAGGTCTGCAACACCATCCTGGATCACACCAAAGAAAGGTTCTCTTTCTCTGGCCACCTTGTGAGTGCTACCTTACTGCAAGCAGACATGTTTGAAAGGTACTGCCATTCATTTCCTGATGAGGCTCTGAATGCCACTGTGAATGCATACCCCATGCTGAGCAAGGCAAAGCTCAAGACAGAACTATCTCTGATCTATGAGAATCCTGAATTCAAGGGAGGCTGTGGTGCACTGGCACTGTACCAGGTTCTCATGAGCTACAACCTCCAGGAGACGTTCTCTGAGACTGTGACTCTGTTGAACATCCTCATAACTACTCCCATGACAACAGCTGAAGCTGAGAGATGTTTCTCAACTTTGACACGAGTTAAGACATTCCTGCGAAATTCAATGGGCCAGGAACGTCTGAATGCACTGGCCATGCTTTCCATGGAGAGGGAACTAGTCCTCAGCATGCCTGATTTCAATGAGAAAGTCATTGAACGCTTTGCTGTATTGAAACAGAGAAGAGAACAGTTTCAGTACAAGTAATGTAGCCTCTCTCTCTCTTTGTCCCTCCCTGTCTGTCTCTTTAACACACACACGCCCAAATCAGTTCACAGTTGATGTTGTTTAAAATAGTTTTTTTTCATTTTAAAAAAAGTAATAAAAATAAAAATCTGTTCATGTTCATTTTTACAAATCTATACAATTGGCCAGAATATGGTTGTTCATATTTACAAATCTATACAATTGGCCAGAATATGGTTGTTCATTTTTACAAAGCCATACAGATAGCTGTGTTTACCTTTTCTAGAAATTACTTTCAAATTCTGTTTTCATTCTTATTTCATTTGTTTATGGAAATGCATATTGTTTATGCAGTGTTGAGGAATGTGAAAGAACACCCTTGATTATTTTTACTGTGATAACTTATTTTGATTTTGTAAGCCAACACTTTTGAGATCAGTCAATAAATGCTTCTGGTATTGACTTATATGCTGCCCCTGTCTTCATGTTGTTGCTGGACATATCTTTTTTAAAATGTGTGTAGGTCACCTAAATCATCAGAAAAATTGCCCCTCCTGAGAATTTTTTCAGGAGCCGCCACTGATTGATTGGACATGATTTGGAAAGGCACACACCTGTCTATATAAGTTCCCACAGTTGACAGTGCATGTCAGAGCAAAAACCAAGCCATGAGGTCCAAGGAATTGTCCGTAGAGCTCCGAGACAGGATTGTGTCGAGGCTCAGATCTGGGGAAGGTTACCAAAACATTTCTGCAGCATTGAAGGTCCCCAAGAACACAGTGGCCTCCATCATTCTTAAATGGAAGAAGTTTGGAAGCACCAACACTCTTCCTAGATCTGGCCACCCAGCCAAACTGAGCAATCGGGGGAGAAGGACCTTGGTCAGGGAGGTGACCAAGAACCCGATGGACACTCTGACAGAGCTCCAGAGTTCCTCTGTGGCGATGGGAGAACCTCCCAGAAGGACAACCATCTCTGCAGCACTCCACCAATCAGGCCTTTATGGTAGAGTGTCCAGACGGAAGCCACTCCTCAGTAAAAAGGCACATGACAGCCAGCTTGGAGTTTGCCAAAAGGCACTTAAAGGACTCTCAGACCATGAGAAACAATATGTTTTTCAGCGGCAGGGACTGGGAGACTAGTCAGGATCGAGGGAAAGATGAACGGAGGAAAGTACAGTGATCCTTGATGAAAACCTGCTCCAGAGTGCTCAGGACCTCAGACTGGGGCGAAGGTTCACCTTCCAACAAGATAACAACCCTAAGCACACAGCCAAGACAACACAGGAGTGGCTTCAGGACAAGTCTCTGAATGTCCTTGAGTGGCCCAGCCTGGACTTGAACCCAATCGAACATCTCTGGAGAGACCTCAAAATAGCTGTGCAGCAACGCTCCCCATCCAACCTGACAGAGCTTGAGAGGATCTGCATAGAAGAATGGGAGAAACTCCCCAAATACAGGTGTGCCAAGCTTGTAGTGTCATACCAAAGAAGACTTGAGGCTGTAATCACTGCCAAAGGTGCTTCAAGAATGTACTGGGTGAAGGGTCTGAATACTTACGTAAATGTCATTCAGTTTTTGATTTGTAATACATTTGCAAACATTTCATTATGGGGTATTGTGTGTAGATTGATGAGGGGGGGGAAATGTTTTAATCCATTTTAGAATAAGGCTGTAACGTAACAAAATGTGGAAAAAGTCAAGGGGTCTGAATACACTGTATATGGCATTGGCTTGGTTTTTCATAAAGGTAGTAAAACCTAGAATCTGTGGCTGAGAGGGGATAAAACAAAACTTTTATTTTCAATACTGATGCAATTAGCATGTGAAACACTTGCGCAATATGGCCGAGCCTAACCGAACAACAGCTGATTGCGAGGAAACGGGCATCCGTCAACTACCTTCGGCCATTGTTGACATATTGTGCATCACGTGCAATGCATGAAGAGATTGAAAATATAAGTGACAGAATCTATCGGCGCTGGATTAAGTCTGGTAAAAAAAAACATAACTTGCCTGTGGTTACCTCCTACCGCCAAAAGGACCAACAGCATGTACAATCGGTAAAGTAAGTGGGAAAATTGTATTCAACATTCTGGCTTGTAGAGATCCTCACGTCTTTTTTAGGGCAACTTCGGTCAGACTGATAATCCATGGACAAGCCTAAATCCTGTTGTGGAAAATAGGCACAAGCTTCAACCTCACTCACCAACATACATAACAGTGCCAATCGTGGTGGGTAGCCCAACAACCACCACTTGGCAGTGGTTGCCGACGGCGATGGCGGCAGCCTCCTCTGCATCACAAGCTGCAAGCTCCGCCTCCTTTTTAGCAGTTTCTTCTTCATTGAAGCAACCAGCATGTTGCTTCTTCCTGAATGACCTTAAAGAGTCTGGACAATCCACTATGAAATCCCTGTATTACAATGGTAATAGTTTTTCGCTCAATCATTACGTAACGTGCAGAGGGAAAGTTTTGCCATGTAACCTCAAACTGAAAGGTAACAGGATGTAGATGAGAGCAGTTGTGCTAAGTATCACTAGTTCTCTGTTGTGGCACTCGCAAGTGGTAAGTGGCTTTCAACAAGTCCTTTCTTCACTGCCTCTGACTCAATTTCAAATTCCTCAAATACAGACGTGAAGGAATGTAGGCATACGCTTTAGCTGTGAATGACGGACGATAATGCAAGCTCACAGTACCTGTCCTCCTCATAGACCTCGTCGGGAATCTCGATTTTCTCCACTTTAGACATCACTGAACTCTCCGCTCTGGGCTCCACTGCGGTCGATCACCTAAGCACACAGAATTCACCATCATCCTGACTCAGCATATTGAATGAGAAATTACAGAATGGCTCAGTCATCATACAGGTGCCAGTCAGATTCTGCTTTTAGCCAACTGGTCTTCGTCTAGCCAAATAAGACAAGTATGGCAAGGTAACAATATAACCTTGTTGAATGCAGAAAGAGGTTGGCACTCAAGCTAGCAAAGTCATACTGTGGTCAGCAATCTTGTGAGTGTTGAAATCGCTTTTGGGGGTGTGAGGGGTCGGCGGTGGGGGGGGGGGGGGGGGTCTCAGTCTGGCTTTAAACATACTCTTGAAAGTTGTAATAGTAGAATGCACAAGGTGCAATTTCGAAATTGGGTAGTGCATCAGCAGTTCTTCTTGTCATGTTAGTCATTGCATACCTTAGAGAGCTATTTATAACTTGTCAGAAATTTCCAGATCAAGTAGCCCATATCAGCTAATGTTTTTTTATTTAGGTTTTATAGCCCATAGATATTGTTGTAAATTTTTGGTCACTCAAATATCACATGAATACACAGACATGGCTAAATGTATAGAATTGCAAGAAAATTAGCTTTAAAACAATTTTATTTGCACCCCATGACAAAATGTGTCAAATAAGCTTTAAACCTGCAAAATTCTCTCCACCAACAAGAGGAGTGTGAACCGTGTGTAATGAATAGTGCTTGTGCCCATAGAAATATATGTGGCGTGCGTGGGATGTTCCCCAATGGTGGAAGGGGAAAAGGTTTGGGAACCCCTGGGTTAAGAGACCCTATCAACAGATCCAACAGTAGGTCCCATCTTACACGTGAACAACAGTAAACAGGGGACATACCCTGTGGGTGTCATGTGAGCAGTGTTTTGGAGCACAGAAGTACATACATGAATTTTGCAGTCATCATCCACAGGGTAGGAACCTAGCAGGGCCTCGTTGTCGTCCAGTTTCTGCATGAACTTATCAGTGGTGCTGAAAAGCTGCAGTTCCATGCTGGAGGCCGGGGTACCCACAACCATCTCCAATTTACCCTGGAGGAAAACGTAGACTAAGAAACTATCACATGGCCACAGGCTGTGCTGCAATGGCAGCAGACAGAGTGGCAATACATTATTACGTTTCAGAGGCACGAAGACCAAATTACCAACATAATTTAGCTACCTTGAATTCGGCGATGGTGATTCCCCTGTTGTATCGTTTATTCACCTCGAACGAACTGACACCGTGGAATTGGTGATCACAGTCACGCCACTGTCCATTTTCAAGCTTTCGTTTCGCCAGTGTTTAACTTATCAGGCAACAACGAGCACTTCATAAAATACAACAGCTAGCTAGCTAGCATTCTTACCTAATGAAATAGTACAACTAGCTAGAAAGTTTATGGTTTAGAAATAGACAACTACGTTAGCTAGCTAATGTTAACTAAGTCCTTCCAGTTCCAGCTTGGTCGCTCACAAATATTTACCTGTTCTTTTGCGCTTTTCTTGACGATCTCTGTAAACAAGTTGCTACTATAAATTCACTGGGTGATTTTAGACTAAATCAATCCAGGGACCATGTGCTGTATAATATCAGTGAACGGGTGGTTGTTGTTTTTCCCCTCAACGACGTCACAGATCCTTCTAACCGCAGTGAACCAGTCATGTCATTAAAATGTCGGGATGGGTATTTAGGTTGACCAATTGGGTAGCACATTTCTATGACTCCGTAACAGAAAGAAAGGCTTTGGGATGCCAATCATTAATTTTTGAGCAGACGCTCTTATCCAGAGCGATTTACAGTTAGTGAGTGCATACATTTTCATACTGCCCCCCCGTGGGAAACGAACCCACAACCCTGGCGTTGCAAGCGCCATGCTCTACCAACTGAGCTACAGGGGACTGTTACTGTCCATGTTGATGGAGGTAGACTTTCATGATTAGTCACCAATCATCAATGGTGAAAGTGCCACGCCCAAATTATGGAAGTACCAATTGTATCCACGTGGTCGCGCCATAAGACATAGTATAAAGCTAAAATTGTTACTTTTGTAACAAAGTCATGCAACGTTCGCTATATACATTGTTACAAACAATGTTGAATTGCGATAAGAGTATTTTTTTTAAAATCAGTGCATTTAATAATTTTAAAGTTAGTCTGTTGATTTCATTAATACTTTTCATTTATTTTCATGTTGTCTAGTGCAGAATAAGATAATAATTTGATTCCTTGCTAAGGTGCTCACTGCTCGGTGACATATTAATCACAGTGAGAAAGAGACACATGGTTACCTTTGAAAAGTTATTACCATGCCTTGCCTTTGACATATAATGGTTGTCTACTTCAATATCTACTCATTGATTTATGAATGGGAAATAAATGGATCAGACAGGAACATAAAATAACATCTGTGCATCAAATTAGAATTTAGGGCTGAGAGTGGGAGTTTGAGAGCTTGTATGGGCAGAAAAGAGAAGATCAAAGAAAGGAGTATGGGGTGCAGCCAGAAGACAGACAGCTTCCCCACTACCCCCACCCCAAGAGGAAAAGTTTACATTCCTGTTTCAAGTTGAGATGGGGGTGTTTGGCCTTGCCTCATCACACTCTGTCTGTCTGCACATCCAGGTGTACGTGCTGCTGTTCACAGTAGGTCACAGCTCTCTCTCTCATTCATAAAGTAAAACTCTCTCTGTCACACAAATACCATCTCTCTTACTTGGTCACACTCTTCATTCTCTGGGGAACTCATAATCATACACACATACAGTAATCATCTGCACTTGTTTATTCTAACAGACAAAATAAAGTCACAAATGAGTGGCGCAGTGGTCTAAGGCACTGCATCACAGTGCTAACTGTGTCACTAGAGATCCTGGTTCGAATCCAGGCTCTGTCGCAGCCGGCCGCGACCGGGAGACTCATGGGCGGCGCACAATTGGCCCAGCGTCGTCCAGGGTAGGGGAGGGAATGGCCGGCAGGGATGTAGCTCAGTTGATAGAGCATGGTGTTTGCAACGCCAGGGTTGTGGGTTCGATTCCCACGGGGGGCCAGTATAAAAAATATATGTATTCACTAACTGTAAGTCGCTCTGGATAAGAGCGTCTGCTAAATGACTAAAATGTAAATGTGCACATTGTCTGATATTCTTATTTTTACTCAAACCAGCTTTTGTACCAACCCCACTGTCAGAGAGATGGGAGCTTTTCAATTAACATAAGAGAAGAATTCTGCACATTTTAATTATAAAATATTCACATCATGGCACTGTATGTATGTGTGTGTGTTGCACTGAGAGTATTTGCATAGAGAAACCACACCAGGTGCCCATTCAGATTTTTTATTTTTTTATTTCACCTTTATTTAACCAGGTAAGCCAGTTGAGAACAAGTTCTCATTTACAACTGCGACCTGGCCAAGATAAAGCAAAGCAGTGCGATAAAAACAACAACACAGAGTTACATATGGGGTAAACAAAACATAAAGTCAAAAATACAACAGAAAATATATATACAGTGTGTGCGAATGTAGTAAGTTATGGAGGTAAGGCAATAAATAGGCCATAGTGCAGAATAGTTACAATTTCGTATTAACACTGGAATGATAGATGTGCAAAATATGATGTGCAAATAGAGATACTGGGGTGCAAATTAACAAAATAAATAACAATATGGGGATGAGGTAGTTGGGTGGGCTAATTTCAGAATGGCTGTGTACAGGTGCAGTGATCGGTAAGCTGCTCTGACAACTGATGCTTAAAGTTAGTGAGGGAGATAAGAGTCTCCAGCTTCAGAGATTTTTGCAGTTCGTTCCAGTCATTGGCAGCAGAGAACTGGAAGGAATGGCGGCCAAAGGAGGTGTTGGTTTTGGAGATGACCAGTGAGATATACCTGCTGGAGCGCAGACTACGGGTGGGTGTTGCTATGGTGACCAGTGAGCTAAGATAAGATGGGGATTTGCATAGCAGTGATTTATAGATGACCTGGAGCCAGTGGGTTTGGCAACTAATATGTAGTGAGGGCCAGCCAACAAGAGCGTACAGGTCACAATGGTGGGTAGTATATGGGGCTTTGGTGACAAAAAGGATGGCACTGTGATAGACTACATCCAATTTGCTGAGTAGAGTGTTGGAGGCTATTTTGTAAATGACATCGCCGAAGTCAAGGATCGGTAGGATAGTCAGTTTTACGAGGGCATGTTTGGCAGCATGAGTGAAGGAGGCTTTGTTGCGAAATAGGAAGCTGATTCTAGATCTAACTTTTGATTGGAGATGCTTAATGTGAGTCTGGAAGGAGAGTTTACAGTCTAACCAGACACCTATGTATTTGTAGTTGTCCACATACTCTAGGTCAGACCCTCCGAGAGTAGTGATTCTAGTCGGGTGGGCGGGTGCAAGCAGCGTTCGGTTGAAGAGCATGCATTTAGTTTTACTAGTGTTTAAGAGCAGTTGGAGGCTACGGAAGGAGTGTTGTATGGCGTTGAAGCTCGTTTGGAGGTTTGTTAACACAGTGTCCAATGAAGGGCCAGATGTATACAAAACGGTGTCGTCCGCATAGAGGTGGATCCGAGCGTCACTAGCAGCAAGAGCGACATCATTGATATACACAGAGAATAGAGTCGGCCCGAGAATTGAACCCTGTGGCACCCCCATAGAGACTGCACAGAGGTCCAGACAACAGGCCCTCCGATTTGGCACATTGAACTCTATCTGAGAAGTAGTTGGTGAACCAGGAGTGGCAGTCATTTGAGAAACCAAGGCTATTTAGTCTGCCAATAAGAATGCGGTGGTTGACAGAGTCAAAAGCCTTGGCCAGGTCGATGAAGACGGCTGCGCAGTACTGTCTTTTATCGATTGTGGTTATAATATCGTTTAGGACCTTGAGTGTGGCTGAGTTGCACCCATGACCAGCTCGGAAACCGGATTGCATAGCGGAGAAGGTACGTTGGGATTCGAAATGGTCGGTGATCTGTTTGTTAACTTGGCTTTCAAATACTTTCGAAAGGCAGGGCAGGATGGATATAGGTCTGTAACAGTTTGGATCTAGAGTGTCACCCCCTTTGAAGAGGGGGATGACCGCGGCAGCTTTCCAATCTCTGGGGATCTCAGATGTTACAAAAGAGAGGTTGAACAGGCTAGTAATAGGGGTTGCGACAATTTCGGCGTCTAATTTGAGAAAGAAAGGGTCCAGATTGTCTAGCCCAGATGATTTGTAGGGGTCCAGATTTTGCAGCTCTTTCAGAACATCAGCTGTCTGAATTTGTGTGAAGGAGAAGCGGGGGGGCATGGGCAAGTTGCAGCGGAGGGTGCAGAGCTGGTGGCCGGGGTAGTGGTAGCCAGGTGGAAAGCACGGCCAGCCGTAGCAAAATGCTTGTTGAAATTCTCGATTATTGTAGATTTATCGGTGGTGACAGTGTTTCCTAGCCTCAGTGCAGTGGGCAGTTGGGAGGAGGTTCTCTTATTCTCCATGGACTTTACAGTGTCCCAAAACGTTTTGGAGTTAGTGCTACAGGATGCACATTTCTGTTTGAAAAAGCTAGCCTTTGCTTTCCTAACTGATTGTGTATGTTGGTTCCTGACTTCCCTGAAATGTTGCATATCGCGGGGGCTGTTCGATGCTAATGCAGTATTTTTTTACTCATCAACCTGCACACAATATCCCATAATGACAAAGCAAAAAAAGAAACTGAAATATCACATTTACATAAGTATTCAGACCCTTTACTCAGTACTTTGTTGAAAGTACCTTTGGCAGCGATTACAGACTCAAGTCTTCTTGGGTATGACGCTACGAGCTTGGCACACCTGTATTTGGGGAGTTTCTCCCATTCTTCTCTGCAGATCCTCTCAAGCGCTGTCAGGTTGGATGGGGAGCGTCGCTGCACAGCTATTTTCAGGTCTATCAGAGATGTTCGATCGGGTTCAAGTCCGGGCTCTGGCTGGGCCACTCAAGGACATTCAGAGACTTGTCCCGAAGCCACTCCTGCATTGTCTTGGCTGTGTGCTTAGGGTCATTGTCCTATTGGAAGGTGAACCTTCGCCACAGTCAGAGGTCCTGAGCGCTCTGGAGCAGGTTTTCATCAAGGATCTCTCTGTACTTTGCTCCGTTCATCTTTCCCTTGATCCTGACATGGTCTGAGAGTCCTTTAGGTGCCTTTTGGCAAAGCCCAAGAGGGCTGTCATGTGCCTTTTACTGAGGAGTGGCTTCCATCTGGCCACTCTCCCATAAAGTCCTGATTGGTGGAGTGCTGCAGAGATGGTTGTCCTTCTGGAAGGTTTTCCCATCTCCACAGAGGAACTCTGGAGCTCTGTCAGAGTGACCATCGGGTTCTTGGTCACCTCCCAGACAATTCCATCGACCTCTTGGCTTGAAATTTGCTCTGACATGCACCGTCAACTGTGGGACCTTTAATAGACAGGTGTGTGCCTTCCCAAATCATGTCCAATCAATTGAATTTACCATAGGTGGACTCCAATCAAGTTGTAAAAACATCTCAAGGATGATCAATGGAAACAGGATGCACCTGAGCAGTGGCAATTTTAGCATGTAAATCTTGGTGGGGCAAAAAAACAAACGTTGGGGTTCCATGCCAGCAAAGCCACTACACAGCACAACACTACACAATACATTAATTGCACTATAACAGTGACAAACAGTGCCCACAAACTGTTAGGGCCTACATAAAGCTGTCCCAACACCTTACCACTGCTACACCTGGATATCAGTGGAGCCTTGTCTGGCAGCGAAACAGTTCATTCACCCTCATTTACTGCCTTTAAAAAAACATAGCTGATATGGCTGACTGGCTTAAACAAATGTGGTTTCTACAGACAATTGAGATGTACAAACTATGGCATAAGGGGACGACGAGCGGATAAGAGGCAATCCATAATTTTGATTAAAACATTAATGAGTGAGCTAGGATGGACGTAGTCAATATAACTATTTGTTCAGCACTTTTGAAATGTACAGTGACAGAATTCAGAACATGGGCTGTTCTTACAGTATTCTCCCTGTACACCAAGTCAGAAACGTAGGATAAATAAAGGGGGCATATAAGCAGACAATGAAAGCTCTTACAATATTTGATGATTAAATTTCTCTATAACAGGTTATAGGCTACATGTGCACCACCAAGTCAGAACAGTAGCGAAATTAAGAGGGGAAAATAGACCAAATTATTAGGGTGAGGCACATGGGCTACTAACAGCTTACTACACAACATACACTTAGTATTACTTTCTTAGCTACGGTATACATATCTCCCTGGCATATTACATCATTTATGCAGCAGCATACAATACCTTTTTGGACTCACCTTGTTGTGCTGTGCTCACTTGAACAGGAAGGTGGTGCAGCGGTCATTGGAGGCAAATTTTGTCATCAAACTTTGTCATCAAAATCTGGCATTTTCTGGATTTACGGTGCTTTCAAGACAACAGGGAACTCAGAAAAAAAACAAGGTTGAATCATGATGACGGTGATCTTCAGGTCGTAGCTCTAGAAAGAGGCCAGAGTTCCCGACTTAGAATTCAGAGTTGGATGACCGTTCAAAACATATTTTCCCAGTCTAAGCTAGTTTTTTCCTGAGTTTCCAGTCAGATTTTTCAGTTCTGAGTTAACAGTTGTTTTGAGTGCCGCAGAAATCATGCTGGATTGACAGCATGGCCAATGTTGAATGTTTATAATTTTAAACTGGGAAAAGAGACCCTTAAACCGAGAATTGGGACCACACACCCACTCCACTGAATAGCAGGCTAGTGATTGCTTTGCAATGCTTGCAGATAGCCACTGATTCCTTCCAAACCACTCATTGTTGAATTTGCAATTTCCAACTTGTTGTGTAATGTTTGTGCCCAATGGCCGATGAGCACTGATACGTTTCATCTATAATTTCTCTTCATTATTTCTCTTCAAAAGTATTTGCCAGTAGATTGTCGACTTGATTCATGATGATGACTGCTAGCTAAGATTTTGAAAGTGTGATGTTGACATGATCAGTCCAATCAATACTACTGTAGATATAATGTGATTTGAAGTCATTTTGTCTGTGGCCAATGACCTTGAGCCTTCTTGGATGGGCACTTCTAATGTTACTCTATGGCAGTACCCAAGGGGCTTGAATTTTCGAGCTCTACCCTTAGATTTGGCAGTGACATAGTGACCCCATTAGTGACAGAACACTGAGCCAATCATGGCGCAACTAGAGAACATGACCAACCCCTATGCTACGTATTTTCCGCTGGCTGCCCCACAACCACAGAAAGCTGAAACGCCTGCATTTTGGAGCTGCCTTACTCAAGAAAGCAAAAAAGAGACCATGTTTGTATGGAGGTTTATTAACTCAAGGATATATATATATATATTTTTTTTACATTGTTTGCAAACTGATATGTGACACGTATTAATGCCAAAATAACATGCAAAACAGGCAACCCCCCCAAAAAAAGTTGTATTTTATTTTTTGTGCTAAAAATGTAGGTCTCAACCACCTGCCCTGAATGACGGGTCGCCACCGTCCCTGAGCTCAATTTCGAGTCTCATAGCAAAGGGTCTGAAAACGTATGTAAATATGGTATTTCTGTTTGTTTTTTTAAATACATTTGCTAACATTTCTAAAAACCTGTTTTCGCTTTGTCATTATGGGGTATTGTGTGTAGATTGATGAGAAAAATATATATTTAACACATTTTAGAATAAGGCTGTAACGTAACAAAACGGGGGAAATGTGAAGGGGTCTAAATACTTTCCGAATGCACTGTACATGTGAAGTTATACTATACATCATCTCATCTGGAATACTTACCCACCACATCGCCTGGCCCTAGCAAGTCCTGATCCTCAGTAGACAGGCTGAAAAGTGTTTACTGAAATTTTAAAAAGGCAGTAGGACTATTTACTACAATCTGATAATAACATCAAATTTTCAACAAAATAATGTGGTTATTCAATCTTGAATTAAACAATGACATGTATCTACCAGCAGCCTAATAAAAAGTATTGAACAGGCAGTGCTATAATGAATCTTCAAATGGGAGATTGACGAGGATAGGGGCGTGTGTGACGCGTGTAGCTGTGGCAGACACTCGTCCACAGAGAATGGGAGGGAGAGAGAGAGCGCGCAGGGGAGGGAGGAGGAACTAAAAGAAAAAAGTTAAACTAAAAATGGCTTCCTTGTCTTTGGAGTCTGCAGAACAATCTGAGAATAGCACGGAGGAGTCTACCCAAGAGGCCGCTCCGGTAAAAGAGGAGGCAGATCCGGATGAAGTTTCTGAACAATTGCTAAAAACGTTCCAGAACTCGGCGCTCAGCTTTTCGACGGATCAAGTAGCATGTCTGTGCGAAGCCCTTCTACAGGCGGGCAATGTGGATCGCCTGTGGAGATTCCTATCAACCATCCCTCCTTCGGCCGAGCTGCTACGTGGCAACGAGACGCTGCTCAAGGCCCAGGCAGTGGTCGCTTTCCACCGGGAAGAATTCAAGGAGCTGTACGCAATATTGGAAAGCCACGACTTCCACCCGAGCAACCATGGGTTCCTGCAGGACCTCTACTTGCAGGCGCGCTACAAGGAGGCGGAGAGGTCCCGAGGTCGTAGCCTGGGCGCCGTGGACAAGTATCGGCTTCGGAAGAAGTTTCCCCTGCCGAAAACAATCTGGGATGGAGAGGAGACTGTGTATTGTTTCAAGGAGAAGTCTCGCAATGCACTGAAAGAGTGTTACAAAAGCAACAGGTACCCCACTCCAGACGAGAAGAAAAACTTGGCCAAAGTGACTGGACTCTCCCTCACGCAAGTCAGCAATTGGTTCAAGAACCGACGGCAGAGAGACCGAACCCCGTCCGGCACCAACAGCAAAAGGTAGGCTATGCATTCCTTTCTACATTTGTAACCACACACCCCATTAAAACCTTTCTCTAAACAATGTTTCATACACGATTGCATGTCTAAGATCAATGTCAATATGTTTCCTCTTATAATAAACACAATTGCTTATATGTACAGTGTCATTTGCAGAGTTGTTTGTTGTTAGAGAAGCAGGCAGACTATGGGAGTAAATATAGCCGCTGCACACGGCACAAACTCTGTTCTAAGCTATTGTTGATTTAATTTGACACAAATAAACAATGTTCACCGAAATTCTCCTGATCAGATGGGTAGGAGTGAGCACTAGAAAGGAGCCTAAGATTGTAACCAACTGTTACATATATGGATCTGTCAGCTGCAATATTATTTTAGTGCTCCAAACATGTTTTATGTAATGCAGACTTTTCTAAATCATGGGCTCGACTGTGGTTTGTCTCAACTGTATGGTTCATGTTCAACATATTTCAATCAAATGTCATCAATCCCTGCAGTAACTACATCAATCTGCGCATGAACTCTTTGACAGTGATAACGCCACACGTCTTAGAGAGCACGACTGGGAGCAAGAGCATGTTGCTTTGTTGTGAAATGTGAGATCCGGGCGCCCATTGTGGCTCAAGTTTCCTGAAATCCTGCACCGCAAAGTCTCCCGACGGACCTCTGCGCGCTCTGGAGGCCCTACAGGGCTGGGAGAGCGGGAGAGAACAGAGACCGAGGGAAGAGAGAGGAAATTGTGTGGGTGTTGGGAATCAAAAGGAGGAAATATTAGATTTAAAACCTTAAAAATATCTTCAGCTCTCCTGTGTACATTTAAAAACCCAACACTCGTTTATTTTATTTTTTACTGTAGGACTATAGGCTACAGTACACTCGTTTTGGAGAGGGAAGTTGGCAGCTTAAATACAAATACATCAAAGCTACACAGGAAATTGGGTTTTCCATGTGTTAGTTGTTGATGTAATTTATTCCCATGTGTAGAGAGGAAAGGTGTGTGTGTGTGTGGAGAGATAAAGAGAATGCCGATCATCCCCCATGCAGTCCAGTCTTTATTTTACCTTCCAGGGGCTGTGGTGGCTGGGGACAGTAAATCAGTTGTCCATTGTTCTGTGTTAACCACACTGCTTCAGTGCACCAGGATAGTTGAGGACATACACATCACATACTGTCTAAACCATAGGATCAAAGGAGATTGTCACTGACTGTTATTGACCTACCATATGTTATGTGTATTGTAACATTCTCATCCCTTTCTCCTCCAACATTCTCATCCCTTTCTCCTCTTTTCTATTCCATCTATCATGCAATCATTGCCCTCTACTCTCCCTTCTTCTTCCAATACGCTGTCTCTGTTCATTGTCTCACTCCCCCTACGGTTCACTCACCCTATCTTTCTCCTCTGCTCCTCCCCTCCTCTCCTGTGTTTTCTCAGTGAGTCCGATGGCAACCACAGCACAGACGAAGAGGGTGATGACATCTCAGACAAACCAGAGGACATTGTGGGCTCCACAGCCGCCATCATCTCCCTCTCTGGCACCCCCTGCAGCACTGGAGGCCAGATCTTCCTCAACGGGGCTGGTGGGTTCCTCACCTCCTCCCACCCCTTACTCCTCAACGGGGGCTCCTTGATCTCCGGGGCAGGGGGTGGGGTCATCATCAATGGGCTGACCCTGAGCGATGGTCACACGGTTACCCTCAGCCCCATATCGGCTAACTCGCCTCTGCTCTTCAATGGAGCGCAGGTCATATCCAAGAGCAGTGAGGTTGAGCAGGATTTGGGTCTGGAGAGCCAGGGGGTTACGGCCATGGAGGCCCAGCCCAGCTCTGCCATCTCCCTCCCACTGACAGAGGATCTTAAGACGGACAATGTTAGCCTTACGAACCCCTCAACCATCCCCACCCTGGACTTCATCAATGTCCCAGAGGGGATTATTCTCAAAGCAGAGGACATCCAGACAGTCTCTCCTTCCCCCTCCTCTTCCTCCTTGTCTTCCCCCTCAACATTCTCCCCCACCTCCCCCCCCTCCCTGGTTCTGACTCAAAATGGCCGCCTCTCCGACACCCTCACCCTCCCGGTGTCTATGTCCTCCCCGGGCGTGGTCATCTCCAGCCCTGTAGTGGGCCTCCCCAGCCAGCAGGGGGAGTATGTGGTGTTTGCCACGGCTGGTTCTCAACTCACCCCCTCCAGCTCCATCTGCCAGGTGGTGTCCTCCTACAGCTACTCCACCCCACAGGTCTTCTCCCTGCCTCAGGTGGTGCCCTCCATCCAGGGTGTCCCCGTCTCCCAACTGGTCCAACACACCCCTGGAGGCCAGGTGTCCCAGTGTCCGCAGTTAGTCCCTGTGTCCCCCCTCACCTCCTCTCTCCCCCAGGGCACCCTCTCCCAGTTCCAGGGCCACCAGACTCTGAACATCGCCCCCCGCCTCGCCCAACCCCTCCCCCAGCATCATACTAGTTCCTCTACGTTGGGAGAGGGAACCACCATCCTCTCCCTGTCCCAGCTCCCCAATGGACAGCTCCCCCAGGGACTCACACTCCAGCTGGGTGACCAGACCTCAGCTACCATCCCCACTCTGACCCAGATCCAGTCCCCTCTAGGCCATCATCAGATCATCTCCTCCCCTACCCAAGTGGTTCCCGTCTCTCAGTCCAAAGAGACAACCCCAGCCCAGTTGGTTCCCCTCTCCCTGCCCCAGCTGGTGCCTGTCTCCTCCACGGGACAACTCTCCTTCCCTCAGGTGGGCCCAGCCACCCCTTCTCTATCTGGATCTGGAGGGGCCTTCCAGATCCTAACCTCGGCCCCTGGAGGTGTGATGACTCAGGGGCCCTTCAGGATAAATCAGCTGGGACCTCTCCAGACTGTAGGCCCTCCAACCAGCATGGCTCCTGGTGTCCAGCTCCTCAACTCTGGGGTCATTCAGCTCCCCTCCACCTCGCAAGGTAACTTAAGGCTCGGACACACTGAGAAGACTGACTGCCGATAGGTACTTAGCACCTCTGTCAGCAGTCAACTTTTTGTTGTTCACATCATACAGATCAACCGCTGATCCGATCGTTTAAATACTCCAGACCACAAGGTGGCAGTAGCTTTTTTTAAGCTTTGCTTGGCTTTCGCCTGATAGCTAATGTTAGCTAACTAGCAAGCTGTGCTAATGTTGTTGTTAGCTAGCTAGAATTTGTAGTAAGCCCATGTTACTAGCCAGATGGCCACAACTAGATAACTTGAGTAGCAAGCAACATTATAGGTATTTAAATCAAAATTGATTTGTTTTTGAATGGAGCAGCTGACTGTTAGCTGCCAAGAGTCAGTGGAGTAGCTAGCTTGCTTTGTTGTGCTAACTGGCAAATGGTGATGCTAACTTTAGCTAACAAGGGAACTGGCACTGACAGTATGGGATAATGGAGAGTGAATACAATTATTTATTCATCATCTTGCTAGATGGCTAGCTCACAAACTCTAGGCGGCATTCTGCCTTCTCCGCACAGTTTTCAGCCATACATTTTGACATTTTAGTCAGTTAGCAGACGTTCTTATCCAGAGCGACTTACAGTTAGTGAGTGCATACATTTTTCATACTGGCTCCCGTGGGAATCGAACCCACAACCCTGGCGTTGCAAGCGCCATGCTCTACCAACTGAGCTACAGGAAGCCCTGTACGCTTCGCCCACGAATACCTTGTGAACTACAATTCCGACACTGTGTTTTAACATTTAGAAACGTCAATAATCATCGCTTGTAATACGGCTTTTCGAAACATATGGCCCTTTATATTTCATCAGCGAGAAAGAATCCTTCAAATAAAAAAGATACAGTAGCAGTTTTGCACTGATCCATACAGCTAAGGGTGCCTCCATCTGACAACGTAATTTCTGCTACACTTCCCGAGTTACGCTTACACACAGGTGTTCGGAGCATGCTAGATAGCTAATAAGCACAGGTGGTCGCCTCTTGTCTTCGTAAACAAGCATAACATGGAGATATGGCTGTGTGGGAACACTAACTCTAACCCTATCAAGTTATGTATCAATTTAATCTTTTGTTTTTTGAAAATTATTTCACACCGATATGAAAGATAAGGTCCTTATGCTTCCAAAACCGTACCACAAGTGACGAGTGTTAATGTTCAGATTGAGCGTCGGGGCTCTTAACAAAACTCCCCCGTACAGAAGACGCCTTGGTCCAAAGACCCTTATGTGTAATGTAATGGAACTGAGAGTCATGATAAAAGGCTAGCTAGATAAAGCATCTAGTGTTATGTGAATTGTGCTGCACTTACCACCCAATGTGTTTCATATGAAGTGTTGTGTGACTGCCTGGCTCAGTTAGCAAGCTAACGTGGGATGGATGTTACTGGGAAAAGTGCCTTTTTCCCTTTTTTTTGTCTTCTGTTGACACTCCTTTTCGGAGAAGGTGGTAGCTGCATCCCAATATGGCGACTGTAGTATGGGTGAGTGGGTGTGTCAAGGAAAGTAGTGGGCGTGTGGAAAGGAGTGGATGTGTCAAGTGCTCTGCTATAGGTTAGACAGTTTTGATTGAGTGGTGTTTTTTCTTCTTCAGTTTCTTACCTCACAACTACCGTACATTGAGCTACGATATTGCGAGAGTTTGGACTTCTGTTTTGAAGCCAAAGGATGAATCTGAGTCGTATTTCACTGTTCGTTTTACAGAAAGAATTGTACATTTTCAGTTCTAACTGACGATAGTTTCTTTTCTATTAAAAGTACTGATGATGGGTGTACTGTTGTGTGCTTACTGTGACTGTCACCCTGATACTAGGTAGTTACTTCCCACGCCGTTGCCGGACAGTAATGCTTGTCAAGCGGGAGCGAAGGGCACTGTGTCCCAGTGTTGTTGCTGTTCATGCCCTCCCCATTACCTAGACCCTTCAAACTCAACTCTGGACCTCAAAGCCAGTTCCACTGCATGTTTTCATTGCTCCCCTCTAATCAGGGGACAGATTTAGACCTGGGACATCAGGTGTGTGCAATTAATTATCAGGTAGAACAGAACCAGCAGGCTCCAGACCTAGTAGGGTAAGAGTTGAATACACCTGACTTAGACTGTATGTATCGAGGTGACATCTAGCTGGTTATCAATATTAGTTATTTCTTGTGTAGGTTGCTATCCTACTTAAAATAAAATAATGGGAGGGAAAGAAATGGCCGTGTTAGCTACCGCTGGTGACACGACTGTGATATCACATGCAGGTCTCAGGTCGGCAGGCATACAACACCGGTGCACTGGACGCCGTCTTATCGACTCGTCGTGCAGCCCAATCAGCCACGCAAAATGGTCTTTAGTGGCAACAAATCTGCCCAATTATCTGATTCGCTTTCCATACACCCACTCCTTTCGACACATCCACTCGCCCATACTCCAGTTGGCATATTGGGCTGCAGCTACCCATAGTTGCCTTTTCGGCTCCCCTACAGGGGGTTCGTGCTCTCTGATTGGCTGAGATTCAAGTTGTCGTGAAGAAACGTCAGGTTCGTCGGTATGCAACAGGAGGTGTCTTTTGGTCTAACAAGAGAATGGCCTCCTACTGTGCTATCGGCAATGTCTTCTCCGTGTGTCTTGACATGTTACTGAGGCATTTGCTTTTTAGGGAAAATGTAGCTACAGTGGGGGACAACAAGTATTTAGTCAGCAACCAATTGTGCAAGTTCTCCCACTTAAAAAGATGAGAGGCCTGTCATTTTCATCATAGGTACACGTCAACTATGACAGACAAAATTACCAAAAAAAATTCCAGAAAATCACATTGTAGGATTTTTTATGAATTTATTTGCAAATTATGGTGGAAAATAAGTATTTGGTCAATAACAAAAGTTTCTCAATACTTTGTTATATACCCTTTGTTGGCAATGACACAGGTCAAACGTTTTCTGTAAGTCTTCACAAGGTTTTCATACACTGTTGCTGGTATTTTGGCCCATTCCTCCATGCAGATCTCCTCTAGAGCAGTGATGTTTTGGGGCTGTCGCTGGGAAACACGGACTTTCAACTCCCTCCAAAGATTTTCTATGGGGTTGAGATCTGGAGACTGGCTAGGCCACTCCAGGACCTTGAAATGCTTCTTACGAAGCCACTCCTTCGTTGCCCGGGCGGTGTGTTTGGGATCATTGTCATGCTGAAAGACCCAGCCAGGTTTCATCTTCAATGCCCTTGCTGATGGAAGGAGGTTTTCACTCAAAATCTCACGATACATGGCCCCATTCATTCTTTCCTTTACACGGATCAGTCGTCCTGGTCCCTTTGCAGAAAAACATCCCCAAAGCATGATGTTTCCACCCCCATGCTTCACAGTAGGTATGGTGTTCTTTGGATGCAACTCAGCATTCTTTGTCCTCCAAACACGACGAGTTGAGTTTTTACCAAAAAGTTATATTTTGGTTTCATCTGACCATATGACATTCTCCCAATCCTCTTCTGGATCATCCAAATGCACTCTAGCAAACTTCAGACGGGCCTGGACATGTACTGGCTTAAGCAGGGGGACACGTCTGGCCACTGCAGGATTTGAGTCCCTGGCGGCGTAGTGTGTTACTGATGGTAGGCTTTGTTACTTTGGTCCCAGCTCTCTACAGGTCATTCACTAGGTCCCCCCGTGTGGTTCTGGGATTTTTGCTCACCGTTCTTGTGATCATTTTGACCCCACGGTGTGAGATCTTGCGTGGAGCCCCAGATCGAGGGAGATTATCAGTGGTCTTGTATGTCTTCCATTTCCTAATAATTGCTCCCACAGTTGATTTCTTCAAACCAAGCTGCTTACCTATTGCAGATTCAGTCTTCCCAGCCTGGTGCAGGTCTACAATGTTGTTTCTGGTGTCCTTTGACAGCTCTTTGGTCTTGGCCATAGTGGAGTTTGGAGTGTGACTGTTTGAGGTTGTGGACAGGTGTCTTTTATACTGATAACAAGTTCAAACAGGTGCCATTAATACAGGTAACGAGTGGAGGACAGAGGAGCCTCTTAAAGAAGAAGTTACAGGTCTGTGAGAGCCAGAATCTTGCTTGTTTGTAGGTGACCAAATACTTATTTTCCACCATAATTTGCAAATAAATTCATTAAAAGTCCTACAACGTGATTTTTCTGGATTTTTTTTTCCTTAATTTGTCTGTCATAGTTGACGTCCCCTCTCAATCAGAAAGATTTCTGGCTCCCAGGTGTCTTTTAGACAGGTAACGAGCTGATTAGGAGCACACTCTTAAAGGGAGTGCTCCTAATCTCAGCTTGTTACCTGTATAAAAGACACCTGTCCACAGAAGCAATCAATCAATCAGGTTCCAAACTCTCCACCATGGCCTAGACCAAAGAGCTCTCCAAGGATGTCAGGGACAAGATTGTAGACCTACACAAGGCTGGAATGGGCTACAAGACCATCGGCAAGCAGCTTGGTGAGAAGGTGACAACAGTTGGTGCAATTATTCGCAAATGGAAGAAGCACAAAATAACTGTCAATCTCCCTCGGCCTGGGGCTCCATGCAAGATCTCACCTCATGGAGTTGCAATGATCATGAGAACGGTGAGGAATCAACCCAGAACTACACGGGAGGATCTTGTCAATGATCTCAAGGCAGCTGGGACCATAGTCACCAAGAAAACAATTGGTAACACACTACGCCGTGAAGGACCGAAATCCTGCAGCGCCCGCAAGGTCCTCCTGCTCAAGAAAGCACATATACAGGGCCGTCTGAAGTTTTCCAATGAACATCTGAATGATTCAGAGGAGAACTGGGTGCTGTATGATCAGATGAGATCAGATGAGACCAAAATGGAGCTCTTTGGCATCAACTCAACTCGCCGTGTTTGGAGGTGGAGGAATGCTGCCTATGACCCCAAGAACACAATCCCCACTGTCAAACATGGAGGTGGAAACATTATGCTTTGGGGACAGGACAACTTCACCGCATCAAAGGGACGATGGACGGGGCCATGTACCGTCAAATCTTGGGTGAGAACCTCCTTCCCTCAGCCAGGGCATTGAAAATGGGTTGAGGAATGGTATTCCAGCATGACAATGTCCCAAAACACACGGCCAAGGCAACAAAGGAGTGGCTCAAGAAGAAGCACATTAAGTTCCTGGAGTGGCCTAGCCAGTCTCCAGACCTTAATCACATAGAAAATCTGTGGAGGGAGCTGAAGGTTCGAGTTGCCAAACGTCAGCCTCGAAACCTTTATGACTTGGAGAAGATCTGCAAAGAGGAGTGGAACAAAATCCCTCCTGAGATGTGTGCAAACCTGGTGACCAACTACAAGAAACATCTGACCTCTGTGATTGCCACCAAGGGTTTTGCCACCAAATACTAAGTCATGTTTTGCAGAGGGGTCAAATACTTATTTCCCTCATTAAAATGCAAATAAATTTATAACATTTTTGACATGCGTTTTTCTGGATTTTTTTTGTTGTTATTCTGTCTCTCACTGTTCAAATAAACCTATCATTAAAATTATAGACTGATCATGTCTTTGTCAGTGGGCAAACGTACAAAATCAGCAGGGGATCAAATACTTTCTTCCCTCACTGTACCTATGATGAAAATTACAGGCCTCTCTCATCTTTTTAAGTGGGAGAACTTGCACAATTGGTGGCTGACTAAATACTTTTTTTCCCCACTGTATGTCAATGTTGGTGATGAACTGCTAACAAAAAATATTTTCCACCACTACTTCCCTACTAATTCCTCTCCACTTCCACCTCTCCTCTGTCCTGTAGGGAATCTCCTCTATGGTGGAAGCCCCATCCTGAGTTACCAGAACGGCAAGCTGATCCTAACTATCCCAGCTGGCATCCAGTTTGGCAGCCTGCCCATGAAACCCATCCCTGAGGCTTCTACCCACCCCAACCAACGGAGTAGGCCCTGGACTCAGCCTCAACCCTGTCATCCACCCTGCACCTACCCTTCTCCCAGTGTCCACCTCCGTCCCAACCTCCAACACCCTCCAGACGTCCCCACTCTGCTTCATCAACTCCTCTCCGCTCTACTGCACTCCTGAGACAGGTGTCCCCACCAACCAGCCCCTCTCCACCACCTCCCCACACACCCTAGACCTCTCTGCCACCCACACCCCTCCCAATGCCCTCACCCCCGAGAGCATGCTCTCCCTCAGCCCTATGTGCAGCGGCGTGACCCCCACCACTCAGCTCTCCCAGATCATCTGGAGCCCCGCCCCCCTCTCCACCTCCGCCAGCCTGACTATGTTTGACATCCGTGGGAAGGGAGATCTACCCGAGGACCCGCCTCTGCTGGATCTACCTGGAGGCGAGGCCCTGTTAATGGGCAGCCCCTCTCCGGAACAGGATGTGGACAGGGGGTCGCCATTGGGGGACCCAGAGGAGATGGATGGAGACCCCAAGATCCTCACCCAGCTACAATCAGTCCCTGTGGATGACGAGTTGGGGCTGTAATCCAGTCCCCCCAGCCCACACCACCATAAACGCAGTCAGTCAGCAAGACTACAAGTTACGGAACAATCTGGGAGGTTTTGTTTGTCCAACCTCAGTGCTCCCCTGGATAGGATTGCATTGAGGAGTGGACAGGCTTTGACTCGTATGAGAAAGGTGCGTTGACTAAATATATTCTCTGCCGATGATCCTTTTGGATAAACCATCATGGGATAAGCTGATTGTATGCAACATGGAATGACCTGGAGGATGGCCTTGCATACAGGCTAGCCTATTCCCTGATTTCTGTTACACAACAGTCTACTGCTTGGTCTCCACAATTCTAGCACTCCTATACTGTCCTCATCTGCCTCCCATAAGCCTAGAGCCCTTCCTGTGTCACAAAATCCAGTCCGAGCCAAAATGGAGGAGCCCATCTGCTGAGTCAACTGTGGGAGTAAAGGTCCTAAAACTCCACGCAAGGCTTGGTTCTTTTTTGCTCTGCACAAAGTTTATTTGTAAGGACATTCTGCTACTTTTATGCACAGACGTCCATTTCAGCCAAGACTATTTGTACTACAAGGGCGATGGACTGTGTACTCCTCTCTGTCAAAACTGGTCAGCAGTGTCACAGCATCAAGGGTTCAGGCTCATCATTTAACTACAGGTTGGCATACATGCTAAGCGCTGTCACATCTGAGGTCTGTAGGAGGAAATGGAGTCACCTGGGATGTTTTTAAATAACTATTTTATTCTATGCAATCAATTCATGTTCCTCTGTAAATATGACCAATTGGGATAGACCAAGCTTTATTAAAGACTGAGTTTTTATACACTATGAAATCTAATGGGCGTACACTACAATCTCTGCTTGATCACATTGTTGGAAATTTGCAGTTGAATGCGCCACAATCCTACACTACATTGTATATTGCGTCTGAATGAATTATTTTTGGTGTTTTTATATTACTTGTATGGGTTTGAGCTAGACCTAGTAAGTGCCTTTATAATCCAGTTGCTGCTGTTTTCTTGCCTTTGTATCTTCAAAGTGAAGAATGTGTTCTACTCTTCACAAAGTTAAGCACCATTGACTTCCCACATTGATGTTGAATATGAGTTTCGTAATAACCCTTATCCCTCTTGAACTCTAGAGAAACGTAATATGATACTCTTTGTTGCACGGCAGTTGCTCATTTAGCATCACTAACCCCTACCATGATATAATCACCATTGAGAACTCCCTCCTCATTGTACTTTTTGCACATTTTGTCCGTGTCATGTTTACGTCTTTGGTGATGGCCAGATTCTATTCTGAAAACCTGCTGCCTTCTCTCTGTTGTTGACGAATTGCACTCACTGATCTGAAAGGACGAGATAGGTCGAAGCAGCTGGATACGTTTCAGAGCGCCTCTGTCTATCCTGTTATCAGCAACAGTGAGTCATGAAGCCCTGAGAGCAGGCGACAGGTCTCCTAGAATGGAATGGTATCCAGCGAGACTTGGTGCAGATGTTCTCTCCATAAACTTACAATACTCACTCTACATAACCACAGCACAGATGGCAATTAGTTCTCTGGCCAATGGTACATCAACGCTACTCTTCAGTGTCACTCCCAGCTGTATGTGTTTATATTTGTGTGTTTGTTTATTTTCTATGTGTATTTAAAGCATGTATCAATCATTTTCTAGTAGTAACTTTGAATACTTTGAGTGAAGAAATTAGCAGGAAAATGGACACAGGAAAAAGCATCAATGGACCTTCCCAGAGGATGGCTGGTTGTACAGTCTCAATATGTGTAGATAATGATAATCATCACTTCTCAAATTATATTATACACTTACAATCTGAATAGGATGTTAATACCTGTAGCATTCACTTGCCAAAGGAATGTTGCAAGTTGTTTTTATCGGTGTTTGGACATTTCTGGTTGGTTCTGAGCGGTTTTTCCATACGATACTGTGCATGAGTTTGAGGCTAAAGGAATGTGTGTTTATGTATGTGTGTTTGTTTTTTGTATCCATGAGCCCAACCCTTGTCTACATGTAGTGGTTTTTCTCTTTTAGTGTGTGGTGCTCCAAAGGCTGTTTGTGTCCAGTGCAGGAGTTTGTGCACAATCTCACACACACACAAAGACACGTGCACACACACAACCTCCAGCTGAGTTATCCAAAGAGATGTACTTTTTAATAGCGAGTAAAGGGATTATTTGATTTCTTAATACATCTGTTTTGTCCTCTTTTGAGAGGTTGGTTTTGTACTTAAAGGTATTTTATTTTTTATATACAGTTTTGTGATATTCTAATAAACTACATTTGGAATACATTTTTGTTTTGGACGATTTTGTGTATGTGAATGCTTCTCTATTTAAATCTCCGTGAGATTTTTATGGGTCATGGGAACAAACTATTGAGGAGTGCCTACACTACCAAATCACGCTAGAAGCGCTTTTGCAATTTGGTTAGTAAATTAGATTTAAATACTCTTGTTTGAACAACACACTCATGCTTTCTCTCTGGATGAATGGGTACACAACTGAGAGTACAGGTGTGTGTGTGTGTGACTGTTTTTGTAACCCCCATGCTCTCAGGTTACATGTGAGTTCAACATTGCCAGGGCGGGGACAAGGTATGGATAAGGATATACACACACAAGTTCACACACATTCATACAGATTTATTCACCCGACAGCAGCTGACATTCTCTACAGACTCAAAGCTATCTCTAAAACATTTCCCTTCACTGAGAGAGTCGTAAAAGGTCACAGAGGTAGGCCAACTAACCTTTGACCTCTCTTGGCGTGTGTGGGCTCCATCTCCAATGGCGATGGTCTTCTCGGCAGAACAGGTGGCGTGTATGTGCGAGGTCCTTCTGCAGAGCGGACGCATGGAGCGCTTGACTGACTTCCTCCGTACTCTTCCTCCCTCTTCCTCCTCTTGCCTGGGGGGTCTAGAGAGCATCCTGAAGGCGCGGGCTGCCGTGGCTTTCCATCTGGGGCGCTTCTCGGACCTCTACACTCTCCTGGAGGGCTTCCCCTTCTCCAATTGCAGCCACCCCCTGCTGCAGCAGCTCTGGCTGAGGGCCCACTACCTGGAGGCCGAGTGCCAGAGAGGGCGCCCCCTTGGGGCTGTGGGGAAGTACCGCGTACGCCGTAAATTTCCCCTACCAAGAACCATCTGGGATGGAGAGGAGACAAGCTACTGCTTCAAGGTACAGTGAATTAAATCTACTAGGTTTGTTTGAGTTGATATTAATACTATATTTAATATTATACTGCCTCAGAGCATTTTTGCTTCTTGTAAAACAAAATGTCCCTAGGGCCCTGGTCCATGATGAAGCTGTCTATAATGTATTAGGTGTCACATCTGAGTTTAGAATAGACAGAAAAGATGAGGATAGAAAGGCCCTTGTGGAGTCCAAGATGGGGTATGTCAAGACAAAAGTGACTTTCTACCTGGATCTCAACAGTCTAAAGTGTCTTACTCCGTCTGCTTCAAATGCACTGAACACCTGTCTTCACAGGACCGGTCAAAGCAATATGATGGATGTAAACTCCCTCACATCAGTGCAGATGAAGGACAGGAAATGAGGAGCAGAGGCCTCTTACTGCTACCATGAACTTTAAATCATTAACCTACTTGTTTCATAAATCTAAGGTTAATGTTCCTCTTTACAGGAGAAATCCCGGAGTGTGCTGCGGGATTGGTATTACCGTAAACCCTACCCTTCACCACGTGAGAAACGAGCGCTTGCGGCCGCCACCGGTCTCACAGCCACCCAGGTGAGCAACTGGTTCAAGAACAGACGGCAACGGGACCGAGCAGCTCACGGTACTACCGGGTGAGTCTTCACTTTCTCTGCTCTCCTAATACGTTTAATGAGAAATAGTTCTAAAGGAGTTTTTAAATGTTCATCCCGCCTGTAATTTCTATAGTTTGTCTGGCAGTCAATCACCCGTTTATGCTTTAGAACTGCACTACATCTCATCTTGCTAACAGCTTTGCAATGGACTACCACTGCCCTCTTCTGGCACAGCCAGGGAACTGACATGTGCCCTCTCCTCTCAGGGAACAGGAAGGTCGTGGACCACCTCTCGACTCCAACAGAACCCCAGGAGCAGCATACCCAAAGGCCTACCCCTCCTCTGACAATGGACTTTCACCTCCAGGCAGCCCCAGTCCCCTCTTCTCCTGCCCCTCACAGCCCCCACCTCTAAGCCATATGGGTGGGGGACAACTCTGAATCTCTTCACTACCTGAGCCATCATGTATAGTATGTTCACTTCATAGGCAATAATATTCACTTGTCTAGCCAGAAATGTAAGAACATTCAATCTTTTTAGTAACTTACCTCTGTAGTTTCGTAACACCCTGTACCAAAAATTGTAGGTTGTGTTAAATCAACTCAAAAAACTAAAGCAAAACATTTTTTAAATAGTTTAATTGAAAACAGAAATTTGTCATCAGACCAAACATTGACAAGCATTTGAAGCATTTGGGAATAAACAATGTGTTTATAAAAATGTGCTCCCATATCATGCTTACTGAACACGACCCAGGTTGTGGCTGAGAGAAACCACGGCCAAATGTTAGTGCAGCCAAGACAAGCACACAGCCTCTCCCACTGTAGTCTTCTTTCTGTATGTCCCATAGGGACGGCTCTGAGATTCCTATTCACTGAGCTGAAACAACATCCAGTGTGTGTACATGGATTCACATATTCTCCACTGGACCAATAAAGCTGCCTGCCTGCCACAAAGGCAATCTGGCCTATTCGATTTTGACTGACGTTACTGATTCAGCTGTATTTTTAATACAGCTTATTTCACCCAGCACCTGGACTACACCATAATGTGTATGAACATTCACCTTTTCTGATTCAGCTGTTTTTGAAATCAGCACTCTGGTATGATGTGCTAAATGAGACAGATTAAATATATCTCCATGGCTAAATCAAGACAGGCCTGAAACCTCTTGGGGAGAGGTAATGCATACAGAAGATATACAGTAATAGTAAAAAACCAAAAGGCATTGACAATCATTTTAATTACTTTTTTTCAAGTTTTCGTTCACTGCCATGCTCCGTGAATATAACCGTAAATGTCGGCTCAGTGACCTTATTGCATGAAATCAAGTGTTGGAAAATCACAACCGATGATCATATAGCATAAATTAAGGATTAGGTTAGCTTTGTCTTTTTCCTTAAGACTTAAAACAGTCAATTAGAATATTAAAATTCACAGAAAGGCCTCTTCCAGTTCTTTTTCATGAACGTGTACCATCAATTGTTTTCTGTGATACAAGCTGCCTACTTCCAGCAGTGTAACGTCATGGTAGTTCTGCTCTCAGATCAATGTGTCTATGAGTGTTGGATTCGGTGGATGGAACCTGTCCAGTGACAGAGGAACATCTATCTCTCCTAGTTTTTTGCAATGTCAGGGCAAAACCTCCCCCAATCCCCTGTCTGTGTATTTCCTACACTGTGGTTAAAAAGGTGTCCAGGTAATCTGTTGGTTCTGGTTTATGGGACCAGTCCAATGGCGGGTCCAGCTGTGGTTAGAAGCCCAGGTACTCAGCCAGGAACACAGCCAGAACCTTGGTGAGGTTCTCCACTGTGGGCCGGTGCATGTTCTCCTCAGTGTCATCCAGCGTGTGCCAGAATGGGGGGAAGGGGGTGGCAATGACATGAAGCACAGGAACACCTGAGTTGGTGTGAAATAATCAGAAATGCAGGATTTCAATTATTTCTTAAAATCCTAATTCCATCAGCCGAGGCGAAGTAGTGTCGTGATAGTATGTCAGTTTGTGTCTGTCTGTATATGAGCACACCTCTCACTCACCTTTATGTAGGAAGGGGATGTGGTCGTCCTGCACAGGGCCTAGGTACACGTCCTTCCTGAAGTAGGTCTGCTCAGAGGGGTGAGAGGTCAACAGACCCTGCCTGTGCAGCCTCTTCTCTGAGAGAGAGATGGATGGAGGAGAGTTAAAGCACAGAAAGACAATGACAATAAGGGAACAGACCCTCCCTGGGGTGTGCATGTTACCTGCAGCGATGAGACGGTCAAACCAGCGGGCAGTGTTGTCAAAGTGATTTACAATCAAAGGGTCTGGTCCACCAAGCAGGTCCAGTAGAACAAAGAGGTCCTAAAAATGGAGGGAGAGGTGAGAGTGAGTGGATATGCCATATTTTAAGACACACACACACACACACACGTGTCTTACCACAGCCTGCAGCAGGTTGGTGTGTGTGGAGCCTAGTGGGTGGGGTGTGTGTGCCATGCGCTCTGCCAGGTGCCTTGATCCGTAGAGAGAGTCTGTGGCTGTCCACTCCTCAAACGACTCCTCTCCGTCAAAAAACACTAGCTGGAGGGTTACAGCAGATGCCTACAGAGAGAGAGGGAGGAGGTAGTGTTTAATAGCAGAAGATGGAGAAAGTGGTGAGAATTTTCTGTTCTGTGCCAACTGGTGAACTGGTAGCCAAGTAAAGGCAACGTCATTTCATCACATCTCAATTCTCATTTCCCAGCAACAACATCACTCTTGCAGTTGATTTTCCTTTTTGTGTGAGGACTGCAGTGATGTCGCAGTTTGGCTGTGTGTGGTTGTGTGTATTTCTGACTTCCAAATTCAGTCTCTGGGGGGACACTGCTAAACAGAGGAGTCTTCTGCTAAAAACAGGGCTGCTCTCTGCAAGGCTACAGTCAGCACTTTATACCCTACACTGCAGAGAGAGAGGAGGGGATAGAGAGTAGGGAGAGAAACGCAGCATCTCACCTCGCTCTCTTTCTCCCTCACCAACTCTCTTTGTTCTTTCCATTGCAGTCTTTTATTCTGTGTATCATAGTAAACTGCCTGCTGGCCTTGACATGATAATCCTGCCCATTCTATGTAAAAAAAACAACAACATTATTCTAAGTAAATGTCCCCAGGGAAATCAGACACGTATGGTTGTGACCACAATGCCTGATAACACAATGCTACTGCATTTTGTTTGCTGCCAACTTGGGACAGGTCTGCTTTGAACATTTGACTGTTTATCTCAACAAAATCTCCTATACTGACTAAACTTATAAATAGATATAAAATGCAGTCCCTGGAAATAAATTGATGGACATGGTACCTGCTGATTGAGAGCTTTGAGCTGGGCGTCCAAGGCAGAAGCCAGCTCCAGGATCATGGCACAAGGCACCGCTGAGTCGCTGGCCCCCAGGAACACCCTCTCTGGGACGCGGGGGTCCGGTGGCAGGACCTTGGAGTCGTAGTGGCAGGTCAGCAGCAGCCTGCGAGGGGCCCCGGGATCAAGGGTCGCGATGATGTTGGAGAAGGTGACCTGACCCCGAGGCGTTGGTGACAGGAAAGAGTCGAGTTCTACTGTCCAGCCAGCGGAGAGGGATGATAAGGTGGAGGAGATGTGCTGAGAGAAAGACATGAGAAAAGGGTGTGAACTAGAGGCATTTCGTTTGATCTTTAACTGGAAATGATATACTCTTTCCTACAGGAGTACTGTGAGAAACACACCATAGAAATGCATCATCATTGGGCTCCTGAGTGGCGCAGCGGTCTAAGGCACTGCATCTCAGTGCTTGAGGCGTCACTACAGACTCCCTGGTTCGATTCCAGGCTGTATCACAACCGGCCGTGATTGGGAGTCCCATAGGGCGGCACACAATTGGCCCAGCGTCGTCCGGGTTTGGCCGGTGTAGGCCGTCATTGTAAATAAGAATTTGTTCTTAACTGAATTTTACCTAGTTAAATAAAGGTAAAATAAATAAAAAAATATATATATAAATTGTCACCTAGTCTATCTGATCCACTCACCTGGCGTACAGCCTGGCTGCCCAGGGTTCCTGGCAGTCTCTCTATGAGGATGGGCCTAAGGTGAGTCTCCCACAGGCGTGTCCCGTCTACCTGGGACACCAGCCGCCGCACCTGGGATGGAGAAGACTTACTGACCTTATGGGATAACTGGAGAAGCAGAGGAATGAGTGGGTGAGTGGTAGAGAGAGAGCAAGAGATGAACAACTGGAATAGAACACTCAATAACAAACCTCAAATCACTGAAGCCCTCAGTGATACCATTCTCAGTGTGCCAACTGTACTTGAACAACAAATCACTCCCGCAACTGTAAATAGTACAGTAAATGATTGAGTTTAGTTCCTTACCCTGTCTTTTGCCAAATCTACGACGGGGATTCTGTTGTTGCGGTTGCTGCTTGTGTCGTTGGACAAATATAACCCCAACACCATAGCAAGAGTCAGCACACCCAAGAGACAGAAGACCAGTACCCGAGCACGGGGCATTCGAACCGAGTTGCAACCAGGGACAGCACCATTATTCACCTGCAAAGGCTTGTACCGTCGACTAGTTCTCGACATAACAAAGCTTTCTAAAAACCAGGGCTAGAACGAAAAAGACCAGTATCTCTATAGCTGAAACTGACGGCAGCTGCTCGTTCCCTGTTGGCCCTATCTACAGCTACGTGTCAGTCCGCGAACTGAACTTGTTGTGAAACTGCACCTATTATAGGGTTAGATAGAGGCCGCAATTCCGCTTAGCGTCTTATTTTGAAGTTCTCGCAGCACTGCACCATACGTTGCACATTTCTTTATTATAATAGTATTGTAATAGCTTGTATTTGCAACGCCCTACTTCGACTCCTAAATAATAGCCCCTAGGCTACCCTAAGCCTGTCTCCCTTGGCATTTATACAAATTATACTCTACCCTTTCATGGTAACATGTACTTCTACTTGCCAAACCCATCTTTCAATAAGGACTTTTATGATTTGTCTCCGATCAGTCTAGTGTCGTCCTTAGGTTTGCTTCATTGGAGTTGAACATATCGATATCATGAATCTATCGATGGTTAGGCTACTCTTCCTTATCTAAAAATCCTTTGTTCTCAAATATCATACGACTGATTTCGGCTGTTATTTCAATAGGTAGATGCAGTATTGCAGCAACTGACATGGTTTGTAACTCCCATAGCCTCTCACCCAACTGAAGTAATCGAATCCACTGTTAGCGCAACACAACTTGCTTTTTTTGGTTCCGGGTTTTCGTTGACAGTGACGAGGCAAGGGCTTTTTTTAAAGGCGCAGTCCCCACCTGACAGATTTTACAAAGCCTCGATAGGGTTTTAACGTATCAGCTAACTACTGAACAAAAATATAAACACCCAACGAACTTAATTGCATTTTATCGATGGCAATTTGAATGAACAGAGATACCGTGACGAGATCCTAAGGCCCATTTTCATGCCATTCATCTGCCGCCATCACCTCATGTTTCAGCATGATAATGCACAGCCCCATGTCACAAGGATCTGTACACAGTTCCTGGAAGCTGAAAATGTCCCAGTTATTCCATGGCCTTCATACACAGACGTGTCACCCATTGCGCTTATTTGGGATGTTCTGGATCGATGTGTATGACAGCGTGTTCCAGTTCCCGCCAATATCCAGCAACTTTGCACAGCCATTGAAGAGGAGTGGGACAACATTCCACAATCAACAACCTGATCAACTCTCTGCAAAGGAGATGTGTTGCGCTGCATGAGGCAAATGGTGGTCACACCAAGTACTGACTGGTTTTCTGATCCACGCCCCATAAAAAAAAAAAAGGTATCTTTGACCAGCAGATGCATGTCTGTATTCCAAGTCATGTAAAATCCATAGATTAGGGCCTAATTAATTTCAATTGACTGATTTCCTTATATGAACTGTAACTCAGTAAAATCTTTGAAATTGTTGCGTTTATATTTTTGTTCAGCATACATATGTTATAGCAATCTGTCAGTCGATGACAATTGGTTGATGCATGCAACGTCTGAGTCAGAGGAACGCGACCGTTACATTCTTGCCGCTTCTATCCACTGACGTTACTGTTCCATTTGGTTCCATTTGAGGATTCAGTCGATACATTGTATGCCTCAGGTCACATGCCAACAACTCTAGCACACGCACAACCAAAATCTGTTCATGTGATCAAATAGTTAAATACCATTGCCAGAAAGATAAAAAATGACAGATTCTATCATTATGAAAGATTTTTAATATATGTTCTTATAAAATAATGAAAACAATTTACACTTTTAAATGTACAGTCATTGATACAACATCCCCAAGAAAAACTAAATGTTCAACCGTAAGTTTTCGTCAATGCATAAACCACCCCTGCCTCATGCAGAATGCACTAACAAAGTAAGAAAAACAATACAAATCATACAAATCAGCTTTGTACAAAGATTTAAAATCAAACAGCATATACAGAAATAAAAACAAGGTACCCTCTTAATTTCACTATTTTGTCTTTTTCAGGTTGCAAAAGTGGCCAATGTGTTCCAAAAATAAATTAGACAAATATTAAACATCAAAAAAAAATAATCATACACTTGATCCATTTACCAAGTTTCGGTATTACCATTTGTGATTTGTGCACGTGCACCTTTGATGCACCGAGCTATGTTCAACACATACAGTACCAGTCAAAAGTTTGTACAAAACTATTCATTCAAGGGGTTTTTCTTTATTTTTACTATTTTCTACATTGCAGAATAATAGTGAAGACATCAAAACTATGAAATCACACATGGAATCATGTAGTAACCAAAAAAGTGTTAAACAAATCAAAATATATTTTATATTTGAGATTCTTCAAAGTAGCCAACCTTTGCCTTGATGACAGCTTTGCACACTCTTGGCATTCTCTCAACCAGCTTCATGAGGTAGTCAACTGGAATGCATTTCAATTAACAGGTGTGCCTTCTTAAAAGTTAATTTGTGGAATTACTTTCCTTCTTAATGCGTTTGAGCCAATCAGTTGTGTTGTGACAAGGTAGGGGTGGTATACAGAAGATAGCCCTATTTGGTAAAAGACCAAGTCCATATTATGGCAAGAACAGCGCAAATAACCAAAGAGAAACGACAGTCCCTCATTACATTAAGACATGAAGGTCAGTCAATCCATAAAATTACAAGAACTTTCAAAGTTTCTTCAAGTGCAGTCGCAAAAACCATCAAGCGCTATAATGAAACTGGCTCTCATGAGGACCGCCACAGGAAAGGAAGACCCAGAGTTACCTCTGCTGCAGATGATAAGTTCATTAGAGTTACCAGCCTCAGAAATTGCAGCCCAAATAAATGCTTCACAGAGTTCAAGTAACAGACACATCTCAACATCAACTGTTCAGAGGGGACTGTGTGAATCAGGCCTTCATGGTCGAATTGCTGCAAAGAAACCACTACTAAAGGACACCAATAAGAAGAAGAGACTTGCTTGGGCCAAGAAACACAAGCAATGGACGTTAGACCGGTGGAAATATGTCCTTTGGTCTGACGAGTCCAAACTTTTTTGGTTCCAACCGCCGTGTCTTTGTGAGACGCAGAGTAGGTGAACGGATGATCTCCGCATGTGTGGTTCCCACCGTGAAGCACGGAGGAAGAGGTGTGATGGTGCTTTGCTGGTGACACTGTCGGTGATTTATTTAGAATTCAAGGCACACTTAACCAGCATGGCTACCACAGCATTCTGCAGCAATACGCCATTCCATCTGGTTTGCGCTTAATGGGACTATCATTTGTTTTTCAACAGGACAATGACCCAACACACCTCCAGGCTGTGTAAGGGCTATTTGACCAAGAAGGAGAGTGATGGAGTGCTCCACAATCACCCAACCTCAACCCAATTGAGATGGTTTGGGATGAGTTGGACCGCAGAGTGAAGGAAAAGCAGCCAACAAGTGCTCAGCATATGTGGGAACTCCACGAAGACTGTTGGAAAAGCATTCCAGGTGAAGCTGGTTGAGAGAACGCAAAGCTGTCATCAAGGCAAAGGGTGGGTATTTGAAGAATCTCAAATATAAAATATATTTTGATTTGTTTAGCACATTTTTGGTTACTGCATGATTCCAAATGTGTTATTTCATAGATGTGATGTCTTCACTATTATTCTACAATGTAGAAAATAGTAAAAATAAAGAGAAACCCTTAATGAGTAGGTGTTCTAAAACCTTTGACCCGTAGTGTACATCCTTTTTGGGTCATCATGACAACAGTCCAGGATAGGGACACATACCTCTGCAAAACCCATGCCAACCTCCAGTTCATGGCGGACAAACTACAGTATCAAAGTGATCAGCTGCAGCAACATTGAGAACCTTATTGAGTCTTTGTGCTGTGAGAACCTGAAGAAAAATGGAATAATTTACATTTTCGTCATTTAGCAGATGCTCTTATCCAGAGAGAATTGGTGCATTCACCTTATGATAGCCAGTGGGACAACCACTTTACAATATATCAAATTATTATTATTATAATACATTTTTAGGGGGGGTGGGGTAGGGGGAGGGTAGAATGATTACTTTTATCCTATCCAAGGTATTCCTTAAAGAGGTGGGGTTTCAAGTGTCTCCGGAAGGTGGTGAGTGACTCCGCTGTCCTGAATGTACAGAGAGTGCTGTCCATGCCAAGCAAAATAGCTTAAAACATCTGACTTTGATGCTGGTGAGCAGACATGGTTGAGTGGGAAAACAAAGCTGAAGAGAGCGATAAGAAAAACATGGAGAAGTTCACTGTACATTTGACAGTAAAAGAAAAAGGTGTGGCACACTGCATATTCTACTGGAGGACTTCTCCAAAAGGATTGAAAGAGAAGTTGGGTAAACGTGTGTACAACATTTGACACCAATACTCCAAACTGAGAATTAAAAGAGAATCTGGGGAAAGAGGAATTAAAAGAGAATCGGGGGAAAGAGGAGGTCATCATGTGTATTGACTTTGCAGAGAACTACCTGTTAAGAAGGAAAGTAATTCCACAAATTAACTTTTAAGAAGGCACACCTGTTAATTGAAATGCATTCCAGTTGACTACCTCATGAAGCTGGTTGAGAGAATGCCAAGAGTGTGCAAAGCTGTCATCAAGGCAAAGGGTGGCTACTTTGAAGAATCTCAAATATAAAATATATAATATATTTGGATCCGTTTAACACTTTTTTGGTTACTACACGATTCCATATGTGTTATTTCATAGTTTTGATGTCTTCACTATTACTCTACAATGTAGAACAGTAAAAATAAAGAAAAACCCTTGAATGAGTAGGTGTCCAAACTTTTGACTGGTACTGTATATAACTGCAGTTTGCTTAAAATCAAATGTATCAAAACTAAATCCTTAAACACCCATACCCCTCCACACACAAATAAACAAAATAAAGATTAAGACATTGCAGATATCAACATCACAGCACATTTGCAGAGCTTCAGTGATAACATGAGTGTGTAGGGTTATGTTTGAGTTGCTCTTGGTTTGCCCAAGATGAGATGATATAACTGGCTGCAGGAGGAGGCAGCTTACAGTACACAGAGGCAGACTACAACAGTGTCTTTGGATGGGCAGTGATGAGCAAATACCAGAGAACAGAGTGAGATGAAGAGAAATGGAGACAGATATGTCTGTATATGTTGCTCTTATCTAAATGTAATGTCTCTCATAAATGTACAGATGTTTTTGAAAGAGTGAGGGCAGTGTGTTTTGTGTGTTTTTGCGCCATATGCGTGTGAATGTCCACTGATCCAGCCACAAAGGGTTTACACCATACAGGTACATGTCCACACACAAAACAATAAATACAAATAAATAGTACAGTCCTTAAAGAGGATGTCAGTGAAAGGTCCTGAGAGTAGTGAGGGGAAGACAGTATTCCAGTTGAGGCAGGGCAGGGGGTTTCTGAAAAGGGGGTCTATGATGACAGGGCACTTAACTGTGGTAGGGGGTTACATTTACTGGAACGAAAATAGTAATATGGTCCTTCAGCAGAGACTTTTATAATTTGAGTGAATGGATGTGGCCCAAGCGCGAATTGGAACCCACACTGTTGTTTTTGCCAGCTCCATGCTCCCCTCCATTTATCCCACATTCATTACAAACAATGGACACAAAGACACAAATCTGTAAGAAAAACAGTTTCTGTAGAGAGTATAACCAAGCTAGTTAGAAGAAAGTGTATGTGTTGATTTAGTTTAGTGTATTCCTGTCAGATGGACATTATAAAAAAAAAATGGCCACACGTTTCACACAGACCCATCACCACAAGCTAAGTTACTTACGTTTTTTAATTATTTAGCTAGGTCTCACAGTTGTGTATAAATTGTTGAGTTTGATTCTGCAGACACTAGGAATGTCAGCAAAATGTATGTATAATACCCCTTCATTCTAGTACACATACACACACACACACACACACACACACACACACACACACACACACACAGCTATTGTCCCATGACACAGGTACTGATATGACATACGTGCTACAGTGTTTAAGAGATCATTTCTACGTGTCTTTTCTAAATGCACACAGATGTGTGTACTAGCAGTTGGTACACAAAACAAAAACCACTAAATATGATAATTCTACATATTGTAAAAAAAAAACTGCTTAGATATTTGTAAATACCTTTAACATTGATCGTTAACCAAAAAACAACATTGAGATACTATCATTGAGTTTATGACACTATATTCTGTCTCAAACTGAACGAGATGCCTTGTCTCATATCACTAGCTTGTCATATTACAGCTTGCTCATAACTGATATGCCCTGTGCCAGCCTACCACACACTCAACAAAGGGTAAAAAAAACATCACGAGAGCTCGCTATTTTGTGCGATAATGCATTGTCTGAGTATTTGCTGTACCCTACACACCTTCATGAGTTACACACCCACCTCTTTACGTCAGTTATATCAGTACAATATACATGTGTTCAAGCTATATGCTGAATCACACAGGCAAAACTACAGTACCATGTCTTTTATAACACACGTCTCCCAGAGCATTCTGGGAGTTGGAGTCTTTTTTTGAGTCAGAGCTCGTGTTTGTATTTGGCTGATACGCTTCAGGAAAAGTATTAGGCCTCTCTGGGTGATCTAGTGTTCTACAGTTCATAAAATCTCTCCTCTTGATTGGCTTTTCTCTGACGCAGGAGTGTATAAGACTTCAGTTACAAAAATAAAAACCTACAAGCAGGGACAGAGAGGGATTCACTCTGGGTGCACAGACTGAGGGAAAGTCGGCTTGTGCTGTGTTGGACTCTCTTATCTGAGTTTTTAAAAATAGACGTGTCTACTTGTAGGCTCTTCTGTCTAGGCAATTCGGTTTCAGATGAGCCAACGGGGATCCATTGGTTCTCTGCAGTCCCTGTGTCCGTCCAGCCTAGAGCGAGGCATGGTTTCTGGTTATAGGTGGTGCAGCGTAACGGCAGGTCTCTATCCCCAGAGCAGGTCAGAGTGGTGGAGGGGTAGTCCTCCTCTTCTCCCCTACCATCCCACCCCTCTAGGAGAGGCAGGAGGGAGGTGGTGTGGTTGGAATGTGACAGAAGCAGCAGGTGAGGGATAGAACGTGAGAATGTAGGTGGGGGGGGGGGGGGGGGTTCTTATGCTTTAAAGCTACTAATTTTCTTGTACATAATGTCACACCCTAACTTCTATTTTCTACTGCCCATGTATTCCACAGTGCCTAACCAGACCCACTAACAAATCCATTCCCCACTCAATCCCAACAGCATGAAATTCACTGTGGCCGCGTTTCCAATACGTCTTTCCACTAAATCACCTTTACCCTAACCTCTTCCCTCCTCTCCATCGTTCTCTGGCTTAGGTCACACGTCCTTCTCTGCGGACGCTCTCGCACTCTCTCTCCGAGGTCACTTCCTGTGTTCGGTGTGAGCTCACTTCCTCTGCGGGGGGTCGGTGAAGAGCAGGCTGAACTTGCGGAGCTGCTCGCTGGCCGAGTGGCTCTCTTCCTGCAGCCGCTGGTTATTCTGCCGCAGGTTAGCCATCTCAGCCAACAGGTGCACTTTGTCCTCCTTCTCCTGAGGGACAGAGAGGGAGGGAAAGGAAAGAAAGTGTTTATTTATTATCTGTTTCAATTCTTGCTGTGTCAGAGTTACATCCATATAAATTAGCATTGAGCCTAAATGTCTCTCTGGTGTAAACGGTACCTTCTCCAGGTCAGTGTTGAGCTGCTTCAGCATCACCTCTAGGCTAAACAGTCGCCCCGAGAGGTCGCAGGGGACCTCATCTCTGAAAACACACAAAGACATTAACCCACACTGTCATATGGGTTACGTAGCAGGTAGGGCAGACAGGTTTAACAGGTGTGTTCAACAGAACAACAGAGTTTATCGGGACTGTACGAGGCAGCGTGTTAGTTTGGTAAACAAGAGGCAGTTTCAGTGGTAGGCTGGTTGTAGTCATGCCCTGAGACAACACAAGCTGACCGGCCAGACTGCTGTAACTCAAACACTCCACTGTTTGTTTACTACAGCAGGTGTTCAGGGATCCTTGGTAACTGTTTGATCCATGTGTAATTACCACAGCTAACCACAGGATGGCACTGCCATTACAGCTCTCTACATGTGACAGGTGAGGTTGACCTGACAAAAGGAAATGGGAAGTCCAAGCGTAGGCAGTGCTTTTATATACTCAAATATTGTTTTTACGATTTGGAGTATCAGTAATCAACAATCCTAATCTGCTGTAACTACCATGATCTTACATTGTGCGTCTGTGGCAGTGTCTATGGATCGTGATTGTTTGAGCTAGTGTGTGAGAGTTAGTTTCTTTTGTGTGAATTTATGCAAGGTGTGTGTGTCAGAGACTTACCCGCTGAAGGTGGGGGTAGTGCGTGGAGTCTGAGGTGTTTGGAACTGGATTGGACTGATGATCGGCCGCATGTCTGGAACCCCAACTTGAGGCTCAGTGAGCGAGAATAGAGACACTGCCCTTTGCACTGTAAAACACACACACACTGTTACAATGCTGCATTTCCCCCTTCACAATCAGAAGGGGATCTCTCTCTCTCTAGGTGACACAGCTCAGCTACTGACACACAAACAAAATCTCTCTAGCAAATATCAGAATACTCACACTCACCCTCGTAGGCTTTGGCAGCGTTGACCAGGCTGGCCCACTTCAGGCCACAGGCAGTGTCAGGCAAGGGCATGAGCCCCGGGTCCAGCCTCCTCAGGGGGGGGACCTTATCCCTCACCTCTGTCAGAGACAGCTCTGACGCAGACATAGGGACTGGCCAAGCAGGAGGGGGGCAAGGAGGTCAAATTAACTAAAGTCTTAGCATTCATGATGATGTCACATGATAAACTTTGCTTCTTGAAAACTTGACTGCTGACATGCAAAACATTTTGGGACTGTATCAAAAGTGGACTAATGAAATAAATACCAAAATATCATTTTTGAGTGGACTATTCCTTTAAAAGTAGCACATAAATGATTCCTTGTATAACTATAACTGAGCCCTGTGCCTTCTTGATATACCATAATTAGGTATGGATACAATGAAGTAAAAAGGTAGTAACATCAAGCTGTGGCCCCACTCACCCTTCTTGTTGGGCATGTGGTTGGCAGAGTGTGCGTGGCGCCGGGTGGGCAGGGTGCAGGTGAACAGCAGGTCGCTGGGAGTGCCCTGGTCAAACAGGGGGGCAGAGTTGGCATAGCTGGCATCCCTGCGCCCGCTGCACAGAGACTCGTCTGAGAATGTGCGCTGAAGAGTGTGCCGAGGAGACTTTAAAAGGGAGGGAGGTTAGTTGTGGGGTTTGTGTGTGAGCAAGTGGTAAGGTTTGGGGTGTGTATGTGTATGTTTGTATATGTATGTTCTGTGTGTGTTTGTGTGGGTGTGGTTTTGTGTGTCCCTCACCATGTCTCTTTGTGGCATCTCTCCAGGGTTGTCCATGATGATGAGTTTCTTCAGGTCGTCCTCGACGGTGCTCTTGTGGGATCTCCGTGGAGACCGCAGGTCCCTTAGCGACGCTCTGAGACGGGGCTGTCCGAACACGTTCTTAGAATTCACGTCCACCTGCCTGAACACACACACAGCAGGAATATAGGTTAAATACAGTAACACAACTTACCACACCGAGCATTGGTTAACACAGTGGCGTGATGCTTGACTTTTGTGTTGGTGGTGTGGCACACTGGTGCCTCGGTAGACCAGTGCATCTTAATGCGCACACACACACACACACACACACACACACACACACACACACACTCTCTCTTACTTCTTGCTGCTGTTGCTGTCAGAGCTGTAGGTAGTGGGTGTGTTTGAAGGGGAGGGGGCGTTGTCATCTGGTTGCCAGGGGCCCAGCCTGCTCTTGCTGTATAAGGCCTTGGGGGCAGAGCTGGAGAGAGGGGTGGAGCGGAGTAGAGCAGAGTTGGGTGTGACTGTGGCGGCTCGGACCGGCCGCGATTTCTCTGCTGCAGGTGTCTTGTAACCCTGGGGTGTGTAGCAGGCCCTGTGACGACACACAGACACACTGCATTAATATACAGAGAAACACATGCTCAAATCCATAAATCGATCTCTATCTATCTATTTACATGCATAAAAAAGTCTATATAAATGGTGCATAGGTTTAGAGATAAACATATGCTTGAATTGATGGATCCATTCAGGGTGGGATACATAACATAACACAGACACAACAAACCACACATCATGCAGAACAGCTGCTGGTGGAATTCACATCTCAAATCCCATTTGTCTCCCGACCCAATTCCACCAAAAGCCACCTCAACCAACAAACCAACCAACCAACCAACATCTGTTAGTGCCACAGCACGCTCAGTGAATATCCCTGACCAGCTATCATGGCTTTCTCTAAGACATCATACATCCAGCAAACCATCCACCCAATCACCCAAGCAACCATTCAGCTACAAATGTCCAACCAACCCACCATCAATCAATACATACACCCATCCATCTTCCCACTCACACGTCTCTATCCCCATTTCCTAAGCTCCTGTACCACAGTTTAGACTACATACCTGTATGTTATGTGTTGGGTGCCTCTGTGTGTCAGAGTGCTTGTGTGCTATCCTGTTCCCTGAGTGACTTAGTATAGACTGGGGGACTGGAGTGATGGAACTGGGGGTCTAAACCCCCAATCCTTTAATCCCCCTCTAAGAGTAGCTGGACTCTCTAAATATGTGTTTCTACATGTATGTAGGGCAGGGGAGGGGTGGTACATCTGGCCCATACATGCCCCCCCATAGGGATTAAACACTGATGTGTTTCAGTACGTTCAGTATGAGGGGTGGGATGCCTGTGTGGACAAAGCATACAGTTCTCCTTTCCACTCTCTTTCCACTACTGAAAGCTAACCTGAGTTTGAGTGTATAAGCGCTAGCAGTGTGTGTGTGTCTCTCCTACCTGGGTTTGAATGAGTCTGGCTTCTCCACGTTGCATCCAGGAGGAGGGAAGGTGCGTGTGCGGTATCCTTTGTTCTGATTGGCAGGCAATACAGGCGACGACTCTAGTCTCCGCCCCTCGACTCCGTTGCCCCTCACTTCAGAGAGCTTCTGTGATTGGCTGGACTGGTTTCCGTGGCGACCGGCAGGCTTGGTGTTGTAGAGGGTGGGGGCATCGATGCCGCTATCGCTGGACCCGCCCTTACTGAGGGGGTCAGGTTCGGCCAAGTTGCCTAGGCAACCCCCGGACACCCCCGGGCCTCCTCTCTCCCCCCCAGCCCCGTCGAACCAGCGCTCGTCACTGTGGCTGCTGGATGCGTTACTGGAGAGAGTGTTACTGCTGGAGTGGCTGGAGTACTGGGTCTCACCCTACAGAGAGAGAAAGAGACAGTAGATACACAGAAAAGCAACAGGCAGAAAATCTCTCTAAATAAAAGAGGACAGTTATATCTGACCTTTGAGTGTCTGTTGGGGGAGTCTTTCCCTGGGACGTCCTGTCGGTTGGGTCTCCTCTGCCCCCCTCCTCTTCCTGGCCCCCGAGATGATGACACTGGGACATGCCATAGGGGCTCTGAGCAGAAAACACACACACCATTACATATTACTCATCACAGGCCTGATGTAGTGACAGGTGTGGTATGTAGGCCATCGTTATGTTTTACGTGTTCACTGTATGTGTGTGTATTTTGTGAGAGAAAAATGAACATGTAACATGTTTACCTGCTTTGTTTAATATTAATAGTTAACAATTATATACTGTTCTACTATTGCTGTGTTTTTGTAAAGGGATGGTTTCTACTCCTGCTCCCTGCAGCTAGTCTAGGCGTGTGGTCAAGGACAAGGGTTTTACTCGAGATAGGGGTATCTGGAGCTTCCAATTGATTTATGAATGGTTTGGTGATAAAACCTACAAATGCTATCCATAGAATGAGTTGGTGTTTGTGTAATGTAAGGTACCAGGGAGAGATGGCTTGGGTAGGGGCCAAACCCTGGTTTCCATACAATGAGAAAAGTCTTCGCAGCAAATGCTATCTGGCTGGGGGATACTCCTTTCGCATATATCAAGTCTCACCTTTTGACCCATTCCACACATCTGCTGTCTGTTATGTAGAATAGGTGGGGGTATCGTGCTATAAAAGATCTTTGTATGTGAGAGCTCTCGGCCCAACACTCAAGAGTGTTGGGTCGACCAGCCTCAATATTGCAAAGCACTCACGTGTGTGGGTGGTGTGACCTGCTGCTTTATTAATACGTTTTGAATAAAGTAATATCCTGATTGGTGATTGACCTTGTCTCTCCTCATTATTGATTAGAATTTCCATGACAATATGTGTGTGTGGTCACTGGTAATACACAGTGTATTGGGGTAGTCAGTATTTAAGCCCCTTTTCTGATTGTGATGGATGTCTAACTCAGTTCGATTTGGAGTCACTGCAATTGACTGTCTTTATTCCTGACTTATTTCTGTGTGTGTGTGTTCTGTGTGTATGCATATGAATGTGTGTATGTATGTGTGTGTGTGAATTCAGTGTATATATATATATATATATTTTTTTTTTTACGATGAACTTGGATTAGCAAACACAACGTGCCATTGGAACACAGGACTGATGGTTGCTGATAATGGGCCTCTGTACGCCTATGTAGATATTCCATTAAAAATCAGCCGTTTCCATCTACAATAGCCATTTACAACATTAACAATGTCTACACTGTATTTCTGATCAATTTGCTGTTATTTTAATGGACAAAAAAATTGCTTTTCTTTCAAAAACAAGGAAATTCCTAAGTGACCCCAAACTTTTGAACGGTAGTGTATATATATATATATATATATATACACACTACCAGTCAAAAGTTTGGACACACCTACTCATTCAAGGATTTTTCTTTATTTTTACTATTTTTTTTACATTGTAGAATAATAGTGAAGACATCAAAACTATGAAATAACACAAATGGAATCATGTAGTAACATAAAAAGTGTTAAACAAATCAAAATATATTTTATATTTGAGATTCTTCAAATAGCCACCTTTTGCCTTGATGACAGCTTTGCACACTCTTGACATTCTCTCAACCAGCTTTATGAGGTAGTCACCTGGAATGCATTTCAATTAACAGGTATGCCTCCTAATTTCTTTCCTTCTTAATGCGTTTGAGCCAATCCGTTGTGTTGTGACAAGGTAGGGGGGTATACAGAAGACAGCCCTATTTGGTAAAATACCATGTCCATATTATGGCAAAAACAGCTAAAATAAGCAAAGAGAAACGACAGTCCATCATTACTTTAAGAAATGAAGGACAGTCAATAGGGAACATTTCAAGAAAGTTTCTTCAAGTGCAGTCGCAAAACCCATCAAGCGCTATGATGAAACTGTCTCTCATGAGGACCGCCACAGAAATGGAAGACCCAGAGTTGCAGAGGATAAGTTCATTAGAGTTACCAGCCTCAGAAATTGCAGCCCAAATAAATACTTCACAGAGCTCAAGTAACAGACACATCTCAACATCAACTGTTCAGAGGGGACTGTGTGAATCAGGTCTTCATGGTTGAATTGCTGCAAAGAAACCACTACTAAAGGACACCAATAAGAAGAAGAGACTTGCTTGGGCCAAGAAACACGAGAAATGGACATTAGACCGGTGGAAATGTGTCCTTTGGTCTGGAGTCCAAATTGGAGATTTTTGGTTCCAACCGCCATGTCTTTGTGAGACACGGTGTGGGTGAACAGATGATCTCCGCATGTGTAGTTCCCACCGTAAAGCATGGAGGAGGTGTTGTTATCGTGTGGGGGTGCTTTGCTGGTGGCACTGTCTGTGATTTATTTAGAATTCAATGCACACTTAACCAGCATGGCTACCACAGCATTCTGCAGCGATACGCCATCCCATCTGGTTTGGCCTTAGTGGGACTGTCATTTGTTTTTCAACAGGACAATGACCCAACACACCTCTGTAGCTCAGTTGGTAGAGCATGGCGTTTGCCATGCCAGGGTTGTGGGTTCGATTCCCACGGGGGGCCAGTATGAAAATGTATGCACTCACTAACTGTAAGTCGCTCTGGATAAGAGCGTCTGCTAAATGAGTAAAATGTAAATGTAAGGGCTATTTTTACCAAGAAGGAGAGTGATGGAGTGCTGCATCAGATGACCTGGCCTCCACAATCCCCCGACCTCAACCCAATTGAGATGGTTTGGGATGAGTCGGACGGCAGAGTGAAGGAAAAGCAGCCAACAAGTGCTCAGCATATGTGGGAACTCCTTCAAGACGGCTGGAAAAGCATTCTAGGTGAAGCTGAATGAGAGAATGCCAAGAGTGTGCAAAGCTGTCATAGAGGCAAAGGGTGGCTACTTTGAAGAATCTCAAATATAAAATATATTTTGATTTGTTTAACACTTCTTTGGTTACTACATGATTCCATATGTGTTATTTCATAGTTTTGATGTCTTCACTATTATTCTACAATGTAGAAAATAGTAAAAAATTAAAGAAAAACCCTTGAATGAGTCGGTGTTTCCAAACTTTTGACTGGTACTGTACATGTGTGTGTGTGTGTGTGTGTGTGTGTGTGTTCTGTATGTTTGTCTACATATGTGTGTGTGTGTGTGTGTGTGTGTACCTGTCTTGCAGCGCTCCATAGTGCTATCCTGGCTGGTGAAGCCCGAGGAGGACTCTCCACTAGAGGTGATGTCCAGACTGAGATGAGGTTCGTAGGCCAGCAGGGGACGCTGGGCTGAACCGTACCTACACAGATATAAGAGGAACAGAGAGGTTACTCACACACTCACGCTAGGGCGGTATACCATATTTTACTATATACCATGATTGATGCACGGACCGGTTTGGGTTTTTATTTTATGTTCTACAACGGTATTTCAATATTTTATATGTTAAATGCGATACGCCACTCCAGCGAGTTTCTGTTTTTATAGCTTACTCCGTTTGCTACTTGAGTCGTCTCTCCCTCTCCTCCTGCAAATGATTTTCTATGCTAACAAAGGCTAATAGAGTACTAGCGAATTCCCATAGCGGATGCTAGCTAAATACAAACAAGGCAAGCGAACAAAAGCTAAATGCAAGGACAGACAACCCAGGTCATAAAGTTATAGAACTATCTCAAAAGGCTACTCACACTTGATCCAGAAGGGGATTGATTGTCTCTGCTGTAACCAAGAAGCTTGATATTGCAAGCTAGCCACCTAACGTTATAGCTAGCAAGTTAGCTAACCAAATGCATAGCTGGAGCCCTGAGCTGGAGAAAATGTTAAATAGTTAACTTATAGTTATAAGATATGAATTTCAAGTGTAACTTGATCACCTCTCTCGTGCTTCTCAACAGTGGATTGACACGTTTTCTCCACGTGCTCTTTGTAAACAAAGATACCATGTGGAGGGGGGGGGGGGGGAGTATTGAAAATCATACCTTCTGTACTTAAAAATCCCCCCCGATATATACGGTATAATGCTCAAGCCTGGTCAAAAATTAGAAAAATATTGGGATATGATATTTTGCCCAAACCGCCCATCCCTAACTCACGCAAGGTTACACACAGACTCGGGTGAATTCAGATTTAGGCAGAATACAGGTAGACAAAAAAGTGTACAGCACACACACACTAGGGCTGACCCCATTTAGCCGACTGGTCGATAGGCTGTTGGTCGACCGAGATTTCTTTAGTAGAGCAGTCGCAAAAAAAAAATTTTCCCCGTGGTGCACAAGACACCTGTCTGATTCACACGTCTCAGTGGACTAATCCATTGCGGAGGCCACAGGGATGGCATAGTCCATCACTAAGACAGTGGTCACAAACCTTTTCTGAGTCAAGATCACTTTCGCAGTCAAAAAGCAAAACTTTTTTTTAAACATGACTTAAAAAATTTTACATTAAACTAATAAAAACAGTTCTGTAGGAATTAGGTTTGGGCAGTAGGCCTAATACATTATCACAGCATATTGGCTATATGCCTGACAATATTGTTCTTCTCAGACCATATTATATTTCAAAACTCGAGCTTTAATAAACAAAATACACTGCTCAAAAAAATTAAGGGAACACTAAAATAACACATCCTAGATCTGAATGAATGAAATAATCTTATTAAATACTTTTTTCTTTACATAGTTGAATGCGCTGACAACAAAATCACACAAAAATGATCAATGGAAATCAAATGTATCAACCCATGGAGGTCTGGATTTGGAGTCACACTCAAAATTAAAGTGGAAAACCACACTACAGGCTGACCCAACTTTGATGTAATGTCCTTAAAACAAGTCAAAATTAGGCTCAGTAGTGTGTGTGGCCTCCACGTGCCTGTATGACCTCCCTACAACGCCTGGGCATGCTCCTGATGAGGTGGCGGATGGTCTCCTGAGGGATCTCCTCCCAGACCTGGACTAAAGCATCCGCCAACTCCTGGACAGTCTGTGGTGCAACGTGGCATTGGTGGATGGAGAGAGACATGATGTCCCAGATGTGCTCAATTGGATTCAGGTCTGGGGAACGGGCGGGCCAGTCCATAGCATCAATGCCTTCCTCTTGCAGGAACTGCTGACACACTCCAGCCACATGAGGTCTAGCATTGTCTTGCATTAGGAGGAACCCAGGGCCAACCGCACCACCATATGGTCTCACAAGGGGTCTGAGGATCTCATCTCGGTACCTAATGGCAGTCAGGCTACCTACCTCTGGCGAGCACATGGAGGGCTGTGCGGCCCCCCAAAGAAATGCCACCCCACACCATGACTGACCCACCGCCAAACCGGTCATGCTGATGGATGTTGCAGGCAGCAGAACGTTCTCCACGGTGTCTCCAGACTATTTCATGTCTGTCACATGTGCTCAGTGTGAACCTGCTTTCATCTGTGAAGAGCACAGGGCGCCAGTGGCAAATGTCTCTGGCAAATGCCAAACGTCCTGCACGGTGTTGGGCTGTAAGCATAACCCCCACCTGTGGATGTCGGGCCCTCATACCACCCTCATGGAGTCTGTTTCTGACCGTTTGAGCAGACATGCACATTTGTGGCCTGCTGGAGGTCATTTTGTAGGGCTCTGGCAGTGCTCCTCCTTGCACAAAGGCAGAGGTAGCGGTCCTGCTTCTGGGTTGTTGCCCTCCTACGGCCTCCTCCACGTCTCCTGATGTACTGGCCTGTCTCCTGGTAGCGCCTCCATGCTCTGGACACTACGCTGACAGACACAGCAAACCTTCTTGCCACAGCTCGCATTGATGTGCCATCCTGGATGAGCTGCACTATCTGAGCCACTTGTGTGGGTTGTAGACTCCGTCTCATGCTACCACTAGAGTGAAAGCACCGCCAGCATTCAAAAGTGACCAAAACATCAGCCAGGAAGCATAGGAACTGAGAAGTGGTCTGTGGTCACCACCTGCAGAACCACTCCTTTATTGGGGGTGTCTTGCTAATTGCCTATAATTTCCACCTGTTGTCTATTCCATTTGCACAACAGCATGTGAAATGTATTGTCAATCAGTGTTGCTTCCTAAGTGGACAGTTTGATTTCACAGAAGTGTGATTGGCTTGGAGTTACATTGTGTTGTTTAAGTGTTCCCTTTATTTTTTTGAGCAGTGTATATCAGCTGGTGTAGCACTTGCAAGGCATTGCGGCGCATAAATTGAAATAATTTGCTGTTTTATTTTACTGGACTGATGGTACCTGCATCTGATGGTCATGGTGCTTTCAAGACAACTGGGAACAAATCACAACATCAGTGATCTTCAGGTCGGAAAGTCGGAGCTCTAGAAAGACACCAGAGTTTCAGACTTTTAATTCCAAGTTGGATGACCGCTCAAAACGATTTTGCCCCAGTTGGATCTTCTTTTTTCAGAGTTCGCAGTTGTCTTGAACACACTGAAGTCTGAGATTTCTGAGTTCCCAGTTGTTCTGAACATGGCATTAGTCTCAGCGCAGGGTGGGAGCAGCAGAGGGTCCACCTCTCACGGTCCCTGCTCTCTCCTTCCTTTCCTCCGGTGAGACTGACCAGAGAGAGGGGACACTGTCTTCCACCTGATGGCTAAACTCGAGTCGCACCGCATTCCTATGACCAGAGAAAGTGAAATATTCCTCAATATTAAAATAGATACGACGAGCTGCTGCTGCTAATAATAATAATTATAGAAATGCAGGGCTATCGATACACTTGGCTACTCATTTCATTGCTGCGGCAGCGTGAGTGGAAGTACGGAGAAGCGTGTTTTATGTTTTGTAATCGTGTTGAATAAAAACAGTTGACACTGCTGAATAAAAACATTAATATTAACTCCCTCATAAAAACAGCAGCTCTTTGCTGTATTCTATGACAGTCTCTCTGTGGTCAATGGTTTTTAAAGTTTTTAAATCTTATGTAGGCTAGTATCAAACTTTGCTGTGGCCGGGGTCTTGGAAGCTCTGTAGGCAAGAGCAGTAGGCGAACTCAATTTAGCCACAGATGTCCCGGTCCGCCGGGTAGGCAGAGTTTGGTTCAAAATTGGAACACTTTGTTTACCCGATGTGCAGGGCTTCTGAATCAAGTGCACCTACTGCCAACAGCACACCACTGCTCTAAGACGTGATACTGAAATTGTATATGTTTATATTATGTAAAAAATAATGGTGCCACACTAATAAATATAATATAATTGTATAACATATTTTTCTCTTGCGTTGGATAGCGGTTGCTGTCCGCGGTTCTGAATCTCTGTACTTTGCTCCGTTCATCTTTGCCTTGATCCTGACTAGTCTCCCAGTCCCTGCCGCTGAAAAACACCCCCACAGCATGATGCTGCCACCACCATGCTTCACCGTAGGGATGGTGCCAGGTTTCCTCCAGACGTGACACTTGGCATTCAGGCTAAAGAGTTCAATCTTGGTTTCATCAGACCAGAGAATCTTATTTCTCATGGTCTGAGTGTCTTTAGGTGCCTTTTGGCAAACTACAAGCGGGCTGTCATGTGCCTTTTACTGAGTAGTGACTTCTGTCTGGCCACTCTACTATAAAGGCCTGATTGGTGGAGTGCTGCAGAGATGGTTGTCCTTCTGGAAGGTTCTCCCATCTCCACAGAGGAGCTCTAGAGCTCTGTCAGAGTGACCATCGGGTTCTTGGTCACCTCCCAGGCCCTTCTCCCCCGATTGCTCAGTTTGGCCGGGTGGCCAGCTCTAGGAAGAGTCTTGGTGGTTCCAAACTTCTTCCATTTAAGAATGATGGAGACCACTGTGTTCTTGGGGACCTTCAATGCTGCAGACATTTTTTGGTACCCTTCCCCAGATCTGTGCCTCGACACAATCCTGTCTCGGAGCTCTACGGACAATTCCTTGGACCTCATGGCTTGGTTTTTTTCTCTGACATGCACTGTCAACTGTGGGACCTTTATATAGACAGGTGTGTGCCTTTCCAATTCATGTCCAATCTATTGAATTTACCTCAGGTGAACTCCAATCAAGTTGTAGAAACATCTCAAGGATGACCAATGGAAACAAGATGCACCCGAGCGCAATTTCGAGTCTCATAGCAAAGGGTCTGAATACTTATGTAAATACGGTATCGGTTAATTATTTTAATATATTTGCTAAAATTTCAGAAAAACTGTTTTCGCTTTGTCATTATGGGGTATTGTGTGTAGATTGCTGAGGATTATAATTTTTTTAAATCCATTTTAGAATAAGGCTGTAACGTAGCAAAATGTGGAAAAAGTCAAGGGGTTTGAATACTTTCCGAAGGCACTGTATATATCTACAGAAATAAGACAGATCCTGCATCTATTGCCTGTTTGAGTGTTTGTTTAATAGCCTACTGATTCCATGAGCACCAAGCCTCACACAACCGCAAAATGTTGGATAAAGCAATTTCACAAATCAGTCTGTTTTTAATCTTTACTAAGCTGTAATAAAGGCTAAAAAAAAACTCAGAACATACTCTCTGGTATTACTTATAATTTATTTAGTGTTGTTTACACTTTTCCTAACAGGTAGAACAATTATATTGGAATCTAACAGAACCTGTTTGTCACACATAATATGCAAGCAGCTCTCGCTCATACACCCTCCTTTTTCTTGATCTCCTTCTTACTGTTATTATTACAATTATTATTATGATCATCATTAAAATAAGTCATTATCATTAGTAGGCTTCGTATAGTAGTAGCCTTGTATAACCACCATCGAGCTGTAGGCCTAAGAGCGCGTCCTGTTTAGTCTTAATACCGTAACTTACTTAGGCTATATTTCAATATATAGGCTACTGTATCAATCAATCATTTGTTTCTTTACACAGCATACAAGTCATTCATGCTTCGAAATGCAATCAAGCATTTTAGTTTAAAAAATAAATAAAAGGTCCTTTGAATAAATAGCCTAAACAATAAATAAACCGCAATTCATAAATGCAACTGCTTTTAGTCTTTGCTGTAATAAAGGCTTTATATTTGTATTTTTATCGTTAGAACAGACTCTCTGGTATACTTATAATTTATTTAGTGTTGTTTACACTCTTCCAAATGGTCAGAATGTTTGTTTTATATTGTAATCTATCAGCACCTGTTTAGCACACACAATACTCACGCAACGCTTGCTCCTATACCCTCCTTTTTCTTGATCTCCAGCAGTTTCCACAACTAAGTCAAATGTCTTCCACAGATCCGACTTCCCCTTTCCCTCCTGAGAAACCAGTAAACATTAGCCCGTTTTGAGTTTCTTTTTTTCCACGTCCACATCCATTTTGCTGTCACATATGTTACGGTGTTTGGAGTTTGTTATAACAATTATATTGATGTGCTTATGATAGGCTCTAGGTCAGGCCCTATTGTTTCACGTAAAGAGAGGGAATAGGGAATGTTTTTTTATAAACAAATGAGGGATTTCGGTAACAGAACTGTTCAGTCAAAGAAACAAGTAAAACGAAATGGCTGAAATTATGTTGCAGCTTCAGCATGGACAGCGCAATAAACACTTGTTCGCTGCAGCTGCGGGTGCCGCTGTCCTTTTTCTTTTCTTTTTTACACATCGTGGCCATCGTGCTCCCTCGAGTCATTTGTGTGTCATAATTATTTAATCAAACAGTGCGCTTAAAGCATCAGACAAGCTCAGTGCATATAGTTGATTTTATTCAAACACATAGGGGTGTCTATATATGGAAAAATACACGTTTAAAAATGTTTTACCAATCGATTGGTCAAAAGAACAGACGACTCTTGGTCGACCAATACTTATTTTTGTCAGGGACAGCCCTAACACACACACACCAATACGTTTAAGAACATTTCCCAGTTTCTGTTGTTGCTATGCTCCCCGGTGGTGCTTATTTCAAACATGTTCCTCAGGTTGGGCAGGATGTAACTAATCACCCTAAACTAAACACACAGGTAAAACCCCACAATATCGAGTCTTAATCCAATAGTGTGTTCATACATGTCTCACTAACATAAAATCGACAGTCAGCTTCTCAAAGCTTTAAACCAAATCAGTCACAGGTCTGCAGCAAGTTAGCTACCACTCCAAGCAACAAGCGCCAAAAGCCTGTCAAGTATAACATTTACATTTTAGTCATTTAGCAGACGCTCTTAGTGCATACATTTTTCATACTGGCCCCCCGTGGGAATCGAACCCACAACCCTGGCGTTGCAAGCGCCATGCTCTACCAACTGAGCTACAAGAGGCCTACAAGTATCATACAAAGGAAATGCCAGGGAACAGGGAGGAGTGACATTCTCCTCCAATACAAACAAAAGGAGACCTCAATGATACCTCAATGCATACAAACAGAGACAACCACAGAGATACACCCACCATACAAAGACACTAACACACACACTTCCGCTGACTGACCTGTCAGGTGAGGGTTTGTAGCGTACGAAGGGCCCACTGAGTATGGGGCCCCCCAGGGCCGCCATGCCCCCCAGGCCAGAGGGGGAGGAGAAGCTGGCTGAGGGGTTCCTGTAGGGCAGCACTCTGTCGCCCCCCGCTAGGGACAGGCTGTAGTGGTTCTCAGGGAAACTCACCGGCCTGCAGGGAGCACAGGGGGACAGCAGAGTTTAATCACAAGTCAGTGCCTATATTCATAAAGAGTCTTAGAGTATGAGTGCTGATCTACAATCAGTTTGGCCTTTTAGATCATAATTAATACGGTTTATTGGATAGGGAGGACCTGATCCTGATCCACTCCTACTCTGAGACGCTAGAACAGCGTATGTGTAAAAAAACAGAGAGAGTATACAATCAACATACGAGTGATTCCCCCCAAAACTAGGACAAAAAAAATCCCATGGTTTTTGGTATTTTCACAAAATGTAATCCACTATAATGGCGCTACTATGAGTGTTTTCTCGCGTTATTTGTAACTTATTTTGTACATAATGTTTCTGCCACCATCTCTTACGACCGAAAAGAGCTTCTGAATATCAGGACAGCGATTACTCACCTCGTACTGGACAAAGATTTTTTTCTTCAACGAGTCGGACGCAAAGGATTTACTTCAGACACGCGACAAGGCCCAAATCCCTGTCATTCGCAGGAGAAAGAGACAGAGATATCGGGGACGTAGGTCGGGGTGCCTTGTAAGGATCCGACGGCAAGTGGGTAATCTGCCTCTTCTATCAGTCCTATTAGCCAACGTTCAATCATTGAATAACAAAATTGACGTGCTACGATCACGAATATCCTACCAACGGGACATTAAAAGCTGTAATATCTTATGTTTCATTGAGTCGTGGCTGAACGACAACATGGATAACATATAGCTGGCGGGGTTTACGCTGCATCGGCAAGATAGAACAATGGCCTCCCGTAAAACAAGGGGTGGCGGTCTGTGTATATTTGTAAACAACAGCTGGTGCACGAAATCTAATATTAAGGAAGTCTCAAGGTTTTGCTCGCCTGAGGTAGAGTATCTCATGATAAGCTGTAGACCACACTATCTACCAAGAGAGTTTTCATCTATATTATTCGTAGCTGTCTATTTACCACCCCAAACCGATGCTGGCACTAAGACCGCACTCAATGAGCAGTATAAGGCCATAAGCAAACAGGAAAACGCTCATCCAGAGGCGGCGCTCCTAATGGCCGGGGACTTTAATGCAGGGAAACTTAAATCCGTTTTACCTCATTTCTACCAGCATGTTAAATGTGCAACCAGAGGGAAAAAAACTCTAGATCACCTTTACTCCACACACAGACACGCATTCAAAGCTCTCCCTCGCCCTCCATTTGGCAAATCTGACCATAATTATATCCTCCTGATTCCTGCTTTCAAGCAGGAAGCACCAGTGACTCGGTCAACAAAGAAGTGGTCAGATGACGCAGATGCTAAGCTACAGGAATGTTTTGCTAACACAGACTGGAATATGTTCCGGGATTCTTCCGATGGCATTGAGGAGTACACCACATCAGTCACTGGCTTCATCAATAAGTGCATCGATGACGTCGTCCCCACAGTAACTGTACGTACATACCCCAACCAGAAGCCATGGATTACAGGCAACATCCGCACTGAGCTAAAGGGTAGAGCTGCCACTTTTAAGGAGCGGGTCTCTAACCCGGACGCTTACAAGAAATCCTGCTATGCCCTCTGAACATCAAACAGGCAAAGTGTCAATACAGGACTAAGATTGAATCGTACTACACCAGCTCCGACGCTCGTCGGATGTGGCAGGGCTTGCAAACTATTACAGACTAAAAAGGGAAGCACAGCCGCGAGCTGCCCAGTGACACGAGCCTACCAGACGAGCTAAATCACTTCTATGCTTGCTTCAAGGCAAGCAACATTGAAGCATGCATGAGAGCATCAGCTGTTCCGGACGACTGTGTGATCACGCTCTCCGTAGCCGATGTGAGTAAGACCTTTAAACAGGTCAACATTCACAAGGCCGCAGGGCCAGACGGATTACCAGGACGTGTACTCCGAGCATGCGCTGACCAACTGGCAAGTGTCTTCACTAACATTTTCAACCTCTCCCTGACTGAGTCTGTAATACCAACATTAAAACATAAATAACAGGACACAGATACATAATTTTCATATTATGTCTGTTTATTAACACAGCCAAATAATGGTGTTTTAAATCAAGCTGAAACATACTACACACCATAATATTTGTCTTTGGCTGTGGCTCTTGACGGTGGCTTATAGAATGAGTCTTGAGACGCCACTTGCAAAACATCAAGGAAACCTGAGTCTTCTACAATGCTAATGGGTCTACAATCCTTTGCAATCCATTTTGCTATTGTGTTGGTCAAATTATCTGAGGTTGATTTTGTTAATTGCCTGCAAACATTCAGCGTGGTCTGGCGCAAACCACTTGCTGAATCTGACGGCCCAGCAAACGCATGTTTGGCGTTGACATGGTACTTCAAGCTTGAACAGCTCCGGTGAAATTGAAACTCCTTCTTACAAATCTTGCAAATAACCTTGTACTTGTTAACTGTACCATCATCATTCTTTTTATATTTGAATCCGTCAATAGGCCCACTTTGCTCACCTTAGCAGACCACCATAGTCGCTGTGCCCAAGAACACTAAGGTAACCTGCCTAAATAACTCCAGACCCGTATCACTAATGTCTGTAGCCATGAAGTGCTTTGAAAGGCTGGTCATGGCTCACATCAACACCATTATCCCAGAAACCCTAGACCCACTCCAATTTGCATACCGCCCCAACAGATCCACAGATGATGCAATTTCTGAGGCTGGTAACTCTAATGACCTTTACCAAATAGGGCTATCTTCTGTATACCCCCCGTACCTTGTTACAACACAACTGATTGGCTCAAACGCATTAAGAAGGAAAGAAATTCCACAAATTAACTTTTAAGAAGGCACAACTGTTAATTGAAATTCATTCCAGGTGACTACCTCATGAAGCTGGTTGAGAGAATGCCAAGAGTGTGCAAAGCTGTCATCAAGGCAAAGGGTGGCTATTTGAAGAAATTTGTTTAACACTTTTTTGGTTACTACATGATTCCATATGTGTTATTTCATAGTTTATGTCTTCACTATTATTCTACAATGTAGAAAATAGTAAAAATAAAGAAAAACCCTGGAATGAGTAGGTGTGTCCAAACCTTTGACTGGTATTGTATGTAAACAATCTTTCCTTCAAAGGACCATTGTATGGGTTACATTTCATGAAAATCCCCAAAATCATGGTCTTTTTGGTCTTGCTTTACGTTTTTATAAGAATAACCTCATCGTCTGAGCATTTATGAGAATGACATCAGGCCATAAGCATAGGACCACCGGCTCAAGACACTGAAGCAAACAAGGGCAACTACACCAGTGTCTAAGCACATGACAAACAATCACACGTCAGTGTCTCACCTCTTGTTGGAGAGGTGCTGGGGCTCTCTGTATTGGACAGGCATGACAACGGCTTTGTGTGAGCGGGGTTGGGGTGGTGGGGGGCCCATAGGGGTCCAGCGCTGAGGGGTGGGGGGGCTGTCCCAGCGCCAGGCAGGGGTGCGAGGGGAGGGCCGATACCCTGCTGCCACAGGCTCAGCCTCTGGCTTCTGCTCCATGTTCTTCATCTCATATTCCTCTGTACAGCCCCTACAGACATACAGAGGGAATGGAGAGTCAGTGGTACTGCAGTGGTATTGCAAGACTAAACCCTTCACATAGAACATTATAATATAATAATATAATATGCCATTTAGCAGACGCTTTTATTCAAAGCGACTTACAGTCATGTGCGCGTACATTTTTTACGTATGGGTGGTCCCGGGGATCGAACCCACTACCCTGGCGTTACAAGCGCCATGCTCTACCAATTGAGCTACAGAGGACCACACACTAACACCAGACTAGAAAACAACTAGAAAGATGTCATAGCTGCTTACACACACACACACAGCTGGTGGGTTATACACAGTATCGGCAGGATAGAACAGCAGCCTCTGGTAAGACAAGGGGTGGCGGTCTATGTATATTTGTAAACAACAGCTGGTACACGATATCTAAGGAAGTCTCAAGGTTTTGCTCGCATGAGGTAAAGTATCTCATGATAAGCTGTAGACAACACTACAGATGAAGTCGGAAGTTTACACCTTAGCCAAATACATTTAAACTCAGTTTTTCACAATTCCTGACATTTAATCCTAGTAAAAATTCCCTGTTTTAGGTCAGGTAGGATCACCACTTTATTTTAAGAATGTGAAATGTCAGAATAATAGTAGAGAGAATTATTTCTTTCAGCTTTTATTTATTTCATCACATTCCCAGTGGGTCAGAAGTTTACATACACTCAATTAATATTTCGTAGCATTGCCTTTAAATTGTTTAACTTGGGTCAAACGTTTCAGGTAGCCTTCCACAAGCTTCCCACAATAAGTTGGGTGAATTTAGGCCCATTCCTCCTGACAGAGCTGGTGTAACTGAGTCAGGTTTGTAGGTCTCCTTGCTCGCACACACTTTTTCAGTTCTGCCCACAAATGTTCTATAGGATTGAGGTCAGGGCTTTGTGATGGCCACTCCAATACCTTGACTTTGTTGTCCTTAAGCCATTTTGCCACAACTTTGGAAGTATGCTTGGGGTCATTGTCCATTTGAAAGACCCATTTGCGACCAAGCTTTAACTTCCTGACTGATGTCTTGAGATAATAATAATAATAATAATAATAATAATATGCCATTTAGCAGACGCTTTTATCCAAAGCGACTTACAGTCATGCGTGCATACATTTTTGTGTATGGGTGGTCCCGGGGATCAAACCCACTACCTTGGCGTTACAAGCGCCGTGCTCTACCAGCTGAGCTACAGAGGACCACAAGATGTTGCTTCAATATATCCACATAATTTTCCTTCCCCATCCATTTTGTGAAGTGCACCAGTCCCTCCTGCAGCAAAGCACCCCCACAGCATGATGCTGCCACCCCCGTTCTTCACGGTTGGGATGGTGTTCTTCGGGTTGCAAGCGCCCCCCTTTTTCCTCTAAACATAACGATGGTCACCTTCTCAGAATGGTCTTGTAGCCCATTCCAGCCTTGTGTAGGTCTACAATCTTGTCCCTGACATCCTTGGAGAGCTCTTTGGTCTTGGCCATGGTGGAGAGTTTGGAATCTGATTGATTGATTGTTTCTGTGGACAGGTGTCTTTTATACAGGTAACAAGCTGAGATTAGGAGCACTCCCTTTAAGAATGTGCTCCTAATCTCAGCTCGTTACCTGTATAAAAGACACCTGGGTGCCAGAAATCTTTCTGATTGAGAGGGGGTCAAATACTTATTTCCCTCATTAAAATGCAAATCAATTTATAACATTTTCGACATGCGTTTTTCTGTTGTTATTCTGTCTCTCACTGTTCAAATAAACCTACCATTAAAATTATAGACTGATCATTTCTTTGTCAGTGGGCAAACGTACAAAATCAGCAGGGGATCAAATACTTTTTTCCCTCACTGTATGTGAGAATGCTATTCATTGACTACAGCTCAGCGTTCAACACCATAGTGCCCTCAAAGCTCATCACTAAGCTAAGGACCCTGGGACTAAACACCTCCCTCTGCAACTGGATCATGGACTTCCTGACGGGCCGCCCCCAGGTAGTAAGGGTAGGTAACAACATATCCGCCACGCTGATCCTCAACACGGTGCCCCTCAGGGGTGTGTGCCCAGTCCCCTCCTGTACTCCCTGTTCACTCATGACTGCACGGCCAGGCATGACTCCAACACCGTCATTAAGTTTGCCGATGACACAACAGTGGTAGGCCTGATCACCGACAACGACGAGACAGCCTACAGGGAGGAGGTAAGAGACTTGGCCATATGGTGCCAGGACAACAACCTCTCCCTCAACGTGATCAAGACAAAGGAGATGATTGTGGAGTACAGGAAAAAACAGATGACTGAGCACGCCCCCATTCTCATCGACGGGGCTGTAGCGGAGCAGGTTGAGAGCTTCAAGTTCCTTGGTGTCCACATCACCAACAAACTAACATGGTCCAAGCACACCAAGACAGTCGTGAAGAGGGCACGACAAAACCTATTCCCCCTAAGGAGACCGAAAAGATTTGGCATGGGTCCTCAGATCCTCAAAAGGTTCTACAGCTGCACCATCGAGGGCATCCTGACTGGTTGCATCACTGCCTTGTATGGCAACTGCTCGTCCTCCGACCTTAAGGCACTACAGAGGGTAGTGCGTACCGCCCAGTACATCACTGGGGTCAAGCTTCCTGCCATCCAGGACCTCTATACCAGGTGGTGTCAGAGGAAGGCCCTAAAAATTGTAAAAGACTCCAGCCACCCTAGTCATAGACTGTTCTCTCTGCTACTGCACGGCATTACGACTCTATCCCCTACTGTGAGGCCTTGGTCAAGTGTGTGAGTAATGTGTTTCTATGAGCATGCGTACAGATTGAATCCAAGCCTTGACCTTTTAGTCACCCAGTTGTCACTGAAGTATTAATTTGGGCAGAATAAACCTCTAATCTCATAAAGATTCTCTCTGTCAGCCTATTCGTGTGTATGTAGCCTAGATGGGTCAACTTGCATTGAGTTTATACACGCAAGGCATGTGGAAATGGTTGTTTTAGGTGACTAGTTAAATACTTTCATTAGATCCTGTGAGATATCAGGCTTTTCTTCAACTTCCCCTAAACAGTCATGACCTGGACCCTTCTAGTTGTCACTGCAGTACCACATACAATGCACATGAAATCTCTAGCAAACCTAAAGGTACACCCTCAATGACGTAATAATGACCAACATCAGTTTCAGTGGGATGTCTTCTCATTTTCTACTCAAGAGACCAATAGCAATAGATCCCTGTTGTTTCACCCAGCACAGTATGACAGGCTTACCCTCTCAACATCCTCACTAAAGCATTGAGCAGAAACAGCACATACAGTTGAAGTCGGAAGTTTACATACACCTTAGCCAAATACATTTAAACTCAGTTTTTCACAATTCCTGACAATTAATCCAAGTAAAAATTCCCTGTTTTAGGTCAGTTAGGATCATCACTTTATTTTAAGAATGTGAAATGTCAGAATAATAGTAGAGAGAAATATTTATTTCAGCTTTCATCACATTCCCAGTGGGTCAGAAGTTTACATACACTCAATTAGTATATTGTAGCATTGCCTTTAAATTGTTTAACTTGGGTCAAACGTTTCGGGTAGCCTTCCACAAGCTTCCCACAATAAGTTGGGTGAATTTTGGCCCATTCCTCTTGACAGAGCTGGTGTAACTGAGTCAGGTTAGTAGGCCTCCTTGCTCACACACGCTTTTTCAGTTCTGCCCACAAATGTTCTATAGGATTGAGGTCAGGGCTTTGTGATGGCCACTCCAATACCTTGACTTTGTTGTCCTTAAGCCATTTTGCACAACTTTGGAAGTATTTTTTATTTTTTTATTTCACCTTTATTTAACCAGGTAAGCCAGTTGAGAACAGGTTCTCATTTACAACTGCGACCTGGCCAAGATAAAGCAAAGCAGTGCGATAAAAACAACACAGAGTTACATATGGGGTAAAAAAACATAAAGTCAAAAATACAACAGAAAATATATATACAGTGTGTGCAAATGTAGCAAGTTATGGAGGTAAGGCAATAAATAGGCTATAGTGCAAAATAATTACAATAGTATTAACACTGGAATGCTAGATGTGCAAGAGATTATGTGCAAATAGAGATACTGGGGTGCAAAAGAGCAAAATAAATAACAATATAGGGATGAGGTAGTTGGGTGGGCTAATTTCAGATGGGCTGTGTACCGGTGCAGTGATCGGTAAGGTGCTCTGACAACTGATGCTTAAAGTTAGTGAGGGAGATAAGTGTCTCCAGCTTCAGAGATTTTTGCAATTCGTTCCAGTCATTGGCAGCAGAGAACTGGAAGGAATGGCGGCCAAAGGAGGTGTTGGCTTTGGGAATGACCAGTGAGATATACCTGCTGGAGCGCAGACTACGGGTGGGTGCTGCTATGGTGACCAATGAGCTAAGATAAGGCGGGGATTTGCCTAGCAGTGATTTATAGATGGCCTGGAGCCAGTGGGTTTGACGACGAACATGTAGTGAGGACCAGCCAACAAGAGCGTACAGGTCACAGTGGTGGGTAGTGTATGGGGCTTTGGAGACAAAACGGATGGCACTGTGATAGACTACATCCAATTTGCTGAGTAGAGTGTTGGAGGCTATTTTGTAAATGACATCGCGTATGCTTGGGGTCATTGTCCATTTGGAAGACCCATTTGCGACCAAGCTTTAACTTCCTGACTGATGTCTTGAGATGTTGCTTCAATATATCCACATAATTTTCCTTCCTCATGATGCCATCTATTTTGTGAAGTGCACCAGTCCCTCCTGCAGCAAAGCACCCCCACAGCATGATGCTGCCACCCCCGTGCTTGACAGTTGGGATGGTAATCTTCGGCTTGCAAGCATCCCCCTTTTTCCTCTAAACATAACGATGGTCATTATGGCCAAACAGTTCTATTTTTGTTTCATCAGACCAGAGGACATTTCTCCAAAAAGTACAATCTTTGTCCCCATGTGCAGTTGCAAACTGTAGTCTGGATTTTTTATGGCGGTTTTGGAGCAGTGGCTTCTTCCTTGCTGAGCGGCCTTTCAGGTTATGTCAATATAGGACTCGTTTTACTGTGGATATAGATACTTCTGTAACTGTTTCCTCCAGCATCTTCACAAGGTCCTTTGCTGTTGTTCTGGGATTGATTTGCACTTTTCGCACCTAAGTACGTTCATCTCTAGCAGACAGAACGAGTCTCCTTCCTGAGCGGTATGACGGCTGCGTGGTCCCATGGTGTTTATACTTGCGTACTATTGTTTGTACAGATGAACGTGGTACCTTCAGGCGTTTGGAAATTGCTCCCAAGGATGAACAAGACCTGTGGAGGTCTACAATCTTTTTTCTGAGGTCTTGGCCGATTTCTTTTGATTTTCCCATGATGTCAAGCAAAGAGGCACTGAGTTTGAAGGGAGGCCTTGAAATACATCCACAGGTACACCTCCAATTGACTCAAATTATGTCAGTTAGCCTATCAGAAGCTTCTAAAGCCATGACATCATTTTCTGGAATTTTCCAAGCTGTTTAAAGGCACAGTCAACTTAGTGTATGTAAACTTCTGACCCACTGGAATTGTGATACAGTGAATTATAAGTGAAATAATCTGTCTGTAAACAATTGTTGGAAAAATTACTTTTGTCATGCACAAAGTAGATGTCCTAACCGACTTGCTAAAACTATAGTTTGTTAACAAGAAATTTGTGGAGTGGTTGAAAAATTAGTTTTAATGACTCCAACCTAAGTGTATGTAAACTCCTGACTTCAACTGTACATCTTTCATCCTTCATCACTATTTCATGGTAAAGTCTATTATTGGATGTTAAAGAGGCATCACACCGCCACAGCAAAGGCTGCCTCAGACATCAGACAATGTACATCACTGTAACAGGGAGGGAGCGGAGAGGTGAGAGGGGAAGAGGGAAAATAGACACGAGGACAGGGGGAGGGAAGAGAGGAGAAAGAAAGAGGGGGGGTAAAGAGAAGGGAAGAAAAGGAAAAAGGAATAAATTAGAGCACAAGGAAAAGGAGGAAATGGGATGAGAAGTGGAGAAAGTGAAAGAAAATATGAATATAGCCTAGGTAACGGACAAGAAGAGGACAAGAGAGGAGTGGAGGAGCAGAGAATCAAAGAGGAGTTGGACAGGAGCAGATTGTCCAGTGTGTGTCTGTGTGTGTGTGTCTCTGTATGTGTGTCTGTGTGTGTGTGTCTCTGTATGTGTGTCTGTGTGATCTGTCCCCTCCTTTTTGACCTGGATTAAGCTCAATCACACTGGCCTGGCCACACTAAGCCCTAGACTGCTTTAGAAAACAACAAACAAACACCACTACTACCGCTGCAGGCCAAGGTAAACAGAGCACACACACAGAGGAGACAACGCAACATCACATGCTCTGTCTGTACGAAAGATACCAGGAGACATTGTATGAGTAGAATTATGGTCTCTCTATCACTCTCATACATATATACCAATACTAACCAACCTTGGAAGGAAAAACCTAGATCCAACACAAACACACAAATATAACTGCCAATGTCAAGTCACGAAACAACCCTCACACATACAGACACTCGATAACACGCATGACGCACACACACCAGAGTACCAACCTTAGAGAGAGAAAACACCAGTGCCCACTTCCAGAGAACCCTCCATCGCAATGGCCGGCCTGACAGCTGGAGCTCTCGCTCTCACACACATTCCGCGAGCAAACACACACACACACACACTCTCTCTCTACTGCATCTCTATATCGCTCTCCTGTCCACAGTACACACAGGGAGGGGGAGAGGAAGAAGTGAAGGCCGTTCTTTCTCTTTCACTCTCCCACTCACTTGGCTTCTCCCACCTAAGAGGTGTTCAGACACGTCTTCCCATTCAAGCTCCTCTATGCCGGGTATCCTACTGTACCCACACTACCTCGCTCCCTCCTCCCTCCTTTTCTACCCTTTTCATTCGCACTGAGCATGCATTTTTAATTAATCGCCTCTTTTTATTTATTTATTTTCCCTCTTTCTGCAGATTCCGGGCCTTAATCTCATGCAATCTGTTGTCCTGGCACACTATAGCAAACGAGTGTGATCGAGAGAGAGGGGGGGGGGGGGGGGGGGGGGGGGTTGGGGGGGGGGTGAAAAAGAGAGGGAGAAACAGAAAGAGTGAAATACAAGACTAATTACGTAGTGTGTGTGGAGTGAGCATGTGTGTGTGTGCGCATACGAGTGTGTGTGTGTGTATCAAAGGGGGTTTTAAGTCATGCAATTAAACTGCCTTGCACATTAAAGAAATCCAACCACTGTGCAATCACACAGCCCCGGCGGCACAATTACTATATTTAGGAACCCCGACTCAATCAAGAACAGACATCCTGCTACTTGTGACCAACTACGGAGCAGCACACTCGGGCTGCATCCCAAATGGCACCCTATTCCCTATATAGTGGACTACTTTTAACCAGAGCCCTATGGGACCTGTTCAAAAGTAGTACACTAAATAGGGAAAAGGGTGCCATTTGGGACATAACCAAGCTGGGCTATATATCGAGTAGAGACTAGTCACATTATGTGTACTCAGTGCGTATTAATCTCAGTAACATTCAACCCCACAGTATTTAACAGAGCCTCATTATCGCACTGTACTCAAGGCCCATACTCAGAAGAAAGGTTGAGAGGAACGGAGCCAAAAAAGAGATGGGGGAAGGGGAGATCCCAAGAGAGAGAGAGAGAGATAAAGAGTGAGGCTGAGGGAGATGGACGTGAAAAACACAGGCCTTGATGGACAGACCGAGAGATGGGGAATAAGAAAGCTTGAAAGGAAATTGTGTATTCATTCTATTGATTGTTAGTTTGTTCTATCCGTCTCTTTCTTTCCCTCTCCTCTTTCACCACCTCCAGGGATTCACACATGTTCAGACCATGCGCCTCTCACCTCTCTCTCTTTCACACAATCCCACTCAAAACTCTCCTCAGAACAGAGATGTCTGGCCACCATCTCTCAGCTCTGTTGGTGTTGCTGTGAGTTGTGCATCTTGTCTCTCTACCACACATACTTAGAGGCAGGATGATGCTTTGACATCTAACACACAAACATTCATTTTCACACACAGACACTCAAACTCACATACACCCAAACACATAGATAAACACACACACACACACACACACACACTGACCTGCGGGGCCCTCCCTCCTCGTATGGCGGTATGATCACCACTTTAACGGTGACTGAAGTCCTCAGTAGGTCGATCATCTGCTCGTGTGTCAGGGTTACCGCGGCAACCTTGCAGATCTCCACCAACCGGCTGCCCTGCCTCAGCCCTGCCTGCCAGGCGAAGCCGTACTCCTCCACCTAAAGCACGTCAAATAAACATAATTTGAAAAATAGCCTTACTTTCAATATAAACTTCCGTTGGATTTTTAATGGATTTTACATGAATTTATAGAAAAATATGTTTTATAAATGATGGGAAAAGTACCTCAGCCACGGTGCCGTCCAGACTGACGTGGAACCCCAGCTGTCCCAGGCCGTTCCTCCTCAGAGTCATATCCACTGTCTCACAGCCCACCGTCAGCGCCTGGGGTGGGAGGGAGGGGGAAGAGGTTAGGGGCTTTCAGCAAATAAAAGGGCTTCAAAAGGCTAGTGGTTTTAAATGCATCATTAAATACATCATTATACTGCCATACACCAACAACAGCCAAACATGCTATTTTCATGGATTTTTGTTTCAGTATCAGTCATCTTAGCCTGGGTGCCTGTCTGTGTCTGCTTTAGCAAACTATTAATTGTCTTAAGCAACAATGTAGGGAGGTGGTACCCAGGCTATTCCTTCTACAAAAAAATAACAGTTAAACTCTCTTCCCTGCTCCTGTGCCTCTTCCACCACCATACATCTGGTAAACCTTCCCCAGCTCTGTGACCTCTGCCTGCTCACCTTTAACCTCTGCACCACCTCCCTGATGTCCTGAGCAAAGCCCTCGGGGACTCTGACGGCGATGTGGTCTCCTCTCCCATAGAAGATCTTCAGCGCCAGCCTCTCTGGCGTCCAGCCGATCACGTCGGCGCAGAAGCAGTTGAACACCACTTCCTTGGTGTTGCAGTCTGCCAGGAGGATATACTCTGCCGACACGCCCAGAGCGCAGGAGATCTCCGTCCCGCCGCCACTGAAGTCCTGGGCCAGCACCCGCCACGCCACCGCCCCGGCCGCTCCCAACTCTGCCCCCTCTCTCGCCCGCGCCCGCTCTCTCTTCTTCGACGCCAGCGAGATGAGGTTGTTGAGTTTGCCCGCGGAGTCAAGCGGCGTACTGCTCACACAATTCTCGGCTAAGTCTCTGAGGTACTCCTGTCGCGTGCGCGTGGCCATGGTGTGGAACTTCTCAGACTTGTGCGCAGCGCTCTCTGCATTGATGACCTTGGCCAAGAGGAAGTTGCGGAAGGCTTCAGGGTCGCGGAACATCACCCCGCTGGGGATGGGTGGGCCGAAGGGAGGCACGTCCTTCATACGCGTCACAGCCACACTGAGGAGAGAGGAGAAAAAACAACCATCAACAATCGACCAATAAAAACAGCATAATGGACGCCATGGTGAAAGTTAGTATGTGTGTGTCCTACCTGTAGCAGGTGTTGTCAGAGCAGGGGTTGTGCACGCGGACGATGACGAACACGTGCTGGAAGTGGGAGCGGATGTTCTGAGGGGTGAAGGGCAGCGCTCCCGGCTCCTGGAAGATTATAGTGACGATGTCGTTCCCTATGTGCCTCTTCCTCAGGAGCTGAGAGAGAAAAGGTAGAGGGGGAAGGAGTGAGGTAGGGAGAGCAAAAAGGAACAAGTGAAAGAGGGAGACAGAAACAAGTGTGAGGCAGAGGGAGAAACAAACAGAAGTAGAGGGAGGGAGGAGAGGAGAGTGAACGGGGAGACCAAACAAACACAAATGAACATGAGTGAGACAGAATTGGCACACGAGCTCACTTGACTCACTATCGCACCAGTATATTGTTAGGAAATGTAATGTAATGTAATGAAAAGTCAGCGAGAGAGAAAGAGCGAGAGAGATACAGATTGGTCCCAGTCTATGCGGATGTAGGTCTGAGAGACAGAACAAGAGATACAGATTGGTCCCAGTCTATGCGGATGTAGGTCTGAGAGACAGAACAAGAGATACAGATTGGTCCCAGTCTATGCGGATGTAGGTCTGAGAGACAGAACAAGAGATACAGATTGGTCCCAGTCTATGCGGATGTAGGTCTGAGAGACAGAACAAGAGATACAGATTGGTCCCAGTCTATGCGGATGTAGGTCTGAGAGACAGAACAAGAGATATAGATTGGTCCCAGTCTATGCGGATGTAGGTCTGAGAGACAGAACAAGAGATACAGATTGGTCCCAGTCTATGCGGATGTAGGTCTGAGAGACAGAGCGAGAGAGATACAGATTGGTCCCAGTCTATGTGGATGTAGGTCTGAGACAGAGCGAGAGAGATACAGATTGGTCCCAGTCTATGTGGATGTAGGTCTGAGATTGTGATGCAGATATAGGCAGTGAGAGAACTGCTGAGGCAAACAAACATATCTTTATGTAATGCTAAATTTCTCTCACAATGAGTGTAGCTATTGAGAATTTGATTGAGTATGTGTCAATGTCAGTCACACAGTGACAGAATCCATACTGTGTCTATTGCGGTGCTTGCCAACCCTCTCTTTCTGCAGCAGTGTGAAAGTGTCAATGATATAAAACAGCATAAAGCTTACACACACACCCTATGGGATGCTGCTGGAGCTCTGTATGCCTGAGACATGAGTTCCCTTAGTCACAGTCACCTCTTCTCTCTCTCGACCAACTGACTTTCTAACATCTCTCCCTCTCTCCTCTCCGTCCCTCTCTGAGTAAGGGTTTATTGGTGATCAACACTGACACCTAGAGGTTGCATGGCAGAAGTAAAAATGTTGCTGCTGTTGCCTATGAGCCTCTGGATGGAGTCAGCTGCTGAATATTAATCTATTCTCTCCCATTGTACCGTTTACACACCCACACTCCTAGAAAAGTATTTCACAGTCAGGGACACGTACACACATGGCTTAACCACAGAGTTTTCAAACCCAGAGGCTCAACATCGCGATACTTCTGGGAATGCATCTGGAAGCAGACTTGACAGACCAGACAGGGGTTTGGCAAACAATGGGAGAAGTGAAAAATAAATCCTCAGTTGTTAATTTTCTTGAATTCTAAAGGCAAAACCTAGATTCGAGCCACTGTCTTAAGTAGCTGAACGTGTCATTACTACAACCTTGTGAAAGTGACAAACTGTCACGAAAAAAAATCTAAAATCAAAAACAACTTTATTTCGAAGGAGTGCCTTTCATTTGACGGTCTGCACATGCGCAGTTCGGCACGACATGACCGTTCGACCCTATGCTAGCTAATGTCGCCATGACATCGCCTTCAAGTGTGACCGGGGATTTCTATTGGAGAAGCAGTTTCTGCCTATCTTCATACTGTACCGTCTTTGACGTAACCCTTCATACATCGTTTATATTTTATTCATCGAACTCATTATTTAATTAACCAGGCTGGTCAACTGAGAACTAATTCTCATTAACAGTGATAGCCTTGGAATCTCTGTAAATATAGCTTAAACAGAGTTTTCATAACCTACCCATTCACATACATAGGCTGCTGTTTGCATACTGTTAGCAACAGTTGTATGTATTAGCAACTATACACTATATATACAAAAGTATGTGGACACTCCTTCAAATTAGTGGATTTTGCAATTTCAGCCACACTCGTTGCTGACAGGTGTATAAAATCGAGCACACAGCCATGCAATCTCCATACACAAACACTGGCAGTAGAAAGGCCTTACTGAAGAGCTCAGTGACTTTCAATGTGGCACCGTCATAGGATGCCACCTTTCCAACAAGTCAGTTTGTCAAATTTCTGCCCTGCTAGATCTGCCCCGTTCAACTGTAAGTGCTGTTATTGTGAAGTGGAAACGACTAGGAGCAACAACGGCTCAGCCGCGAAGTGGTAGGCCACACAAGCTCACAGAACGGGACCGGCGAGTACTGAAGCGCGTAGCACGTAAAAACCGTATGTCCTCGGTTGTAACACTCACTTCCGAGTTCCAAGCTGCCTCTGGAAGCAATGTCAGCACAAGAACTGTCCACATACTTTTGGTCATGTAGTGTATGTGCTTGCAACAGTTGGCATGTATTCAATGAACATAGATACTTTTAGCAGCACATTACAAATATCAGCACACTCGTGGGGTTTAAATAACCTTGTGCATTCACCCACATTAAGTTCTCATGCAAACACTTGAGCAAACGATTTAAACATACACGTGCAGCTTAACAACTGACACAGTTCACTCACACACACCGTTAACACAACGCCCTGAGGGATATGTAGGAAGGCAGCTTTATTTAAAGCAGAAAGCGAAAAATAGTCTCTAAAAATGTAGAGACTGAGCCCCACCCAGCTTTGATCCAGTTATAAAAGAGAGAGAAAGAGAGAGAGAGGACTGAAACGCCCATTCAAAGAGAACAAAGATACTACAGACACAGAACTGAAGAGGAACAACACTCTAAAAGAGAAGGAGAGGGGCAGAGAGAAGTTCTATTTCATGAGCAGCTGCAATTGTCCATGTCCGAGCCAGATAAACTATAGCGTAGAGCTATAACAAACCACATACACAAAATAGTTAACCCTTTTTGTCTCTGTCAGCCTTGTGTCTTCTGAATCTGAGATATGAAGGTGTTTGGGGGTGGGCTGTGGTAGACTGTGCTGTGTGTGTGTGTTGGTCTCACCTGCTGGGGGTTGTTGGGCATGTAGGGCAGCATGGTGGAGACGTGGAACATGACCTCATAGCCCTGGTAGGTGGTGTACAGGGAGTGTGTGCCCGTCGAGTCAGCTGGGGGAAACCGAGAGAGAGAAACAAACACACACACACACGCACAAGCAAACACACGGTTAACATTCCGTGATCCAGTCCCAGTTCAGCACCAGGGCATGAACTCAATGGAAAGAAAGCACCACATCAAAAACCAGTCTGTAGAGAATTACAATACTGTTTTAGGAAACCACATACCTCCAACTATTTTTCTAAACGGTTGACTTCATAGGCAGTTATGTAGCAACAGTGTTTTTATATTCATGCACCATATGACAGGAATCACTCATTTTACTCAGTATTCACACCTAGGCCTTTAGTCTATCATTCTATGACTGCAAAAACAAAACGTAACCCTACTACCCACCCCCTCACACACAGACGCACACACACCGACACACACACACACTACCCACCCTCCCACACACACACACACACAGACACATACTCTTGGTGTCCAGCTGGGCGGCGTAGTTGGTGAAGCCTCGGAGGCACACCTGCTCCCCCAGCAGGTCCATGAAGGCGGAGAAGCAGGGCGTGGCCTCTTCGTTGTTATACATCTCCTCTTCGGTGCTCTGCCCTGCCCGACACAGCAGCACCCCCACCTTGTGCTTCTGACTCAGCTAAATCGGAGAAGAAACAAATATTAGACCGCCTTCACACACGGCTGCCGCACCCTGGCTCAAACAGAGACACACCTATCTAGTGTTTATGACTGTAGCTATAGATGGTGATATCAGAGGTGATAAAAGACAGACACACAGAGATGTCATATAACTTGTGGCTGAGACCACGGCCCGCGGACTCACCCCCTGTTCGTCCAGTTTGAGGAGCTGCTCGGTGACCTTGGGCGTGCTGAGAGCCAGGCGCAGGCAGGACACACTGAGCTCCGGGACCACCTGCTCCAGCACCTCCTTCAGGGGGAGACCGCGCACCGTGCCGTGCCTCCCCGTGGAGGCCACTGCATCCTCCAGGATGGACCCCCGCAACGTCACCAGCTAGACACAAAGAGGACATGGGAATCATTAGAGATGTAAAACACACACACAAAGGAGATAAGATTAACTTTATTGTCCATTGACATGCAGAGAACTTTCTTCCATCTATGTCTCTGGGAGTTTTTTTTGAGACATTGAGAAATAGGACAAATGTCTTCAGTAGGTGCATATCTGCAATCTTTAAAAGCTTCTTACTTCCCATAGTGCCGTGCACCGGAGTGATCCCTAGAGTGGAGACCTGTACTTGGGGTGTTTCCAGACAGCGGGGCTATAATAATCTCAGGCGCTGAGAGAGTTGTATTTTATTCAGTGTACTCAGAGACCACGGCACCTTGCTTCATTAAAACTGCAACACACTGCTGAAGAGCTAGACGGGGCGTGAGAGTGCTTCACCTTAACGAAGTCAAGGGTTTGGCGTGGGGGAAAAGAAACACCTAAACAGTGCAGGTTAAATTCCAGCTAATCAGATTGCCTTCTGGCACAATATAGATCTACTCTGACACTGGACTTTATAAGTCCTTTTTCAGATGCAGAGCCAATAGTTGCCAATAACCTGTCGTGTAACTATTCATACCGTGTTTCCCCCGGTGACCGCTAACAAGTGCCTCCACTCCATCTCTCCCCCTGAGAGGCAGGGTGGGAAACCCTATGTTGGTGTCAAGCAGTGACTGACTGCGCCAATATGGGGCATCTGTGGGGTGTGTGTAAGAATGTGTGTGTGTGCACGTGGATTTGTGTGATTGAGTGAGTAAGTGTGTGTCGTGTGGTTACAGCATGCTGCGTCAGCATCGTTCAGACTTCAATGAGAAAGTATGGGAAGGGGGGGGGGGTTTGAGAGGAGGAGGAGGGGTTGTGAGCGTTGTACCGTTCTCTCTCTCTGTGGGAACCAAGGGCAGGCCTGAGTGGAGTGTCTGTGTGAGCTGAGCTCTGTAGACACAGGCGGCGGAGCGGCCCATTGTTCCACAGGGGCTAAGGTGATGAGGCCAGGCAGCCATGTAATCCAGCTAAAAACAACAAGAGGGATTGCAGCAGCCAGCCAAAGGGGCACAGCCACAGGACTCACTGGTCACTATTGGAAAGCACATGTACTAGACAGGTAGCAAGCAGAACTGCTATGTACACCCAGTCTATTAGGCTAGCTATTTGTGCAGTGGAAGTCAATCTGTCAATCAGTCTCAGAGTATGAGAGAACCTGTGTGCGCAGGAAAGGTAGTGCCAGGTAAATGTGGACTCGAGAGCCCTAAAAATCGTGGCCTGGATTGCCAGAACACACATGGGTAAAGCGGCGGTTTGAAAATGTGTCATTGGCTTTGATACTCTTGATTGGTTAGAGACGATCCAATCGCTGACGACTTTGTTTTGTACAACGCCCCTCTTCACCACAAACAACTTCAATGATGGCAGTCTCAAACTAAAGTATGTAGCGAACGACAGAGCAACGGAATAATTTAGTGTGAGTTGTCAGGCTACATCTTCGCTTGAATGAAGAGGTTTGACCCATCACTAGCTGGGGTATTAGTGGAGGCAGGCTTACCAGTGCCGGGGCAGTGTTTGGCTGTTCTGAGCAGGGCCTGGTCAGGTGGAAATGTCCACTGGCAGAGAATGGAGGGATTGGTAAGAGCGTGAGGGGAAGGTGTGGAGGGAGAGGGTAGTGTGTGTGTAGCCAACATGGGCCGTGGGGACTCACTGAGGTCCAGTCCAGGCATAAATAACAGCGTCCAAAAACGCACACTCCCACACACACTATGTCTCAAGCACACTCTGCCTACTCAAACAACATTTACATTTACATCATTTAGCAGACGCTCTTATCCAGAGCAACTTACATGAGCAATTAGGGTTAAGTGCCTTGCTCAAGGGCACATCGGCAGATTTTTCACCTAGTCGGCTCGGGGATTAGAACCAGCGACCTTTCGATTACTGGCACAACGCTCTTAACCACTAACACACACACATTTGTCAGCGTCAGTATTCAGCCTACTCGGTGTTCCCTCTAGCTGTGTGTAGGCAGGGAGTGGGAGGTGGGGGTGGGTTAGTACCTCACTGGTTCTGGCGATGATGCGGTACTGGTACTGGTCCTTCAGGTCTTTAGTGTCATCCAGTTTCTCCCTGTGGATACTCACAGCAACCGGACCCAGCTTCTCGTCCGTCCCAAAGTAGTTTGAGTGCTCTGCAGTGACACACAGGGAGAGAGTGTATTCACAACATGTCTGAACATGCCTTTGGTACTGTTAAACACGTGTATTGATCTTTGTAATAACAGCCTTTGGACATGGAAAAATGGAGGAGGGAAAGTATGGGGTTGAGTAAAAGGAGATGGAGAGAGAGAACAGGCTCAGAGCGGAGGAGGGAAAGAGAAGAGATGCTACATTGAAGAGTAGTGAGATAACAGCGCTTGCAGTGCTTGTATGTATGTGGTTTCAATACATGTTCAATTACACGTTTAATTAATCAGCTCATCAAGCAACCTGAGGACATTGATTAGAGCTACAAATGACAGAAAGATTGTACAGCTGAGCCTGTGGTGTGGCGGCACGGCTTGCTCGGAACAGATTCTACTTTTTCAGATGAAGTCACATGCTTGAGTAACCTTCAGAGAGGTAGAGTAGAGAGCACAATAAGAATCTACAAATGACCAAACTCAATTACAGTGGGGAAAAAAGTATTTAGTCAGCCACCACTTGTGCAAGTTCTCCCACTTAAAAAGATGAGAGAGGCCTGTAATTTTCATCATAGGTACACGTCAACTATGACAAAAAAAATCCAGAAAATCACATTGTAGGATTTTTATGAATTTATTTGCAAATTATGGTGGAAAATAAGTATTTGGTCACCTACAAACAAGCAAGATTTCTGGCTCTCACAGACCTGTAACTTCTTCTTTAAGAGGCTCCTCTGTCCTCCACTCGTTACCTGTATTAATGGCACCTGTTTGAACTTGTTATCAGTATAAAAGACACCTGTCCACAACCTCAAACAGTCACACTCCAAACTCCACTATGGCCAAGACCAAAGAGCTGTCAAAGGACACCAGAAACAAAATTGTAGACCTGCACCAGGCTGGGAAGACTGAATCTGCAATAGGTAAGCAGCTTGGTTTGAAGAAATCAACTGTGGGAGCAATTATTAGGAAATGGAAGACATACAAGACCACTGATAATCTCCCTCGATCTGGGGCTCCACGCAAGATCTCACCCCGTGGGGTCAAAATGATCACAAGAATGGTGAGCAAAAATCCCAGAACCACACAGGGGTGGTTGACCTGCAGAGAGCTGGGACCAAAGTAACAAAGCCTACCATCAGTAACACACTACGCCGCCAGGGACTCAAATCCTGCAGTGCCAGACGTGTCCCCCTGCTTAAGCCAGTACATGTCCAGGCCCGTCTGAAGTTTGCTAGAGTGCATTTGGATGATCCAGAAGAGGATTGGGAGAATGTCATATGGTCAGATGAAACCAAAATAGAACTTTTTGGTAAAAACTCAACTCGTCGTGTTTGGAGGACAAAGAATGCTGAGTTGCATCCAAAGAACACCATACCTACTGTGAAGCATGGGGGTGGAAACATCATGCTTTGGGGATGTTTTTCTGCAAAGGGACCAGGACGACTGATCCGTGTAAAGGAAAGAATGAATGGGGCCATGTATCGTGAGATTTTGAGTGAAAACCTCCTTCCATCAGCAAGGGCATTGAAGATGAAACGTGGCTGGGTCTTTCAGCATGACAATGATCCCAAACACACCGCCCGGGCAACGAAGGAGTGGCTTCGTAAGAAGCATTTCAAGGTCCTGGAGTGGCCTAGCCAGTCTCCAGATCTCAACCCCATAGAAAATCTTTGGAGGGAGTTGAAAGTCTGTGTTGCCCAGCGACAGCCCCAAAACATCACTGCTCTAGAGGAGATCTGCATGGAGGAATGGGCCAAAATACCAGCAACAGTGTGTGAAAACCTTGTGAAGACTTACAGAAAACGTTTGACCTGTGTCATTGCCAACAAAGGGTATATAACAAAGTATTGAGAAACTTTTGTTATTGACCAAATACTTATTTTCCACCATAATTTGCAAATAAAATCATAAAAAATCCTACAATGTGATTTTCTGGATTTTTTCCCCTCATTTTGTCTGTCATAGTTGACGTGTACCTTTGATGAAAATTACAGGCCTCTCTCATCTTTTTAAGTGGGAGAACTTGCACAATTGGTGGCTGACTAAATACTTTTTTCCCCCACTGTATTTTTGTTATTTAATCCATGACAATACAATCGCTTGCTTTGACGTACTAGACATATTGCTTTGCATGATATAGGCCTATCCTAGCCAGAAATGTTGGTTTCATAAACAGAACATTCCACAGGACATTTTATTATAACTGTGTGACACACTGAAGACTGAGTAGCCTATCTGCTTATCTAAAGTTTGATGAATAAGTGGATATCTCTGATAAGACACATTCCTAAAGTAAAAGGCTATAAACATTTCCATATGATTCATTAACAGCTTACTCCTCAAACTGAGAGCGACTTCTCCTATTTGTGAGTGGAGGAGGAAGAAACTCATGGAAGAACTTCGTTTTCAACTTGTTTCGTCCCTGCATAATTGAAGAGGCTCAGCCCTGTTTAGCATTCCAGCTTTGTCTTGCAGTATAAATGTCAGCTTTTTGGTTGAGGCTTTTTGACATGCACGCAGGGCATTACAGTTACAGCACCGGAGCAGTCTCATGTTCCACACAGCGTTCAGGGGGACAGGAAGCAGTATTTTTGGAGCGGTAACCTTCATCTCTGTGGTTGCAGGCGTCACAAACCCTGACAACATCTGTCTCTAATTAGGCTCTTAGTCGATTATTCTGTCCTTGGGGGCAGCTATCTATTTTTCCAGGGTCTAGAGAGGTGATACTGGGAGCACACACACCACACACACAGCTGTTCTGTAGGATCGGGGGGGGGGGGGGGGGGGGTTAATAGGAAGAGACAACGAGTGTCAGGATTAATGTGCAGAGGCAGAAAGGTCACCGTGTGTGTGAGTGATTAAGCTAATTCTTCTCAGAGCTATGAGCTCAGTTTGCCAACAGACAGAGGCAGGTACATGTTATCCTATGGGACCGCTGCCAAGTTGGCTGACCGTACACAGACAGCTGGATGGAGGAGGAGAGAGTACTGCCAGTGGAAACACTAGTGATATGTTAGACTTTTGTGAATTGTAAAAGTAAAAGTAGTAAAAGTTAGGTAGGATCGGTAGGCTGTATTGAGTGGTAAGATCAGATCAGTTCTTACCTTTCCCGTGGAAGTAGTCTCGGTAGTACCGCGCCCCCAGGTCCACGTGCTCTATGCTATAGAGTTTCAGTCTATCCATTCTGGTGACTTGCTGCTCTATGGGAACCTCCACCACCGACACACTGGCGTTACTACGCCGAAGGGTGCCCCTCACCATGTCACCCGCACCCCCCTCCCCTCCCTGCTCAGCCGAGGAGCTCAGGAAACTGACGTTGCGCTCCCCATTGCCCCCCGTCTCGTTGCGGAAGTGGGGGCAGCTGAGGAGGAGAGGACTGGAGCTGGGGCCTCCGGGGGGGCCGTCCAGAGTGTCCATGCCCAGGGAGGGTGTGGGCGCGGTGGGGTCGAGGCCTAGCGTCAGGTCCTCAACGCTGGAGTAGGTAGCGTCCAACCCACTCAGAGTTGAGGAACGTGACACAGCCAGGGAGACTGAGGCCGCCGATGCCCCGGTGGCAGTGTTCCTCCGCTTGGCTACGTAGGTGCGCTGAGCAGCCGCCTCATGTAGGTCAAACAGGACACTCTGGGCGTCGTAGTGGACAAAGCTCTTGGGGCACACCCAGGTTTTGTAGGGGGTATCTGTAGAGTTACGGCCTCCCCCGTCCTCCCCCGCCTCCCCTCTGTCCAGCTCCCCTCTGCTGGAGCTGCGGAGCTTCCGGAACAGAGAGGACGTCCCCAGAGACGACTCTGTCCCCCCGCTCTTATTCCTCAACCTGTTCTCTGACCATCCCATCCCTCCATCCTCCCCCCGGGATATGGGGGTGGGGGAGTGGCCTGTGGGGAGGGGTGCAGAGGGAGGGGAGTTGGGGGTGTGCAGTAGGCGTACGGGGGCAGTGCTGCGCTGGTCGGGCCTCTCCTGGTGGAACTGGCTGAGCATGTCAAAGAAACTCTGCTCGGGGATGCCCTGCACGTCGATGGAGGAGGTGCTGCCGTACTCCCGGAACAGATTAGCACCTCCACGACCTTCCACCTCGTTCTCATCCTGCTCGCTCAGAGTCACCTCGCTGTTGGAGCGCTGCCGTAACGGGGGGAAGGCACGCAGGCCTACAGGAGATCCTCTTTCACCCCCGTACCCACCACGGAACTCCACGTCCTTAGTGCGTCGCCTTGGTAAACGAGCCACTCCTCCCCGCACCAGCCCGACCTCCGAGATGGGGAAAGAAATGGAGGAGGTCGTCGTGGAAGTGTCATCTCCATGGTGATTACCGCCTTGCCCGTTCTCCAGGAGCGACTCCCTGGATTGCGCATGGCGCGGCGGCCACTCAGCAATTCGGGCGCGGACGCCCATCTTGGGAACGGAGACACGGGATTGGGTGGCTGGATCAGAGGAGGGGGCAGGGTGGCCGTTGGGGGTGAGGTGGAAGGCGGCATGTTGTGTGAGGAGGGATCCTCCCCCTCCGCCCCTCTCCAGCAGGTCTGAGGAGGTGCAGGTGACCCCTCTATCTTTGTAGGTGTTCATGGCGCCCCAGTTGAGCTCAGGGCAGGACAGCAGGCAGGGGGGCAGGGAGCTGGCATCCCAGGCCAGGGTGGGGGGTAGGGGAGAGGGAGAGGGGCCCCACACACACTCTGCTGATGCTGCGGCCTCCACCTCCCACAAACATCGCTTTCAATGGGAGAGCAGGACACTGCTGGTCATAGGCCCAGTTACACAGTAGGCGGTCTTCTCTTCTCTCAGGCTCTGGGCTGATCTGGGAAGGAGACAAAACACACACATTGATATGTTGACGACCACAATAAAACAACATGCATACAGTAATACACTGTTTCTGAATATGCACACTGACCCAGATTCACCCCTTCTACTCAATGAAATGACATCACGAAAACTGTGACTATAGCAACTCATCTGTACTAGAGTGTGAGAGAGTGATTAAGGAAGAGAGAAGGAGGATATGAGAGAGAGAGAGAGAGAGAGAGAGGGGTGAGGGGATTTGACAGAGGATTTCTCCTGTTGAAACTAATCTTCAGAATGCATGACAAGCAGGGTTATTATTATACTATTTTCATATTTCAGCAGCAATACACACGCACTATCAATTTTCATAACTCCAAATTAAAATCCTAGCTAAACAGCACTTGGATGTTGATCATAAAGAATAGATATAATCTGAATGGATATTCACACACACACACACAGGTTGCTGCTGCAGTGTAATCTTTCTCATTTTACTTCTCTCAGCTGGCACTTAGCCCAGGGCAATGATAAATATACAGCGCCTTCAGAAAGTATTCACACCACTTGACTTTTTCCACATTTTGTTGTGTTACAGCCTGAATTTAAAATTGATTAAAATTATATTGTTTTGTCACTGGCCGACACACAATAGCATATAATGTCAAAGTGGAATTATGTATTTTCTTTTGTTATTCTTTTACAAATTAATAAAAAATGAAAAGCAGAAATATCTTGTGTCAATAACTATTCAACACCTTGGTTATGGCAAACCTAAATAAGTTCAGAAGTAAAGATGGGCTTAACAAGTCACATAAGTTGCATGGATTCACTGTGTGCAATAATAGTGTTTAACATGATTTTTGAATGACTACCTCATCTCTGTACTCCACACATACAATTATCTGTAAGGTCCCTCAGTGAATTTCAAACACAGATTCAACCACAAAGACCAGGGAAGTTTTCCAATGCCTCGCAAAGAAGGGCAGACATTGAATATCCCTTTGAGCATGGTGAAGTTATTAATTACACTTTGAATGGTGTATCAATACACCCAGTCCCTACAAAGATACAGGCGTCCTTCCTAGGGCTGTGGCGGCCATGACATTTTGTCAGCCGGTGATTGTCTTTTATTTTATTATTTTTTATAATATGTTTATTATTTTCCAATAAAAAATACATTTAAAAAGACAGAAATACAAACACTGACATTCATTGTACTGTTGAATGGGATGGCAAATTTAGAGGACAAAACAAAACTTAACTCACACATACAAAAATAAAATACAAAAATCCTATTAGGTGATATATTTTTTAAGAATACAGCATATAGTCATGTAGTTAAGACAAAAATAAATATTGAGTGGAGTACAGCACAGAGTAGCAGCAGAGCATCAATCCAGTTATGAAGCGAGACTACACCATTTATCCAGTATTGGCTGCCAGATTTTGTAAAACATTGGACTTCTATTGGAGGTATTGAATCGAATCTTCTCTATGCATTACATATAAATCCCTTAACCACATTTCAAAGGTAGGTACAGTCTCCAATTTCCAAAATTGCAATATGAGCCTTTTGGCTAATAGAGTACAATAGAGAGACAGCTGTCCCTTCCTGGTTATTCCCATCAACTATTACCAAACAGAGCGATCAATGGGTCTGGGGCTATAACTCTATCAAAGGCTTTAGATAAGTCATCAAAAATGAGAGCCCAGTAAACATGTAACTTAAGTGGGTCAAAGTCCCCTCATCCTGCTTGCAGCCGGTGATTGTTAAGCAAATAACTGCCAGTCTCAGTGTAATTGACCGTTAATTAACATAAACACGTTCTCCTGGCTTCCACGCATAGCCTACAAGCCACTGATGCAGATCTTTGGAACATCTACACATTAAAAAGTCTAATAAATCCATTTAATATAGCCTACACCATGAAAATAATTCCATTATTTTAGACAGGTCTAAAGAAACATGATATAATAATAATATGGCATTTAGCAGACGCTTTTATCCAAAGCGACCTACAGTCATGAGCGCATACATTTTATGATATGAAGAAAATGTAGTCTATTTCAGAAGAACAGAATAGCATACTCTGAGTTGTCTTTATGTTAGGCCCTGATCTGGCTATGCCATATGGCGGTGGGCTACACTAGTTCATTTAGCAGACAAGATTTGCTTAGAATTCCGTAGCATTAAATATAAAAATTATTTTATAGTATGAAGAATACAATTGAACATAACTGAATAAAATAGAAAGTATATTTTCTCCAAACGATTCCCAAGGAAGTGCACCTATGCGGCTATTCTGTGTTGAGCGGTTAACAAAGAAACAGGTCCTCCTATATGCTTAATTTAGAGTTATTTATGCAACTTTAGTTTTGATACAAACGTTGTGCTATATGTTTTGATTTGTAATACATTCTAAGGCTGCATGATGAGACTAATGATGATTTGAAAAAAGTTGCATGAAAGGCATGAGCTCTGATTTGTTTCTTGTGCAGGCTGCAAACACTTCATCAGTCTCTCATTCACAATTTGACAAGCACTTGATAATATTCTCACCAGGCCTAAAATTTCCCAGCAGCATCCCCCTCGTTTGGCCGTAACGCCCTCTAAAAAATCCATGCCTTTTGCGGCCAAAGTGTCCGTTGTGCCCTTGGGCTGAATATAATAATTATAATTCCCTTCTCCCGGCTGCTGTGCTCCGAAGCACCTCTCACTCACATGGCTCTCTCAGATATCTCAATTCTTATTAGCCAATGCCCGTCACAGGCACCTCAGCTAGCAGGCTACAAGTGAAGACGGACATGTCGGGGACGCAACTGCGCGCGTCCCTCGTTTCGAATTACGAGGCACATATTGATGGTAGGAAGAACTGTCCACCTTTAGCCTACTTTTCGTCAACCAACAAGATGTGTAGGCCTAACGAACAGCAAAAGCACTAGCCTATCCCCCATAGTACAAAACTTGACCTATTCTATTGGTCAACTTGTCCTTCTGTGCAATAAATAAATATTCCAAACATACTCTGGGACAGTTGTGGGATGCGATAGATCCCAAATTAATCCAACCACTCGCATCAAAAAACAAAAAGCAATGAGGCTGATGCAACATATTAGGCTATTTCTTCACATTATAAGCGCAGCAATGCGCACACGGCATTAGGCTATAAGCGTGAATGTTCCAAAATGCAATAAATTAGCGGGGAATCACTTCTCAAAAGTGACCGCAAATGCAATTATGCATGTAATGCTTTATTATAATGGTTCATTTTTACGATGAAAATTATCTTCCCCAAACTTGAAACTGAAGCGCCGCCTATATATACCAGTTAGGCTCTACACCGGTTGCAAAGCGGATTAATGTGCTTCATTTTAAGAAGTTATTTGGCCACTTTAGTTGTGATACAAACCTTATCAAAACATATAGGCCTATGGGTTAGGCTACATGAGGTGTGCGACTATACATAGCGAGTCTGTCACATCACGATGTCGTCACCATCGACGACGACTGTCAATCATCTTCGATATCAGATACTATCGTAATATCGCCCAACACTACTCTCTACCATCCTTCTGTCCATTCTCACCCTCCCTCGCCATGTCTTCAGAGAGAAACAAACGAGGATGCAGACAACTAGGCTACTTCATACACAGCTAAGGAGGGGAAGGATTAATAGAAAATTGAGGAGAGAGGGGGAGAGAATGTAAAGCGACAGAACAGTAGAACGCTGGGGGGGAGGGAAAATGAAAGCGGGAGAGAGCGACGAGTCGAGAGACAGCGAGGAGGGAGAGAGCAGGAACGTGTTCACTGAACCACAATGACTCGCCTTAATATGACAGTCACAAAGAATCAGGCTTCACACCACTGCCCTGTCGCTATAAAAAGCCTCCTTAGACTCTTAATATACCCCTACTTTATTCAGGGTCTTCTCCTCTCAACTATCTCTCTGTTTTACTCTCTCCTTTTTCTGTGTCCCTCTATACCTAGGCTAATCTATCTCCATTTTATTCAGTCTCTTCTCCGCTCAAACTCTCTCTCCTCTCCTTCATCGCTCCATCCCTATCAGTTTCTTTTGCTTTATCCCTGTTTCTGTATCTCTCCATTCAGGCTTATGATCCGTCAATCCTTCTTCTCATTCCGTCCCGACATCTGTTTCCAGTAAGCTTATGATCCAGGCAATTTCCCAGTCTGACATTGTTTAATGATGTTAGCTACTGGTATGAGGAAAATGATGTTTTGTGAGGATCGTAATCCTTTCCGCACAGTTTCTATTCATCATTCTATTATAATATTGAGCGTTACATCTCACAAGGCAGAGAGTGAATGAAACTTGTGTACGTTCTGCACAATCCTCTGTGATTCACTTTTGGCATAAGACAGCATTACACACATATACACACCATGTACAAAACTCATTCACAGTGAACAACAAAAAAAAACAGTCAGTTGAGCACCAGACGACCACACAAATGTATCATGTCTTTGTTTTGGGGAAATACAGGCGATTCCAAGGGTCCTGCTCTGATCCTGCTGCTACGGCACAAAGTCTTTCCTCATCCGGCGCGTTGGCCGTGATATGCTATCAGTCCCAATCCCAGCTAGGCTCCAGCTGCAGCAGCCGGAGAAAGGGCCCTTTATTTAGCTGAACGCCAGTCAGGAGAGTGGAAGTGTGGAAGTTCTGTCATGTCTCTGGGTGTCCACAACACTGAGCCAAGGCCGACAGACACAGTAGAACTGGGCCACAACTACTACGCACAAGCTGGAGGGAGGACAGACAGACACAGAGTACCACAGCCACACAACTAAACAGGACATGTTTGACAAACACATCTTGTTATGCAGTGCACTGATAACTTTCTAATTCAACTAAAGGTGCAATGTTATTTGATGTCTTCGCTAGCCTTCACAGTTCACAGCCACAGCCCAAAATAGGAGCTGCAAGAAATGTCCTCCAGACAGACCCATCGCAACCCAAGGCACAGAGGATGGCACATATTTGCAAATTATGGTGGAAAATAAGTATTTGGTCACCTACAAACAAGCAAGATTTCTGGCTCTCACAGACCTGTAACTTCTTCTTTAAGAGGCTCCTCTGTCCTCCACTCGTTACCTGTATTAATGGCACCTGTTTGAACTTGTTATCAGTATAAAAGACACCTGTCCACAACCTCAAACAGTCACACTCCAAACTCCACTATGGCCAAGACCAAAGAGCTGTCAAAGGACACCAGAAACAAAATTGTAGACCTGCAACAGGCTGGGAAGACTGAATCTGCAATAGGTAAGCAGCTTGGTTTGAAGAAATCAACTGTGGGAGCAATTATTAGGAAATGGAAGACATACAAGACCACTGATAATCTCCCTCGATCTGAGGCTCCACGCAAGATCTCACCCCGTGGGGTCAAAATGATCACAAGAACGGTGAGCAAAAATCCCAGAACCACACGGGGGGACCTAGTGAATGACCTGCAGAGAGCTGGGACCAAAGTAACAAAGCCTACCATCAGTAACACACTACGCCGCCAGAGACTCAAATCCTGCTGCGCCAGACGTGTCCCCCTGCTTAAGCCAGTACATGTCCAGGCCCGTCTGAAGTGTGCTAGAGTGCATTTGGATGATCCAGAAGAGGATTGGGAGAATGTCATATGGTCAGATGAAACCAAAATAGAACTTTTTGGTAAAAACTCAACTCGTCGTGTTTGGAGGACAAAGAATGCTGAGTTGCATCCAAAGAACACCATACCTACTGTGAAGCATGGGGGTGGAAACATCATGCTTTGGGGCTGTTTTTCTGCAAAGGGACCAGGACGACTGATCCGTGTAAAGGAAAGAATGAATGGGGCCATGTATCGTGAATTTTTAAGTGAAAACCTCCTTCCATCAGCAAGGGCATTGAAGATGAAACGTGGCTGGGTCTTTCAGCATGACAATGATCCCAAACACACCGCCCGGGCAACGAAGGAGTGGCTTCGTAAGAAGCATTTCAAGGTCCTGGAGTGGCCTAGCCAGTCTCCAGATCTCAACCCCATAGAAAATCTTTGGAGGGAGTTGAAAGTCCGTGTTGCCCAGCGACAGCCCCAAAACATCACTGCTCTAGAGGAGATCTGCATGGAGGAATGGGCCAAAATTGGGCCAGCAACAGTGTGTGAAAACCTTGTGAAGACTTACAGAAAACGTTTGACCTGTGTCATTGCCAACAAAGGGTATATAACAAAGTATTGAGAAACTTTGTTATTGACCAAATACTTATTTTCCACCATAATTTGCAAATAAATTCATTAAAATCTACATGTGATTTTCTGGATTATTTTTCTCATTTTGTCTGTCATAGTTGACATGTACCTATGATGAAAATTACAGGCCTCTCTAATCTTTTTAAGTGGGAGAACTTGCACAATTGGTGGCTGACTAAATACTTTTTTTCCCCACTGTAGGTGAAAGGGATGAGTTTTATTCCCAAACAATGTGAAGCGCTAAATAGAGTTAAGTAGGAGAGGCAGAAAATGGCAAGTGCCATAGGAAACATAGGAGCCACAGGAACATGAAGGGCTTTGAGGCCCCCCAGGCAGACAGAGCTCTGGCCCCAACTACAGAAGATGTAAAGCAGGAATGTAATGCCTTTTAATTACTCCCATAGCAATTAGTTAGGCCTCTGAAGATGCTTCCCCCGCCACCTCCCTCTCGGAGTGCCTGTGCACCGTGCAGCCCTGGCCCACACAACGCAAACACACACTGGAGCTGGTAATTACACTACTCACTCATCATAATCACAGAGAGAGCAACGAGAGAGCTACAGCTACCAGAGAAATTACTGTACACAACATGACACATGCTCCAGATGGAGATGGAGAGAGCTGTTGTTACTGTATCGTGACAATGCCAAGTGACCAAGGTCAAGAAAAAGTCACTTGTGGAACAGACCACCTCGCAGGATAATAATGCATTTGAGACAAAGAGGTAGCCTACGCATAGAATAGTGACATAATTAAGCAATTGTGTATGTAGACTTAGTTTACATACACAAAATTACGTTGGTAACCAGTTTATAATAGCAATAAGGCACCTCGGGGGTTTGTGGTATATGGCCAATATACCACGGCTAAGGGCTGTTCTCAAGCATGACGCAACGCGTAGTGCCTGGACACAGCCCTTAGCCGTGGTATATTGGCCATATACCACAAACCCCCGAGGTGCCTTATTGCTATTATAAACTGGTTACCAACGTAATTAGAGCAGTTAAAATAAATGTTTTGTCATACCCGTGGTATACGGTCTGATATACCACGGCTGTCAGCCAATCAGCATTCTGGGCTCGAACCACCCAGTTTATAATTAATTATATAACACGTGGAATACACATTAGGACAGAGGTGAGAAACCCATACACAACAGCAGGTGCTTTCAGATACTTTGATCAAAGACACTGAAAGGCCTACACACCCAATCCATGACCTTACTACTATTAGGCATACTCAAATGTAGGCTAAGGAGAGAGCTGTTGTTACTGTTTCGTGACAATGCCAAGTGACCAAGGTAAATGTTTTGTCATACCCGTGGTATACGGTCTGATATACCACGGCTGTCAGCCAATCAGCATTCTGGGCTCGAACCACCCAGTTTATAATTAATTATATAACACGTGGAATACACATTAGGACAGAGGTGAGAAACCCATACACAACAGCAGGTGCTTTCAGATACTTTGATCAAAGACACTGAAAGGCCTACACACCCAATCCATGACCTTACTACTATTAGGCATACTCAAATGTAGGCTAAGTCGTACAAAGATGACATTGACAACTTGAGAGGGTGGCAGACAGTGGTGAGTGACCCGAGGAGGGATTCAATATAACATGAATAGTCTAATATTAGCTGTGGTGACGGCAAGATGGCGTAGTCGGTTGTGTTGGGAGCAGATGGTGATACATACTGTATGACTGGCAGACAGCCGGCAGCGATGGGACATCACATCACAGCACTGTGGGACAACACACCCTGACAGGACGGCAACCCTGCTCCCTGGGACCACAGCTCAGACATACAGGGCTCGGGTCCGTATTCATAAAGCATCTCAGAGTAGGATTGCTGATCTATGACCAGTTCTGGCTTTTAGGTCATATTTAATAAATTATGTAGACAAGGGGAACCTGATCCTAGATCAGCATTTCTACTCTGAGACGCTTTATGAATACCAGCCCTGGTATAGATAGACTACAAAAGAGACTGGGCTGTGTGGTCTTCATATACAACCCCCAGGGCCGGGGTAAAATATACATGAAAATGAGAATTAAGTGCTGAAATAAATGTAGCCAAACAGTACTTTGCAAACTGATAGAGCGTGAGTGGAGGACATGACACACGACCCTTAATGTCTGTTCAGTTGCCAAAATGTTAGCGTCCTTTATCCTTATTAGGAGACAAAATTGTTGTAATGAGTGAAAGCTGACCTGATAATGAATAAATAGATGATCAGTGAGTGGTGGAGATGACTAGGACCTTACTGTCGCTTCAGTGGGCTGTGAATGTGTAACGATGCAGAAAGTTCAGCTCTATTATACTCTGGTTGTTGAAGGGTTCCTGTGGTGAGTCTGTCTCAAGCTATTCCAGGCTGACTGTCTCTCCGTCTACTTGATCTCACCCCACTGGCTTTCCCTGCAACCTGACCACAGCTCTGACCCTAACAAAACCCCTGTGCCACATGATATAGGCGTATCTATGGTTTCCCAGAGACTCTTGTCTGATGGATTTGATCAACTTTGCCGGACTCCAGTCCTGGAGGGCTGCAGTGTTTTTTGCTAAAGTGGAGGCTTGGAAAACCTTGCACACACACTGCAGCCCTTGTTTATCACCCGTATCTTGGCGTGTCCTCCAGGTTTGCTGTGCTTCCCTACTGACAGGTCTTGTCAGGCTCAGGGTCTCTGAGCTGCCTCTCCCTGCTGTGATTGTCATTGATTTCCTGTGACATTGTTTTGCACTCTATCCCTGATAACCTCTACTTTCACTGCTGTGGTATCCTCTGTCATACAGACAGAATGCTAGCCTGGAGGAGAAGCATGGGCAGGGAGTGATACACATACACCCACATGCTGACAGACATGTGCACTGCGAAAACGCACACATTTGCATTGTGCACACACGCATAGGAGAAGGGTGCATGAGCGGGGAATGAGGGGCGACCTACATTCTTCTCCTTCTCCACTTGGTTGCCTGTGATCTGAAGTAGGGTGAAGGGCAGTGGAAGTTTGGAGAGTTGTTGCGAGGGGAGGTGGAGATACGGTGAAGGTCGCTATCGATGCCTTGTACTCTCTACCATGACATACAGTTGAAGTCGGAAGTTTACATACACTTAGGTTGGAGTCATTAAAACTTGTTTTTCAACCACTCCACACATTTCTTGTTAACAAACTATCGTTTTGGCAAGTCGGTTAGGACATCTACTTTGTGCATGACACGTAATTTTTCCAAAAATTGTTTACAGACAGATTATTTCACTTATAATTCACTGTATCACAATTCCAGTGGGTCAGAAGTTTACATACACTAAGTTGACTGTGCCTTTAAACAGCTTGGAAAATTCCAGAAAATGTCATGGCTTTAGAAGCTTCTGATAGGCTAATTGACATAATTTGAATCAATTGGAGGTGTACCTGTGGATGTATTTCAAGGCCTACCTTCAAACTCAGTGTATCTTTGCTTGACATCATGGGAAAATCTAAAGAAATCAGCCAAAACCTCAGAAAATAAATGGTTCATCCTTGGGAGCAATTTCCAAACGCCTGAAGGTACCACGTTCATCTGTACAAAAAAATAGTACGCAAGTATAAACACCATGGGACCACGCAGCCATCATACTGCTCAGGAAGGAGACGCGTTCTGTCTGCTAGAGATGAACGTACTTTGGTGCGAAAAGTGCAAATCAATCCCAGAACAACAGCAAAGGACCTTGTGAAGATGCTGGAGAAAAAAGGTACAAAAGTATTTATATCCACAGTAAAATGAGTCCGATATCGACATAACTTGAAAGGCCGCTCAGCAAGGAAGAAGCCACTGTTCCAAAACCGCCATAAAAAAAGCCAGACTACGGTTTGCAACTGCACATGGGTACAAAGTTCGTACTTTTTGGAGAAATGTCCTCTGGTCTGATGAAACAAAAATAGAACTGTTTGGCCATAATGACCATTGTTATGTTTGGAGGAAAAGGGGTGATGTTTGCAAGCCAAAGAACACCATCCCAACCGTGAAGCACGGTGGTGGCAGCATCATGTTGTGGGGATGCTTTGCTGCAGGATGGACTGGTGCACTTCACAAAATAGATGGCATCATGAGGAAGGAAAATTATGTGGATATATTGAAGCAACATCTCAAGACATCAGTCAGGAAGTTAAAGCTTGGTCGCAAATGGGTCTTCCAAATGGAAAATGTACCCCAAGCATACTTCCAAAGTTGTGGCAAAATGGCTTAAGGACAACAAAGTCAAAGTATTGGAGTGGCCATCACAAAGCCCTGACCTCAATCCTATAGAACATTTGTGGGCAGAACTGAAAAAGCGTGTGCGAGCAAGGAGGCCTACAAACCTGACTCAGTTAGGCCAGCTCTGTCAGGAGGAATGGGCCAAAATTCACCCAACTTATTGTGGGAAGCGTTTGACCCAAGTTAAACAATTTAAAGGCAATGCTACCAAATACTAATTGAGTGTATGTAAACTTCTGACCCACTGGGAATGTGATGAAAGAAATAAAAGCTGAAATAAATAATTCTCTCTACTATTATTCTGACATTTCACATTCTTAAAATAAAGTGGTGATCCTAACTGACCTAAGACAGGGAATTTTTACTAGGATTAAATGTCAAGAATTGTGAAAAACTGAGTTTAAATGTATTTGGCTAAGGTGTATGTAAACTTCCGACTTCAACTGTGGGCTTATACAAATCCTTACATTTATAACATTAGGAGGTAGTAAGGTTTACACATCAGCATAAGGCAATGCGACATCTGAACTTCTCCCCTCTGAGTGGATGAGATGAACCCTCATCTACACACCATTGATTCAGCTTTCATGAGGCTTACTGTTACAGCTCATTTCTAAAGCGTGACCCGAGTCCGTCATGCTGAGCAGCGGTACTTTTAACCCCAATCAGAATCAGCTATGCAAATAGGCTATTCATCATAATTTCACTGAGACCTTTCCAGCGACTTCACTTTAATACCACTTTAATCTACTGCTGTGGTGCATTCTAGCACTGGGGTAGACAGCCACTTTAGAGAACAGGGGGAATGCACCGACTTGGAAAGAGGGAAAGCTAATAGCAGTCAACTGCATTATTACCTCTAAAAGAGGGGGGATCGATAGTTACATATGATATTTTTAACAATATATCGTATCGTTTTGACAATATATTAATATTGCGCTGGTTGGCTGTACCAAAACTCCAGTATTTTTCCTTCATAGCTTGTTCTCCACCTTCTTTTTAAACAAGGAGCCAATTAGTTTTCAGCACTTTTATTTCCATGACTGATCAAAACTCGTTTTCTCATGGCTCTCTTGTCCCTCTGCAGCAGACATATGGTGAGCAATATGTTTGGAACATGGAATTCGCAATAAAATCACAGTATTGAATTGCAATACATATAGAATCGTGAGAATCGCAATATATATCTAGCAATTCCCAGCCCTACTGGAACGTGATACATTTAAGGGAATATTACCAGTATGGATAAGTGTAGATCCCTTTCATAGGAGTAAGAGGCAGAGGTAAGATCAGAAAAAAATTGATTTCCTGCTTAAGACTGCAAAAATACCCTCCATTTTTTTTACCTGAAATTGTAGAAACAGCCTGTTACATTCTGAAATTGTCGCTGATTGACTGCACTGAGCCACCGACATCGAGGGAAGAAGCAATTCCACAAGGAATTATCAACTTCTTCAGTCACAATATGCTTTTACCTCATATAATGACTTCCATGATATTAATAAAATGAAGCCTGGTTTGTTCTAAGGTAACTCTAATACGCTAGTATAAGCTTAAGAGCTCCTATCTGGCTATCGTTCAGCTAAACGTCAGCATTCAGCTAACAGCCAGCACGTTGATGTGAGGAGGATACAGAAATGTGTTTAGCTAGCTAGCTAGCTTTGTTTAGCTAGCTAACTAGCTTGCTAGCTAACGTTACCTAGCTGTGTAGCCTATATTGTAATATGAATGATACTGTATGATATGTAAGTGACTGTACTTTTGTTCGTATGGGAGGGGTAAATGTTAATTATTGATATGCTATCGTTACTTGATCATGAAGAATGTTGTTTGTTAGATAGCTAGCTAACAGGAGTTTGCTGCGTATTTTCAGCTAATTTAATGTGTACAGACGAGTAAGGTAAACCCTTTGTCTGCACATGCTTGTCAATTGTTGCATTATTGAAGTGTGTAATATGGTTTGGTTGTATTATTCAATAGTGTAATATGTTTTTGAAGAAAAGTTGCTTGGACTGTTAAATAGTTTGTGGTTACTGGCTAGTGCCTACTGTAATATTTATGGTCAATTTATTCTGCCGACCAAGAACGTCGCTTTGCCAGCCACAACGAAAGATAAGGCAAGGATGTAATAAGAATTGAAAAGTGTAAATCATTTTCGCTACTCCGCTCCTCAGACTCTCCATCTCTCGTAGTGGGAACACAGCCACAGACATCAAACACACCCCTTAACAGCCAGGGGGGTGAACATTGACAACACACTGTTACATAACATAACTGTTACATAACAAACAGAGGTTCAGGTGATGTCCCAAGGTTAAGGCTGGTCGCACAGAAGACTTTCAGTATCCCTAATGGGTACATGTGCAAACATACACACTTACACCCACATGCAATCTCTCACTAAGAGTAGAACCACATAAAAATGCTGTCAACATTTAGGCTACACCAAACAGATGCATAGATAGAGGAAGGCACAAATATATCAAAAGATTCCCTTGTCGACTATGCAAATGAAACCTCAAACTCTACTGGTGGGAGGTGGGGTGTTTCACTGAGTATTGAACCAATCTTTCAAGCTGTCATCTGAAGGCAATAAAACTCTGTAGATAGGGACACAAGCATGCAACGTACTTTCCATGACTTCCTTCACTTTTACAGCCAACCACTTATTGCCCTGCTGCTGTAAAATAACACAGTGATCGTTAATAACACATACGTGTTCCTCATTTCGCCTACCTCCTCCAGGCGTCAGCTGTGCAGGTGAATCGGGCGTGGTCCTTGTGTGTGTCGACTCACAGGTGAACAGGGGGTCAGTGAGGTGGGGATGGGGGAAGTCTCTCTATCACAGCTCTGCTGCCTGGAACACAAGAGGAACAAATGGTAAGAAGTTAGAACCACAGTTCTCTGTTATTAGGTAACCGGTGAGACAACTACCAGTTGTTTAAAAGTTCAACGGGTGACATTTTGAGTGACACATCAGAGAGAACCCTAACAAAGCCTCCAGGTAGCCAGAGGAAAACTACACTGCCACAATTGAGAAGAACTAGGCCAAAAGAGAGAATCAAATAGCAAAACATTTATTTTGCTCCTTTACTTTAGTAGATTCATAAAGTTGAATCGTTAACCAGTAATAACATTCCAAGTAGGCTGACTGAGCTCTGATAGGGATGGAAGATGTGTGAGGAGGAGTTATGAGTGTGTACAGTCCGGCAGAGGGGTGTGTGTATGTGTGTGTGTGTAGCTGCTGTCAGTTCCAGGCTCATCAAGCTAGCAGTGAGTCTATTGTGTGTGAGGAGGAATGTGGATGCCAGGGGCTCTGTCTGTCTTACAAACACACACAAGGCCTACATCCAAACACTCAGTGGCACACGCCATAGTCTCCTAAATACACAAACTCACCAGTTATCTCTACACCATTCATAAATTAGAACCCAAAATAGAGCAGGCAATTATGATCTTCTGACACTCCACAGATAAAACTCAGCTATAAAGCTGAGGTAGGCATTTCTCTACCTCTGTTAATGTACCTCTTTTCACGTAGTTTCGACACTATACATGTCAGATTTTATACTGAAGTCAAACAAAACTTTGATTGAATAGATAAATCCTCAGGCAGCATCCTCTGGCATTTCTCTACCGCTTTCTTTCTCCCTCTTAAGGCATCAACATGCTTCAGTTCGGCTGGCGCCTAGCCGAACCTAACGAGTGTGCTCGCATACTCCCTTAAAAGACCTTCGCTTAGAAAACCTGAAAAAAGTACCAATAGTAAGTACTGTTTGTCCATTTAGTCACACAATTTTACATCTAAGATGTTTGGTGCAGTATTTTTCAATGAAAGAATGTGCATGAAAATGAGTCGTCGCTCGTTGAATGACAACATAGACTTTATTGAAGAATCCCTACTGTTGACCAATCACTGACGAAGGGGCGCAGACTTCGGCTACCGACTTCGGCTTGCCTCGAGAATTTTGTGTGTGTGCCCGAACAGCCCAAAAAACCCTTACCGAAGTCCAAAATGAACAAAATTGTCACAAAATGTAGCCATAATATATACACAAACTGTTCCGAATTGTTTCGGCTGGGAAGCATGCGGACGCATTTATTCCTTTCCTCTCTGTTTTTTCCTCTTTTCTTCCCATGTCTCTCTGTTGTCTGTATTTCTCTCACTCACCCTCTACCTTGTCCTTGATGACTATCCCTCTGTATCCTTGACTTCCCCCACCATGCCAATGCCCTGCCCCTCTGTACATACTGATTTCCTCTTCCTGTGCACCGGAATGTTCTCTTGAACAGCACGACAGCAGCAGGGTGAGCCAGGTCACTATTGCACTCAAAGTGCTAGCGCCTGTGCATGGGAGGTCGGTGTGTGTGGTGTGTCGGTGGAGGTTGTCGGATTGGGGGCAAGCCGAGGGTAGGCTACAGAGTAGTGGGATGAGGAATAGGGTTGATGTAGGCTCAGTAAAAATGGATGTTGGGTTGCTCAGAACCGGAGTGAGCGATGTGAAAGGGTATGCATGAGGGTGGGGTGATCAAATATGGGTGAGGGCTGGGGGAGGACGGGGTGAGGGTGAGTTTTACGGTTGGGCAATGTCAACTTTTGTACTCATAAAACACTGTCGTATAACCATTGGCCAATCAAAAACATTACAATAATTGGGGGGGGGGGGAAACAAACCCCTCTTATAACCACCATTAGGCTATTGCGTGAAATCACATTCTAGAACTGGACAAAAGATAATGTTGTTGAAATGGGAAGAGGCTACTTGAAGGCAAATCTTTTCAAATCTTCTTCCTGGTGGATGCAGCTTCAGTATGTAACAGGTGTGTGTCTGTGGCTGTGTAGCGTGCACATGGAGCAAAGAGGGATGGGCGTAAATGTTTTAGCTTAGACCCTATTTTAGATCTGAGGTTTTTATGTTGTGCCTGCCATCGGTTGAGACAACAAGCTCTTGAATACAGGGTGGGTGTCATGTTTTGGCTAATAAATGTACTAAAATGGGAATTACATGTACATATGAACTTTCATATGATACCACAAAGATGGTTGGAGGTCCACACATCAGAGAATAGGAATATCTGTTGTTTTAAATTATACTGTCAATCCTTCATAGGAAAACTATTGAAATCATAGAAATATAGATCATAGAATATACATCACCATTTAAGTTAACGGTGAGTGGACCAGCGGCCATCTTTGTGGTAGTAATTATGTCTCTCTGCCTACAGTATGGAGGGGGTTACTGCTTTGAGAAGTCCCAGACTAATCACATGAAAAGTGGGTAAAAGGTAATAGCTGAATTTCAAGGAGTAGATGGAAGCCCTTATCCACTGATACAGTGTCAGGTCTTTAATCATCCCTCTAAGGTTGAAATGGAGGGGGGGGGTAATTATCTGATCCTAGATCTGTGGTAAGGGGCACCGCCACCATCTACCTTCAACATCTCAGGGTTGGTGAGGTTGGGGAATGCTGTGTTGTAAATGTACTGTATGCATACAACACGCCGTTCACCGCTGGATTGCTGTGCTGTTGGTTTCCATGGGAACCAGGGGCACACAGACAGAAAGAGTTATGATGGAGGCGTGAGGCGGTGACCTGAGCGATAAATAAAGATGTTCTATCGTCCACTCTGTAATATGTAAATCAATCACAAACATTTACTTTAATTGAATGGTGTACCAGCTAAATTGCAGTGGTCTGAAGTGATAGAAATAGAATTCATAGAATGGGGATTTACAGTTGAAGTTGGAAGTTTACATACACTTAGGTTGGAGTCATTAAAAATCGTTTTTCAACCACTCCACAAATTTCTTGTTAACAAACTATAGTTTGGCAAGTCTTGTGCATGACACAAGTAATTTTTCCAACAATTGTTTACAGACAGATTATTTCACTTATAATTCACTGTATCACAATACCAGTGGGTCAGAAGTTTACATACACTAAGTTGACTGTGCCTTTAAATAGCTTGGAAAATTCCAGAAAATGATGTCATGCTTTAGAAGCTTCTGATAGGCTAATTTACATAATTTGAGTCAATTGGAGGTGTACCTGTGGATGTATTTCAAGGCCTACCTTCAAACTCAGTGCGTCTTTTCTTGACATCATGGGAAAATCAAAAGAAATCAGCCAAGACCTCAGAAAATAAATTGTAGACCTCCACAATTCTGGTTCATCCTCGGGAGCAATTTCCAGACGCCTGAAGGTACCACGTTCATCTGTACAAACAATAATACGCAAGTATAAACACCATGGGACCACGCAGCCGTCATACCGCTCAGGAAGGAGACGCGTTCTGTCTTCTAGAGATGAATGTACTTTGGTGCGAAAAGTGCAAATCAATCCCAGAACAACAGCAAAGGACCTTGTGAAGATGCTGGAGGAAACAGGTACAAAGTATCAATATCCACAGTAAAACAAGTCCTATTTCGAAATAACCTGAAAGGCCGCTCAGCAAGGAAGAAGCCACTGCTCCAAAACCGCCATAAAAATGCCAGACTACGGTTTGCAACTGCACATGGGGACAAAGATTGTACTTTTTGGAGAAATGTCCTCTGGTCTGATGAAACAAAAATAGAACTGTTTGGCCATAATGACCATCGTTATGTTTGGAGGAAAAAGGGGGATGCTTGCAAGCCGAAGAACACCATCCCAACCGTCAAGCACGGGGGTGGCAGCATCATGCTGTGGGGGTGCTTTGCTGCAGGAGGGACTGGTGCACGTCACAAAATAGATGGCATCATGAGGAAGGAAAATGATGTGGATATATTGAAGCAACATCTCAAGACATCAGTCAGGAAGTTAAAGCTTGGTCGCAAATGGGTCTTCCAAATGGACAATGACCCCAAGCATACTTTCAAAGTTGTGGCAAAATGGCTTAAGGACAACAAAGTCAAGGTATTGGAGTGCCCATCACAAAGCCCTGACCTCAATCCTATAGAGAATTTGTGGGCAGAACTGAAAAGGCGTGTGCGAGCAAGGAGGCCTACAAACCTGACTCAGATACACCAGCTCTGTCATGAGGAATGGGCCAAAATTCACCCAACTTATTGTGGGAAGCTTGTGGAAGGCTACCCGAAATGTTTGACCCAAGTTAAACAATTTAAAGGCAATGCTACCAAATACTAATTGAGTGTATGTAAACTGCTGAGCCACTGGGAATGTGATGAAATAAATAAAAGCTGAAATAAAAAATTCTCTCTACTTTTATTCTGACATTTCACATTCTTAAAATAAAGTGGTGATCCTAACTGACCTAAGACAGGTAATTTTTACTAGGATTAAATGTCAGGAATTGTGAAAAACTGAGTTTAAATGTATTTGGCTAAGGTGTATGTAAACTTCCAACTTCAACTGTATCTAGCAAGCCAATTGAGTCTACATGCTGCGCTTTCCCCCAACTCCAATCAGAATAAACATCAGCCTTTTAATTCCATTTTGCATTGCATTAGTGAGCTCTCACTTCACTTGCTACACATGGAGCGTCTTCGACTCTGATTGGCTGACAAAAACAACAACACGTGAAGGCTACCGGTCTTCTGACAGAGAAAAATAGAAAATATTTTCTGAATGGACATTATGCACCGCTTTGGTGGAATTCTCCGCTCGGTCTAGTAGGGCCGGGAAGATACCAGTATTGTGAAAAATAAATAAATAATTAAAACACAAAGCAGACCTAACTCTTTCATCCTTAAAAACCCGCTGTATGTAAAATATTGTTTGCTGTAGCTTGGGAAATACATAAATGTGACTCTGGATAACAACATATTGATGTTTGTTTCCAACATTAGGCTGTTTTCCTAAATAAGTTAAAACCGCTTTGTGTTTTGTTTCCTTGCCACGATACTTACGTGTATCGCGGTACTGGTATCGTCCCGGCCCTCCTGTCTGCATTCCTCTCTTGCTTTCTTTAACATATTTATTGAAACAAATAGACTATATAGCAAATAGGAAAAGTAAATTACTCTGAATGTCGCTTGTGTGTTGCCCTGCTGTGCGCTGTACGACTCCGTTCACAACAGTCAAGTTAAAACCAGCTAAAACCATCGTCTGTCACATTACGATGCCATCACCATCAACGACGGCTGTCACTCATCGTCGATAGACGATCCTATCTTAATATCGCCCAACCCTAGTGAGGTTGATTGCGCTGAGATGGGGGAGGGGGTCAGGCAACGCTAAATGCCCTGAGGGGGAGCCCCATTACTGTCTGACAACACAGTGCCAATCAATACTGTTCAATTCAGGTCCGCTTACCCCTTGACGCACAGCATAATAACACTCTCTTAGTAAAAGTGTGTGTGGGGGTGGGGAGAGACATTGTGCCTTGAGTGTGTCTCGACTAAACTACTGGAGAGTACAGTATCCAGAGCCAAGAGCCAGTCCTGAATATAGCCTGCAGAGTCAGCATGGATTTACAGCTTAGACCTCCTTCACTTCCAAAATAAAATAAAATGGAGAGTGAAAACTTTCCAGCCATGGCTAACATTTCAGCCCATAGAGTAGAGTCACTGGTAAGCCTATTAGGGTTTGAAATTGATAAATGCAACACCTAGGACTACCTACCTACCCTTACAGGTATGTAGGATAACTGCCTAGCCTACATTCCATTATAATAAACACAAACAAATGAAGACACTCCATATAGCCTCCTATTCATGCATGTTTAAATAGGACAGCAGCTGTATATTTAGTACTGGAGTCATTCTCTGTGGTTGCAGTGCCTGCCAGACAGAATGACCATCAAACAAAGAGAAAAGAAAGTCAAGCCCAGTGCAGAGGGAGCGAGATTGTGTGTGTGTGTGTGTGTGTGTGGCGCTGGATCAATCAGGAAATCGAGTGCATATTATTGACTTATGAGTATGATGACTGGGCTTCTTGGTACCCGTGATCTGTGAAGTGGGCTGTAGCTATGTGTGCAAGAGTGATATGGTCAGCTATGTCCCTGCACGCTAGAGCTAGAGAGCGCTCAGTAATCATAATCCCATACAGCAGAGCAAGGTAATTAAACATCTCTCTCAGTACGCTGAACACAGTGTGACTGGGCCGGCCTGAATTAGAAACCAGACGCATTTGAAAGAGGACATGCAAATGGTACTTTACATATCATTAGTGGTTGATCCAGCGCTGCTCTGCTCCATGGTGAGCCAGAGAGGAGAGGAGCATGAGCTGGCTTCTTTCCGCCCGCCTGTCACACACATTGTGTTGCCATTTAAACGGATTACTCCAAACTCCGACTGCAATCATTTTTTAGAAAGTTTGCCGTGTGTGAGTGCTACTGAAGTGCTACTAAAAAAGTTGTCTACATTTTTCTTCTTAAACCAGTTTGAAGAGGAGCCGTTCTAGTCAGCTAATGGGTTTGTCAATGCAACTGTAAGGTCGTTGTCACACGGCTCTGAGCTATAGTTCGAACCGTAGTTCAATTAAAAAAAAAAAAATATATATATTTAGTACATGATTCCATATGTGTTATTTCATAGTTTTGATGTCTTCACTATTATTCTACAATGTAGAAAATAGTAAAAATAAAGAAAAACCTTGGAATGAGTAGGTGTGTCCAAACTTTGACAGGTACTGTGTGTGTATATATATATATATATATATATATATATATATATATATATATATATATATATATATATATATATATATTATATACACACACAGTGGGGAAAAAAAGTATTTAGTCAGCCACCAATTGTGCAAGTTCTCCCACTTAAAAAGATGAGAGAGGCCTGTAATTTTCATCATAGGTACACAAAATGAGGAAAAAAATTCCAGAAAATCACATTGTAGGATTTTTTATGAATTTATTTGCAAATTATGGTGGAAAATAAGTATTTGGTCAATAACAAAAGTTTCTCAATACTTTGTTATATACCCTTTGTTGGCAATGACACAGGTCAAACGTTTTCTGTAAGTCTTCACAAGGTTTTCACACTGTTGCTGGTATTTTTGGCCCATTCCTCCATGCAGATCTCCTCTAGAGCAGTGATGTTTTGGGGCTGTCGCTGGGCAACACGGACTTTCAACTCCCTCCAAAGATTTTCTATGGGGTTGAGATCTGGAGACTGGCTAGGCCACTCCAGGACCTTGAAATGCTTCTTACGAAGCCACTCCTTCGTTGCCCGGGCGGTTTGTTTGGGATCATTGTCATGCTGAAAGACCCAGCCACGTTTCATCTTCAATGCCCTTGCTGATGGAAGGAGGTTTTCACTCAAAATCACACGATACATGGCCCCATTCATTCTTTCCTTTACACGGATCAGTCGTCCTGGTCCCTTTGCAGAAAAACAGCCCCAAAGCATGATGTTTCCACCCCCATGCTTCACAGTAGGTATGGTGTTCTTTGGATGCAACTCAGCATTCTTTGTCCTCCAAACATGACAAGTTCTATTTTGGTTTCATCTGACCATATGACATATGACATTCTCCCAATCCTCTTCTGGATCATCCAAATGCACTCTAGCAAACTTCAGACGGGCCTGGACATGTACTGGCTTAAGCTGGGGGACACGTCTGGCACTGCAGGATTTGAGTCCCTGGCGGCATAGTGTGTTACTGATGGTAGGCTTTGTTTCTTTGGTCCCAGCTCTTTGCAGGTCATTCACTAGGTCCCCCCGTGTGGTTCTGGGATTTTTGCTCACCGTTCTTGTGATCATTTTGACCCCACGGGGTGAGATCTTGCGTGGAGCCCCAGATCGAGGGAGATTATCAGTGGTCTTGTATGTCTTCCATTTCCTAATAATTGCTCCCACAGTTGATTTCTTCAAACCAAGCTGCTTACCTATTGCAGATTCAGTCTTCCCAGCCTGGTGCAGGTCTACAATTTTGTTTCTGGGGTCCTTTGACAGCTCTTTGGTATTGGCCATAGTGAAGTTTGGAGTGTGACTGTTTGAGGTTGTGGACAGGTGTCTTTTATACTGATAACAAGTTCAAACAGGTGCCATTAATACAGGTAACGAGTGGAGGACAGAGGAGCCTCTTAAAGAAGAAGTTACAGGTCTGTGAGAGCCAGAAATCTTGCTTGTTTGTAGGTGACCAAATACTTATTTTCCACCATAATTTGCAAATAAATTCATTAAAAATCCTACAATGTGATTTTCTCGAGAAAAAAATTCTCAATTTGTCTGTCATAGTTGACGTGTACCTATGATGAAAATTACAGGCCTCTCTCATCTTTTTAAGTGGGAGAACTTGCACAATTGGTGGCTGACTAAATACTTTTTTTCCCCACTGTGTGTGTGTGTGTATATATATATATATATATATATATATATATATATATATATATATACACATACATACATACAGTGGGGAGAAGAAGTATTTGATACACTGCTGATTTTGCAGGTTTTCCTACTTACAAAGCATGTAGAGGTCTGTAATTTTTATCATAGGTACACTTCAACTGTGAGAGACGGAATCTAAAACAAAAATCCAGAAAATCACATTGTATGATTTTTCAGTAATTAATTTGCATTTTATTGCATGACATAAGTATTTGATACATCAGAAAAGCAGAACTTAATATTTGGTACAGAAACCTTTGTTTGCAATTACAGAGATCATACATTTCCTGTAGGTCTTGACCAGGTTTGCACACACTGCAGCAGGGATTTTGGCCCCCTCCTCCATACAGACCTTCTCCAGATCCTTCAGGTTTTGGGGCTGTCGCTGGGCAATACGGACTTTCAGCTCCCTCCAAAGATTTTCTATTGGGTTCAGGTCTGGAGACTGGCTAGGCCACTCCAGGACCTTGAGATGCTTCTTACGGATCCACTCCTTAGTTGCCCTGGCTGTGTGTTTCGGGTCGTTGTCATGCTGGAAGACCCAGCCACGACCCATCTTCAATGCTCTTACTGAGGGAAGGAGGTTGTTGGCCAAGATCTCGCGACACATGGCCCCATCCATCCTCCCCTCAATATGGTGCAGTCGTCCTGTCCCCTTTGCAGAAAAGCATCCCCAAAGAATGATGTTTCCACCTCCATGCTTCACGGTTGGGATGGTGTTCTTGGGGTTATACTCATCCTTCTTCTTCCTCCAAACACGGCGAGTGGAGTTTAGACCAAAAAGCTCTATTTTTGTCTCATCAGACCACATGACCTTCTCCCATTCCTCCTCTGGATCATCCAGATGGTCATTGGCAGACTTCAGACGGGCCTGGCCATGCACTGGCTTGAGCAGGGGGACCTTGCGTGCGCTGCAGGATTTTAATCCATGACGGCGTAGTGTGTTACTAATGGTTTTCTTTGAGACTGTGGTCCCAGCTCTCTTCAGGTCATTGACCAGGTCCTGCCGTGTAGTTCTGGGCTGATCCCTCACCTTCCTCATGATCATTGATGCCCCACGAGGTGAGATCTTGCATGGAGCCCCAGACCGAGGGTGATTGACCGTCATCTTGAACTTCTTCCATTTTCGAATAATTGCGCCAACAGTTGTTGCCTTCTCACCAAGCTGCTTGCCGATTGTCCTGTAGCCCATCCCAGCCTTGTGCAGGTCTACAATTTTATCCCTGATGTCCTTACACAGCTCTCTGGTCTTGGCCATTGTGGAGAGGTTGGAGTCTGTTTGATTGAGTGTGTGGACAGGTGTCTTTTATACAGGTAATGAGTTCAAACAGGTGCAGTTAATACAGGTAATGAGTGGAGAACAGGAGGGCTTCTTAAAGAAAAACGAACAGGTCTGTGAGAGCCGGAATTCTTACTGGTTGGTAGGTGATCAAATACTTATGTCATGCAATAAAATGCAAATTAATTTCTTAAAAATCATACAATGTGAATTTCTGGATTTTTGTTTTAGATTCTGTCTCTCACAGTTGAAGTGTACCTATGATAAAAATTACAGACCTCTACATGCTTTGTAAGTAGGAAAACCTGCAAAATAGGCAGTGTATCAAATACTTGTTCTCCCCACTGTATATATATACACACACACACACACACATACTGTATATATACAGTACCTGTCAAAAGTTTGGACACACCTACTCATTCCAGGGTTTTTCTTTATTTTTACTATTTTCTACATTGAACTCCGATTCGAACTATAGCTCAGAACCGTGTAAATAGATTTAAGATTCTTCAAAGTAGCCACCCTTTGCCTTGATGACAGCTTTGCACACTCTTGGCATTCTCTCAACCAACTTCACCTGGAATGCTTTTCCAACAGTCTTGAAGGAGTTCCCATATATGCTGAGCACTTGTTGGCTGCTTTTCCTTCACTCTGTCGTCCGACTCATCTCAAACCATCTCAGTTGGGTTGAGGTCGGGGG